ACGATCTTACCTGCAGTCTCTGTCTACTGTGTGGCTGTTGGAGCGCGCGCAGGTCAAGTTCTCTTTTGCTCTATCAACAGCATTGCCTTTCACTCGCTAAGCTCTCTCGGCCGGACTAGCATGGGAAGCGGGAGACAGCGCTCGTTGTAGCAGTACCGCGTGCATTGGGGGCAAATAAGCAGCAGCAGCGCGTCGTGAAGAAGTAACGCGTCAACGGCGGTCAAGACATGATCGAGTCGGCTAGCCTCGTAACCAGTCCGCTATCTGAGCGTGAGGATCCGGAGGCGAGCACCCAGCAATGCAGTGCGCTACCGCCGAAAGCGTTGCTTGACCAGATACAGAGGCATCATGACATCTTCGCAATCAACGGATCGGCGCTCGGCGCCGGACCCCGGCGTCCGCCTCTATGAAGCGCTATGATAAGTCTGCTAGACTACTGGAGCGTTGACTGGCCCCAATATAAGGTCACTAAACTCAGCGAATTGGTGGTCGGCGCTTAGCGACCGGCCACGCCTGACGGGAGTTATATCGGCCCTCGGTCGACGCAAATAGCTTCGGGTCAGACTCTGTTCTCGCATGGCAGACCCCACGCCCTAGGTCGGGATTGTATCGAGGATCTGGACAGGCTCTTAAGTTCCTCGACCTTCCGACGCTGACCCGGTGTCGCACACGTGGTGCTATCTATCATCGGAGGTGCACTTCCGATGATCCCACGGTAACTCCGACAGCCTCAGGGCAGGGGACTCCGACAGTCTGAGAGAGACTCCGACAACCTCGCAGTGGCTCCGACTCTGACGACTTTACTACTATATCCTCGCATACTTAAGCCAATGAGTGATGAAGAGGGGTCCCGCACCCATCTTGACATGGTTGTCCCTTCTGCTTGCAGCCACAACGCGCTTGTGAATTCGTTCCAGAATTGTAAACGCAACTGCAACCGTATTCCCAGCCTTCAGTCAGTATTCAACCCCGGTGAGTAATGCACCGATCGTAGCGGGCGCTGTCCCTGACGCTGGATCAGAGAGCGACTGGCATCCTTGCAACATCGGCTGCGGAACCCGCGTCATTCTTCCAGTCGTCTCTCAGAACGGTCAGAAGCACGGTCCGCTCCTTCCTTGCGATGGCAGTCATTGGAAAACAAACGTACTTTAGCAGCAGAGAAGCTTCAGACAGCGCAGTCAACGCACATATATCCGGGCGAGTCTTTCCTAGGCCGCAAGCACGCTCCCGGGGACGGCATTGAGCCCGACATGGATCATACGCGGTCTGCTCGCGATTCCAGCGGAGTCTCCTTGCGCGCTTGGGAGCGGACTCGTCGCAGGGGCTCTGACGGCGGTTTCACGCGCATCTTTGCGCACCTCGGCGGCGCTTCGCCCTCTCGCATCTCAGTCGCGAGAAGCACCTTCACCGCATTTACTGAGCTCTTGACGTCTGATGTTCCTCAGGAGAGCAACAAGCGCCTGCAGTTCTGGGCTGCTCAAGTGCGGATATATGAGCAGCACCAGATTGATAATGACGAGCTTGAACGAGCTCGCGTCTGGGTTGAGCTCCAGCGCAAGATCGATGGCCGATTCCGTCTCAACCACAAGCATACCGCCAGGCTCCGCCATCACCTAGTAACATCGCATTGCTGGTCGGAGAGTGGGGAGAGTGAGTCAGTGTCGGGTGAGCTGATTCTCCGGGCAAAGCTGTAGAGGTGGGTCAATTAAAAACTAGAGTATCGAGTTGTGAGACAAAGCTGAATGCGAACGCAGCGGAAGTAACATTGCAACACAGCGATGCCCTGTCGTACTTGCTCATGATATTTTATCAACAAGCATCTTGTCCGGCTCGCTGAATAAAGCTCTCAGACGCGAGAAGTCACATGCCAAATTTCACCTGATAATCCCGGCGAGGATGTTTGGCTTCGACCATCAGGACGCGTCGACAGTGCACAGTATACACCAATGCTCTCTTACTTTACCTGTCATTGTATTTGAATGTATTGCATGTACGGGACCTGATCTTGTGCAGTTGTTCGTGGTTTCGCTTCGCAATCGTGTACTATTGTGTACAGCTCTCTCGGTATAGGCTATATCGCGTTCATGGATGCCTGACAACCTTATGGTTTGGCATGATAAAGACAGGCGAAAAACTGTATAGCTCGGTAGATTATGCGGGTAGTCGCAGTGCGTTGTGCACAGACAATCAGCAGAAGTCAATAGGAAATCTAAAAAGATAGTAAACGTAGCCTGAGCAGCCGTCTCGCATCTCGCTGTCTTCATATTTTCAATCCATATACAGACTATTCTTCGTGGCTTTGTCGGCCTGTGCGTCACTTTGAAGGAGAATGACCGAGGAGAGAGAGCCAGCGAGGGTGACGTAGATGAAGAAGAAAAGCCAAAGCGCCAATCCGGCATGATGACATCGAGAATGTCGGCCGCATCAGTGAGTCGATCCTCGAGCGCGTCAGCTGAGTCTGATGGAGAAGTTGTAGAAGCTTCGTACAGGAGAAGGTCATAGCGCGGATTTGTTCACCGAGAAGCTGAGCGAAGTTGAGCCTCTGATATGATTCGCGATATGATATCGACTTACCAGTTCAAGCGTATGCCATTTCGGAGTTCCCAACACGCGCATGGCTTTAATCACCTGTGCAGCGTACTCGGCATCCATAGGCAATAGAAGAGCACGTGCGCTTCGACTTACTTAATAGGTATTCAGTATACGGCCGGTATACAAGCTTTGGCGAGTTGACATACCGGAGAACATTTAGGGAATGGATAAAGAGGTCCATCCGCCCTCGGCTCCTGGAACGTCCGCGCCCGCGCTGGTCCCAAAGGCGCCTGCGTCGACTTGAGAGGTGAGCACTATACAACACCTCACTTACGTATATTCAGGGCAAGGCTTCCCAGGTGCCAACTCCCAGCCAGGTGACTGTGTCCAAGTCAGCGATGCCGGCGCGATCGAAGGTCAACGTAAGTCGGCTCACCTGTGGATAGAAGGCAGTCAACGTTGAGTAGGTTAATCAAAACGTGGGATCTAAAAGGTCGTCGTCAAGAAGGAGCCCGGCTCATCCATGAAGATCAAGTAGGTGAGCTCACATTTTGATTTCTTGCCAGCGGGCTGGCAGCAAGCAATCGTCCTGCGCACGCGCTGTCTTGCTCTTCGGGCCCCGAGTCGCGCTGGCTTTGACAATCTCAAGTGGTTTCCCTAAGGAACTATCGAATCTGGCTCGCGCCACGCCGATTCTTGGGATGGCACCGTGGCGGGAGAAAGGAGCGCGTGGGAGATCAACAAGACGCGACGTTGCACAGGTATGGTAACGGTGACGGCGCGTCTTTCCCCAGAAGGACATCTGCAATTATGGTCGTCGAGGTCGACACAGGGGGTGTTGCATCGAGTGGAGGGGGCTGATCTGCCGGCCAAAGTTGCCCGGAAGCGCATGAGGTACAAAATTCCGCAGCCGTTCGTGAGCATGACGATGACAGACGCAAAGAATGCACGTACTTCGGCATGAACCGGAACATGCCAATCTATCCATTCCTCTGTCTTGACGGCACGATAGGCCGCTTGGTGCGCACATAGACTCTCCGGACCAGCGCGGAGCATGTGGTTGACGAAGCCGGCGTTTGTGGAGTTGTGAGGGTCGAAACGATGCCCGCAACCGGCGCATATCACCCGGGCATTCGGCGTCGATGGCTCGTTTGGCGGCGGGAATGTCAGCGCCGTCGCCGACGATGGTGCTAGTGTCGTGTACAGCGAGCGCGTTTCGGCGGGTAAGCCCAGTCTGTTCGCGGACGCAGCAGAGCTGTACAAGGGAATGAAGTGGACGAGTACCAGGTGCGTCATCAGCTCATCGTGCGAGAACTCTTGCAAACCGCAGCCAGTGCACGGACAGAGGTGTTAGTCGTCCTTTGAGAGGTGCTTGAGGTGAACGCTCCACACGTGGTCCTCAATCTCTGTCCAACGGTATCTAGGGCGCACAATCAATGACTCGTCCGCCTACATGGAATGCGTACTTGTACGTACTGTCTCATGGCCTTGCGGACGGTTGCTGCCGTGCTTCGCTCATGGTAATCCGGGAGCGTACCGTTCTAGGAGAACATGCCGTCGATGACGAGCACATGCCGCTGCGTAGCTGGCGTAACGATCCGGCGAAACGCGTCTACGCTCTCTAGGTCGATCTGAACGGCATCCTCGCGGGGACGGGGAGGGAGGGAATCGCTCCTCGCGTTCGAGCTCTAGCGTGGCGCAGGCATCTTCGTCAAGACCGTTCGGAGCGACGAGCCCCTTGAATGGTAAGATAAATCGATGTAGGCGCATGATGGACCTGGGAAGCACACGTACCACTCCTGACGCGCGAAGCGATATTCAGCAAATCCTCCGTCGTGGGCATATCCGTACTCTTGTGCCAGATGGAACGGGTGCTCGCTCGTACTCTTGAATGGGCAGAATGGACAGGTGCCGTACGGGGAGCGAAACTCGCGAACGTGGGTATGAAAGTCTTCCTCGGCGTGACAGACGGTGTCTACGCAGGTGGATGTTGGATTGAGAGGGCACGTTGTGCAGGCGCGCGGCTCCCATTCAGCACCCGGAAGCAGGTCGCGACCCTCCGAGAGCTTGGCTTCAGCCTGACATGAGGCGACATGCAGCACGACACGAGTTTGCTGCTGAACCTTGAGATGGCAAGTGGCGCATATCCCGCCGGTGGCCAGGGAAGCCAGGCCTGTGCTGAAGGACACCATGCGAGTGGGACGGGGCAACAGTGCATAGTGTTCTATGAGATATTGGCGTGCACGGCCCGGTGGTGTGTGGGCGACGCGAGCGTACTCGTTTGGATGTTTCAAGGGCGGCACCTCGTCGGCGGCTTGTGCCGTATCCGCGTCCGACGACGGTTCCGGGCTTGGGGGTGGTGCAGCGAATATATTCAACTGATTCTGTTTCGCCTGTATCGAGACGTCCCGCTTGCATTCTGCCTCACAATACGCCCTACTCGCGGTCCTGAACATCACACGATATTCGTTCTTGGCCTTCACAAGCTCCTTGCCGGCGATTCCCCTCTGATTCAGAGCCTTTGGGCTACATGTCAGCTATCGGCTAGGGAGCGCCGACAGCGATCGTCTCACCTTGATCTTCTCAAACCCTTCCCGAAGGGCGGGGTGGCGCGTGAGGAGGTCCCGCTTCTCCAGAAATGTCAGCAGACCGACACCGGTCCTGAACCTTGTGCGAGACGCGCTGTCAAGGGACTGGAAGAGGGGTTAGCTCGCGGGATGTGCGAATGACATGCAAATGGACAAAACGTACCCGCGCGAGCCTTTGAAAGTGCAGACGTGGAGGACGTTCCTGATCGACGCTCATGATATCGAAGTTGGCGCGGCGAGCGCGGAGTCGTAGTGTCGTAATCGTCGAGCTCGCCATAGTACGGTAGGAACTCGGTCCACCAGTGTTGAGCCAGTCTGTGTCCGGCTTCCGTCTGGGGCTGGACGCGTTTCCGACTGTAACCAGCAAGAGTTTCCAGCACGGATTGCTTTGGGGCGGGTGTCTTATTGGAGCGCTTAAACGTCCGGCGCTCGGCGTCTGTGAGCCTTCTGGAGCCCACATCAAGCAAAGCGATATCCAGGTTGCCGGCGGGCCGGCGAGTGGCGGTGGCGGCGGCTGTGTAGAATTTGCGGGCGCTTGAGGTGCGAATTTTGCCGTTCTTCGACGACCCATGATCTGAGAGAGGCGGGTAAGCCGTCCGGCGTAGACGGGATCGCTTCAAAAATCTTACCAGAGAGCGCAGGGCTTGAAAGCAGTATAGCACGAAGCGGCGAGCGGGTACGCGTGGGAGGAGGAAAAGGGTATAGTAGAGGTGGGCACCTTCAAAACCTGCGGGAGCGAGGGATGGGTGCAATGGCTGTCGAACGGGCGGTCGCGGCCGGTGGGTTTAGAATCACGAGCATGGTCGTCAGAGTCAGCTATTGTCTGCATAGTACGGGCATAGACAGAGAGTACGGACGTCGTGGGTTGTGCGAGAGTCTTTAATTGTGGCCTAGGGTTCTCCCTGCCGCGTCACGTGTGGCTCGCCGATAATTGATTGAACGCATTTCTTTTCCTACCGACGTTCGTAAGGACCCGACGCTACTGCCGCCCCAGCACCAACCGATATCCCTACTTTACGTCTTTCGCGCTACTGTACTACACCACCTGTCCTTAAGGTAGTCACCGGACGTGTGGATGATGGGAGTTGGGTCGCGACTCTGTTGGCGCGGCACAAGGTCGGCTTCGCCCCCACCCGCCGCCACTTCTGTTAGAGGTAAGCACAGCCAGGTCGGCCGCTCGTCATGGTCTACTGGTGCACTGGTGTCACTCACAAGGCTTCCGCCGGCAATCCTAGCACGTCGAGCGTGCTGAACCTTCACTTACAACGTGTAAACACTGGCTGACTTGTCCATTTTCCTCTTTCTAGTTGAAGTGCGCTTCGGCGCCACACCTGTTTCCAGAAAATTATCGAGGCAGCTGTTAAGATACTTAAGGTAGCCAATCATCTTGGGCGCACCTTCGGAAAGTCCAACGCTGACGCGACCCTCAGCTCAAGAGGATAGATTAAAAGGTCAAGTACCACATCTTGGTGAGCGCCTCTCTGAATCTCCATTGCATCGAGGCTCACTTTTTTTGCGGACCGACGAAGAAGACGGCGAGGACAGCGACAACGCGGACAACATCGCCGAGATCTCCTTTGACGATGACGAGCAGCCGGCACAGCAGCAGCCGGTGCTCGAGCAGCGTCCTCCCGGCTAACCTCGTCGAGGCCACATTTCCCCCCGATAATCGTCTCAAGTGGAACGCCAACGGCGAACTCGGCCCGCTCATGAAGCATTAGCTAGTTCCAAGGAAGGCATCGACTCCCACATGCCGGTGCAGCTTGTGCTCGTGGACGAGAACGGAGCACGGCCTCGTGCCAACGGCGACGATGGCGACGTGGACCATGGCGACACCAGCCAGGCTATCAGCGCCGCGTCCCTGCTCGCAGCAGCTGCACCGCCTCAGAAGCCGCTCAAGTACGACGAAGTCGCTGATTCCGGGGCGCGTGTCGCACCCCGATATTCAGATACTGCGCGTCTGTGCAGGCCTGGTAAGCGTACTATACGCTCTGACTTGCTTCACCAGCTGATGTGCCCTAACTCGATTCTACCCGAGGTGCTCGCGGTCCGGCAACGACCTTGCCAAGCTTGCCCCCTTCCCCGATCGAGGACGCCTCCGGGCACAAGCAGCCTACCGGACCCGGCAAGGCTAGGCATGGCCAAGACATCGCACCCAACGCGCTGGTGCGGTCCGCGCTTGCCTCAATGACGGCGCATTCCTATACACCGGCAGGCTCGTGGTGCATATGCTTTCTTATGGGTGCGATCTGCAGCTGTTAGCGCGTGTCCGGCCGGCTAGTCTTTGAGATCGAAGACGGTGTATGTGACGAGTCGTACACCAACCCCGCGATTCCCGAGTTCATAGATCGCATGCACATGCAGCCGAGGACTGCTGCCATTGCTTCAAACACAATGTCTTCCCCGCCGCCACCATTGATCATTCGAGCGCCAAGGTACGTAACAATGAGGCGCCTACAGTCATGCTCTCTTCGTCGGCGACGATGGCCAGTACCTCAAACCCAGGGTTTTCACGCAGCTGACGTGGGCGCAATCAGATGGTGTACTGACTCAAGAACTGGGCCAGGGGGAGTACGTGCGCCTCGACTGGAAGGTCAAGAAGATCGGTGAAACGTACTTGCGCCCTAAGCGCCACCGAGCGCGACGACCCTAGTACTTAAGCTATCCGGGCTGCGGTGGTGGGTATATAAGAATGCTAAGTAAGCACGCGCCTGTACACGTCTCAACGTTTTTTGTAGAAGCTGGCATCAGGCTCTCGCAGGATGCCGTTTCCGTACCCAAGGTTCGGGGCAACGCCTCGTTCTTCGGCAAGGACATGCAGGAGCACCTACACCATTCACTCAGTGAGCGCTTCGCTGACATACTGCCTGCCGCAGAACCTTCTAACCTCTCTCGATTAGATTTCTCATCATCCCGTCTCGATCTTTCTCGTTCTCGCGCTCAGCTGTTTTCCAGGCTGGCCCCCACCTCATGCATTCGATCGTCCTATGGCCTCCGTCGTGCTCAACCCGACCTTCTCATTATCTGATTATCTGTACCTGCCACGATGCCCCGCATGTTGTCCCAACACCCCTATTCGGACAATAATGCATGCTTTTGTTTGTCTAATCTGCCCCTCGCAAGCTCTAATGAGCCCGCAACGCGTGATCGCATGATATAAAGGTAACTTTTTATCACTGACAGCTGACTAATTATGTTATTCTTGGTCTACAGGTAAGCCGATGACTCCAACGGCACGACAGGGCCGTATGCTTTGATTTTTTTGGCTAAATACAGTCTAGGGGTCACCTCAAACTAGATCACTCTCTCGCAGACTGCTCGGATTCGCTGAGTAAGCTTTATCTTAGTTGGCAATATCGTAGGTTTCTACTAAGTGTACGCTAGGCTGAGCCCATCTAACTGAGGCTGGGCTAGATGCCCTTAGCCACCATGGCGCGCCGTTACAGGAGGCGTTTTTTCGATCCGCGGATCCTATCCGTCCTCAGATACTCCTTATGCTCCTCGTCGACATGATATTGACTTGCGACACATATCGGACAGACTTGGCAGCGGCCCGACGTACGGCATGTGTTCGATGAGTTCTCGGGCGATGATGACCTCCGAGATCACATCGTTCGTGTACTGGTGCATGACATACTATAGCAGTATACGTGAGTCGACGTTGTACCGCGCGAGCATCCTTCTCATGAGCCTTGCCATATGTTGCCGCCGGTCCCAAACGTTGACCCTGTTGGACTTGAACCGCTCTCCTCCGGCGGAATTGGCGAAGATAGAGATGACGGTGAAGATAACGACGTCAAAGCCCCTGTTGATGCCGAATTTGGGCGAGCGCATCATGACTTCCGCCATCTTCGGATAGGCCATTGCTTGGTTGACGGCGATGGAGAAGATGATGTGCGAGTCCAAATGCGCAGGCTTGCTATGCTTGTCTGGAGCGAGTCGACGGTGTCGAGCGTGATCTAGCGCATAATGTTCTTTACTCTCCGCCCGACCTGTCGCCGCCGGACTTGAAACTCGCGCGAGGAGGGGACGGGGCTGATGTTGTCTGTCCCCGTCGGCTTCATGACGAACAGGTCCTGCAACCGCTTCCTTCTCGGCCTTGGGAATTCTTCACTGAGACATGACGGGATGCGATGTACGTCCGTTGATATCACTGCTATTTGTATACGGTGACTACGAGTTAAGGTGCTACGCATAATCCCAAGGCATTCGGCTAACTACTGAGAAGCGCCACTCCGACAGCAAGTACAACTCGCACTCATGGGTAGCCACATCCTCACTCTCTGTGAGAACCGAACTGCAGCTAGAGATACTGGCTTGAGGTGTGCTTCGTAACTGTAGCCTGCTTCATCACCAATGTATCAAACAAGGCGCGGTTGGAAACTCACTTTGACCGTCGTACGCGTGTTCTCGTGCATTCTTTAGGGACTGGTTCCACGAGCTCACGCGTGCATCAGATAGAACCAGGTTGGTAGTACCCCTGCGCACGGAGAGTGCACCCAGCTTGCATCCCTCCCACTCATCCTGGTCTGGCGTCTTTTGGACCTTTAGAACACGGATATCATCAGTACACTTCATCTCGTGCTCCTCCCACTGCCGCAGGTACCGAGCCATCTCTATACACCGGACACCTTTGGGGCGAGGTAGGTCAATGAGCTCTGGATCTACATCGTTCTATAGATACATGTAAGTGGAGTATAGAGCATGCAGCGCAACATCTCTCACTTTGTGAAACATCCAGACAAAGATACGGCCACACGACTCAAACTCCAGGTCCTGCTCATTTTCCTCGCCGCTGCTGCTGATATCGATCACGGACGAAGAGCGTGCCCCGGGAGGCGGGGATGAACCGCGGACAGATGAAAATGATAGGGCGCCATCTTCGTCGTCGGACGAGATGATGGTGGGTGAAGCTGGAAATCGCAGTGGCATTTTGGATGGAGTGCAAGTAGGCGTTGCGGTGCTGTGTTGTAGCCTTTCGCGCACTGCCGACCGAGAGCGTATGGGCGTTGAGGGACGTGGTGCCGGCCAATCACCCAATAACGTCTTCACAACATCCTGCTCGCCGCCAGTCAGAGTATATCATCGGAAAGAAAGAAAAACAGCGCACACAAGATTTGCGACCTTTCTTACGAGCTGGCGTAGTGGTATATTTGACGCCAACTACGTGGGAAGTGTTGCGGCCGGGCTTGCGAGTCGTTCGGGGACGGTCACGCTTTAGTTCTAGTGACTCCCGGAATCCTCTAAGTCGCGAAATTTCGTGGCCGCTTATAGGAGCAGAGACAGGCTCATGCAACTTTCCCTTGCCGAAAGCGTCGGCAGGATGAATGAAGTTGCACTACTCTCGAAGAGTTAACGAAACGATGAATTGCAAACTATCTGTCACTAACCTTCATAATCCAGCGACCAAAGTTCGAGCCCCCAGACAAGTACTGGAGCTCTAGCGGAAGCGGCTCATGATTGAGGCGCCGACAACGAGATATGAGGAAGCAAGCAAATGATTCATCAACGTTGCTGGCCGCATGCCTAACTTCATCATACAGAAGAGGCTCCGATGCGCGGCCCTGGGCATAGGTGATGTGTATATTTCTGTCCATCGCGATAGGAGAGTGGCGGGACTACGGTTCGATGGTGTCTGCTGTGGTGGCGGAAACAGAAAGAGCACAGTCCTGCCTTCCAACCTGTCTTAAATGGTTCGCGGTACTAACCGGACAAGTTGCGCCATGTACCGGTAACCACGAGCTTCGCAAGACATAAAGACATTTATCCTCGATGCGCGTATGCATCGGAGCGGGCGTTCCGACGCAGTCGAAGGTCTTGTGCGTCGGAGTGCTCACTCCGACGCGACAGAAGCCCGTGATGGTCGGATCCTGTGTTCCGACACTCAGTGACGTGTTACTCCAACGTGTCTACCGATGCAAAGATAAGCTCCGACGTGTCAAAGCCCATTATGGCTGTTCCGACGTGGCGGGCGCAAGAATCCGACGCCTCATATAGCGGAGTCGTGCTCCCATTTTTTAGTCCGACAACGCTCCGATAGTCACCACAGCTTGAGCACTTCTGCCTGACACTTGGTATCACTCCGACCTTAACATGGTCAATATCGCTCTGAATGTACGCGCGCCGGATGGTATTGGAGGAAACAGTACCACTGAGGGCGTACACCGAGTATGTTCTTCCTATTAAAATGCTAGATTCTATATGCGCACTTATTGTAACTTTTAGAGCAATTCATCTACCACAGCGCAAGGCCGTTTGAGGCTGGCCGAATGGCTTCTAAAGGCAATTATGGCGTCCACGGGGGATGATTTCAAGCTGGCACAATCGGAGTTTTATCGCACGCTGCATGCCTCTTAGAGCACAAACTCTTCTGCACCGTATTATTCAACGATGGTATGTTCTATCTCGAGCTGTGCACATCCCACAATTCTGCTCATTTTCCGCGACATTCGAAATACTCCTCTATGGTTATGGTTGTGACATATTTAACTCACCTGTGGCACACTCTTTAGGATCAATGGCATTCACCACAGCTCCCTGAGCTTCATCCTGATACAACTCAGTTAGATACCGGTGCAGGGCTCTAGCACTTGTGAGGCACGTTCTATCAGAAGCTTGTCTGTGTTCAAAATGTCTAGACATGTTTGCCGTTACCATTCTATACAGCATCATGATAAGAGTCAACTGTGAAACTTGCCCATATATTGGTACGCTTTCTGATCGCGATATGAAGGACTAGTTGTCTGAGCAATCAGCTTCCGCACTACGTTACTGAGATGGGACTCTGACACGCGTGCACCACTCCGACCTACTAGCACTGATCTGATGCACATGCACCCTTCCAACGAGCACCACTCCGACTCACTCGCACTAATCCGATGCACTTGCACCCTTCCGACACATGTGGGCGCTCTGATTGCACGCTCCGATAAGATCGTATTGGTCCGACCTCCAGAGTTCGCCCCGGTGGGCTTGTTGCGCCTCGGGAAGCCCCAAATCTGATATCAGATGTCCTTGTCGGGTATCCACATTTCGATCGCGCAGTCAGGCTCACACGGCCTGACAGCTACATAAATACCGGGGCGTTCGGGCAGACCATTCGTAACAAACGCCTCCGAACATACCATGCACACTAACGCTAGCACCATGACTGTGAATGCTCCACCCGGTCAGTTGTACAGGCTATGCCACCTAGTCTTAGTGCTAATCCTGTGATAGACAACGCTCCGGAAGTGACCACTTTCATTGGTCGCGACGGCACTGTACTCCCCGCTGGGGTGGACCAGTACCCATTTTACGGGTACAGAAATGGCCACGACGGGAGCGGTGTAGTCACAACGCAGTAAGTTAACACCTCAGCCTCCCCTGCCCGGTTGACGTATTTGTGTAGCCAGGCTCTGCTCAAGCAGACCAAGGGCTCCCGGGACTCATGCGGCCGGGGCTTTGATACCGAAGCCGAGGCGCTGGTGTGGGTGGACAGTTTTGTCATAGCGGAGTACCCGCGCAAGCTCGATATGATGAAGGCTAAGTGGGTCGGGATGGAGAGTCAGCTGCAGGCCGCCAGGCGTCGAGCAACTATGTGATGGGTTTCCAGGCCTTGCGAGGATGTACCTGTTGTCGTGATATATGCTCGTTGCTCTAGTAACAAGTGGTCTTGTCCAAGGGGATGATTGAATCGGGACTTCCAAGGCGTTGCACTCTCCTCTGTCTCCATGTTTATCGTTGCCCTCGCCGCCTTCCAAATATGAGTAACAGGATAAATATCCCTCGATAATACTCGACAGATAGGATGCACAGGAACGACATAATGACGTACTGCCATTCGCGGCATCGAACATCTTGTGGGTGAGCCTATAGCCTGAGTGCCGTTGAGGCAGCACAAAAGTCAGCTATGACGGCCACGGGTCTCAACGGGGTGATGTGGAGGATGTCATCAGGCATAGTCGGGCGTCCTGCATGTGTCGGGGGAACGCGAGATCCTCTGAAACCTCTCCATGAACATGTCGCTGAGAAGGAGTGTTAGCAGAAGAGTATTGGGTCCACGGCGAGCCCGTTGATCCATACATACCTCGTGAGCGGATTGACATTGCTATCTGCACTATATTGCTGAGCGTTCGCAACACACATAGGGAGGATTCCGCGTACTGAAATGATACACAAATCTCGTCGGGCGGTATCTAACGACTGAGATATCTTCACCGACTGTCATCGCATGCATGCGTATGGTGCGTTGAGCCGCAATGCGTTCCTTTGCGGTCGACTGGGAGAGCCGATTCTCTCCTCATTGGTCTCATATCACCCACCGTACACGTTCGCACGCGGGTGAGGTTTTCCATAGTGGTGAGCGTACTCACGAGGCCTTCGCGCCGTCTCCATCGATAACGGAAGGAGCTGGTGTTGGTAGCACCCTAGAGCATTCACACATAGAGGACAAGGACAATCTTTCGCATCGCTCCGAGTGCATTCGAAGCCCCGTATTGGCCTATAGCTTTTGCCTAACGTTCGACTCGTTCTTCGTCAGCACGACATTTACCACCAACCCTCTCTACACCGGTAAATACGGCCTTTCGTCACTCCACGAGATCACGCACATGGCCCGCCGTGCTTTCGATCAAGCTCTGGACGACCGCTCATGCAACCCAATTACCTACTCTGAGCGAGGACCCAACCCGCCTTCGCCCAGAAGTATTGACCGTGCGATCGAGCCAGACGTTTTGGTATCCGTTTCCGTGCCTGCGCCCATCATGAACGACGTACACAACGGTTTCGTTGCTGATGAGTCTCACCTCGCACCGGTTACTCCCATCGCCGAAGAAAACGAGTTCAAGCACCACTTCGACGCGCTTGCAAGAATTCGCGCTACGACCCGTTCAGTCGCTAGACGAGTTGCGAGGCTCATTCCGCTGGAACCGTAGTTCACCGTACCGTTCAGTCGCGCTGTCATCGATGATGCCGTCGCGTCGACAGACGACGCTCCTCAAGTCGAGCATGCCACCGCCGAGTATACCGTCACGCTGACAAGCGAGATCGTCCTATCGCCTCAGTCAGCGCACGCCGACAGCAGGTACACCGGCGCCTTCAAGTCCGGACTGTGCCCGCCGAGAAAGCCGGGACCCAACACCTAGCCCGCCCGCTGTCGCTGTCGACGATGCCAGTGTAGAAGCGTGTGCCGAGTTACTACTCCGGTCCATCATGGTGGTATAAGCCGAACCGCATTCCTGAGTACTACACTACACCCCCAGCGGCTCTGGCGGTATGATACCGATTCTGGGCTATCCAATCTGAACCCGTCGTGAGATCTGTCCAAAATCGGATAAGGCATTACCTAGCTTGGCTCGTTACCTAGCTTGGCTCGTTACCTAGCTTGGCTAGGTTTCCCAAATCCGGCGCAGGAACCGACCGACCGGTGATTGCCGGAGGCGCGCTGATGTCATCAGTTGCGTTGCCAACTTGCCGCATCGCCCGCCTTTTCAACCCAAGCCACGCAGTCCTGCACGGCCTGGCGTACTTGAGAGGAATCACAGTCACGCATACCATCCCTAATCACCGTATTGAATTCAGCCAGGAGTAAGGGCAGGTTAGAGCGACAATGGCGCTTGAATTAGCCGGCCGAAGGCCGGGGTCCTGGCCGGCAACGATCGCTTTCGACTTTGAACGGAGCTCTGGTCCTAAGTAATTCAGGCCTGTACGCCGGAGGTATACTCGTACGGAGCAAGATGTTGAGATCACATATAGAAGGCTTACTTATCCCAAGCTAGGTTTCAGCTGCAGAATGCAGCGCTTCTAGTAGATTAGTTTGAGGACCAAACCAAACATTACCGGTGCGAAGTCGGTTCTCAACCAAACGTCGCGTGTGCATGGCACGCCTTCACTTCGCTCTCGCTCTCACCCTGTCGCCCGCCGCCCGCGTCATACCCACCCTCCTCTGTCGACCTCTGTCCCACTCTCCACCTGCCCTCATTGTGTCTCAACCAAGGCGCGCTCGAGGATACGTCGATGGGGAGCAAGCGACCTCCAGGGACAGCCCTCCTCACCGGCGAATGCAACTCTAACATTTGCGCCTGCACCCCGTTGTCCTCGTTCGCGTCCCGTCCGAAACATTGCCCACCCTCGACGGTAGCAACCTCGCCGCTTGTAGCCAAAGTGAGGTTTCCCTCTGCCCACAGGTCGGGATGTTGACATCGTCGCCTCCCCAGAACCCCGAGTTCCGCTTCCATCTCGCCCCCATCCATCATCACCGCGCCGCGCGCGCCCACACAAATCGCCCCGGGCTACCACGTCGAGGTCGCTGGCGGCGTTCGACGCTAAGTATCCGCTCTCGTGCTCCGAGGATAAGTTGGAGCACCCGGTTTCCCCGGGTAATGGCCCGATGCCGAAGGAGTTGATGGCCGCGCCAGCGTGATCGCTGGGTACGCGCCAGTCTACGGCCCGGTTGCTTGAGGGGTCGAAGCACGAGGCTCTGAGACCACACCTACGTCCAGCCGAGTGCGGAGTAGGTGTTTCCCGCTTGTCTGTCCGTCCGACCACCACCACCGCAATTTTCGCCTCGGCGAAGGCAGGCGTCGCACCCGCGGTCATCCAGCCCGATTTCATTGCGAACCCGCAGGCTACAGGTTAGCTCCTCGCCTCACCTCCCCTTCCTTTTCTTCCCCTTTCACGACGCATATCTAAACGGCCGGTACTCTCTACGAGAGTTGTAGTCGGTCGCGAGGGCATCGCGCCATGGACATCTTATTTTCTCCCCTTGACCGAAATTTATTTTCTCGTCTGGTGTTCCGCAGCTGGCCGGTCGCCACCGGCAGCCGGCACTTTCCAACTTTGTTTTCGCGCGGTGGAGACTTGTGTCGCCGCGCAAGACCCCAACGTTTCAATACCGACTCGACACTTTATGCTGCGAACTCGATCCTGACCACTCGTGACAGCCATCGGCAAAACGCCCACAAAACCGTTCGCCGTCTGGGCTATTGCCAGGAAACCCCGCGAGCGGACGTAGCTGGACGACACAAGATCCTTCGCCCAGGCCAGGGTTTGTTTCCAACCTAGGGTACGCGCTCATCGGCTTCGCTCGCTTCACTGTGTGTGGACCCTGTGCGCTGCAATATTGCCATCACCCGCCTCGGCACTGCCACGTTCGGAAGTGCATAGCGCGGATGTATCGTGTCGTGCCCGCTCAACCGACGCCTTTCGACGTCGCCCATATTGTGCATAACGCCGTCATCTGCGCGAGACGAGTCCCGGCGCTCGTCAAGCTGTTCCCAGAGAAGAGCTGATGTCTCGATGCTATTGATATGCAGTACAAATCACTTGTAGTACATGTATCGATGAATTCATATATCTGCCTATTGAGAAAGCGTGAGGATCTTCAATAAATAGCCTGCAAAGCTTTATAGATGATTTAGTCGATTCTGAGATATGCCGTTTAGGCCCGATCGAGAGCCGTTGAGGGCATTTGAGGCCGTGCCGCGGCCGAAGATCCGCCGGAGTGCATTCAGGAACAGGGGGGGGGCCCCGATGCGCTCCGTGACACTTCCTGCGACCAAGCGCGGGATGGAATATTGCATCAGGTATACAGCGTTCTTGTACTGTCTTCTTCTGTCATGGGAGTCGAACCGTCCACGAGTTTCTTACCTCGCGGGATCTTTGATCAGTGGATCCTTTACCAGGCGAATTCTTCAGTGGGTGGATTCTTCATTGGGTGGATTCTTTATCCGGTGGATTCTTTATCCGGTGGATTCTTTATCCGGTCAAATCAATATTCGGCGAGTTCAGCTCATTCATCGGTTCTTGGCCTGATAAAATATCCACTATCGGCCCGGGCCGGTTCTTTATTCCGATGTCATTCAATACGAACTCTCGTTCACCAACACACCGGGCGAACGTGTTTTCTGATAAATATGCATATATAGGTGGTATCTGACTTGCAGCCATGGCTGAACTTTGTTACGAGCATGTAGTGCGTTACAATGTCGGCGTGCTTGGAAGAAATAGCACGGGTAGCAGAAGGCGATTGGACTGCCGCAGGCAATAAAAATCGATGGTATAAAAAATACGAGATACCTTCAGGCTCCATAATAAGTAACCGGCGTCCTTTACGGCTGCATTCAAGACCAATGCATTGGAGGACGTCCTACCTCTAGACGCCTACAAGTACTTCGCCGGGATAGCCTCCGCTGGTGTCACCGAGGAGACGCGAAGTCATCTCGAGCCAGCGACCGTTCCGAGCAAATGGTGGAGTGGCTTCAGCGGCATCTCATCGAAGGTGCTCATCACGATGGGCGAGAAAGAGTGTCTCTTTGACCAGATCATGGACCTCTCGCAGGCGCTTGAACCTCATACACAAGTAGAAAAGGTTGTACAAGCCAACGGTGTCCATGAAGATTTTCTTTTCGCGTTTGGAGCTGGAGCTTTGGAAGGCAGAGTGGGGGATGACTATAGGGCTGTGCTGACGTGCTTGAAGACTGTGCTCGGATAATGCCAGAGTTATTATTGCACGAACATGCTTTACTCGTATGCTAGTCTTTCTCAGAAGCCGTCAAAGCGCTGCACTCTTCACACCGGTATCTAATAGAGCCCAAGACCTTGCAGTAGATTATGCCAAGATATGAAGAGTAATCAGCGGGCCACGTGCTACCTGCTGAACTAAGCGCCATCAACGATGCAGCCACGAATTGCAACCGTGGGATTGTCGCATCTCATTCATTCGAGGTACTCGGACTAGCCCTGCTTCATGTATATCTCAATCGGCCGCTTGAAACCTAACGCGCATTAGCCCCGTGTAACTTTTCGAAGATGAACGCGTTGCCGACTCACGGCCTTCTCCTGGTACGCCTAACCGCCGACCTCGACGGAAGCCCATCTCTTCTAGCAACACTCCAAAGTTTTCAGGTCGAAGCATGAGGCCCTGAGCGTTGCGGTGAAGTGTCTGAACGAGAATGAGCGCTGAGCGTAGAAATTAGGCACAATAAGGAAGACACACCGGATGTAGTTTCCGGGCTTTGGCATACGAGTCCCAAGGCTGGGGTTCAAGTACAAAGGCACCACCCGGAACGAGAGTATCATAGATACGCTGGAAAAAGGTTTTGATGCCTTCGTCTCCATTATTGAGATGTATCCATTTGGTTATCGAGAATGCGATGCACACATCGTAAAGGTTATCGTCCTCCTGAATGCGAGTATTGACCCAGTCGGCACAGCGAAACGCAACGTTGTGGGGAAAATGTGATGCCGCAGGAGGCGATTGCTGAGGAGGAATGGGTAAAGGACCGAACATATGTGCACACGATTCTGGAAAGTAGCCCGCTGTAGATCTCGGCGACAAGGTTATCGCACGCGAATCTGTCTGTTCAGGCTGTTGCGAGCTCCACACATTTCGTCGCCGTTTCCAGGCCATACGCACGAGGGCTTCATCGATATCGACTCCGACTACGAGTTCTGCGCCATAAGATTGAGCTATGTACTCTCAGATGTCAGAGGTAGCCGGTCTTAGTAGAGGTATGAGCCTTACCTATCTCACAGGTCACGACGCCTTCATTGCAACCGATATCGAGGACCCGCGCGCTCGTAAGTAGACCAGGCGGAAGTAAAGCAAGCCGAGAGTCAGAAGGGCCAGCATGACAGTACAAGTAGCTATATCCCACCCAGTCAGATGCTTGCACAGCGCCGTAATCAGCAACCTGACCCGTGATAGTGGCGATAGTTCCCGTGGATAGGCACAGAGACTGTGCTCAAGGAGGCCATGGTAAACAGCACACAAAATATTGTGAGGCAATAGTGAGAGTCTGATAAAGAATGTACTCTTGACGCCGAGGGGAAAGGTAGGAGGGCCACGTCAGTAGATCGTGGCAGTCTGAAACAAGAACGCGCGCGAGCGAACGGCAACAACACGATGCTCACCTGACCGTGTACATGCCGCGCTTCTCAGTACTCAGCGCTTAGCACTCATCCCTTGTCAAGAACGCTCATCGCGAAGTGCTCTATCGCCACATTCGACGTGGTTGAACCGGATGCGATCGTTATGTTTTGCCTCTGACCCCTCGCCGTGAGCCCAACCCTTTCGCGGGGTGCTCCCATGATGTTGAATGGGAGAGGGCGGTTTGCTGGAGGTTTGAAGCTAGAGGCAGCTTGTATACGCCGCTATCTTGCCTTTTGACGGATTGCAGAGCTCTTGCGGTGCGTGTGCTATACTAACCATCATACCATATACTGATTCCTGCGGCAGCTTCCCTTCGTTAACCTATAAATCTACATCGATGCACTGCCGTCGCATCATTCTCTACGCGCTCTCTTCTACTGCGAAGGTTAACGTACGCCTGGTATGTAAGTGTGTCAAGGGTTCTGATCATCTCTCATTTATCTCTACAGGGAAATATTATGACGACCTCGACGTATCCATCGCCTCATGGCTTCCCATCCACACTGTCGCTATATATGCCCTACTGGGCGCAAACTCTGGACTCGCCCCTGCATTTTTCCCAGCGCATGGCCTCGTTTTATTACGCTAGAGTAGATCCTATCTCCTATTTCATATGTCATGACCCTTCCTAGACTCCCTCCCCGCGCGACAACATGTCTGTTCGTCTTCAGCTCACACGCTATACCCATCTGGAGTAAATGCCTCCAATAATAATCGCAGTTCAAGCTAAGGCGGGGCTGATGCTCTTTACACTTCTTCAAAATCGCCAGTTTGGACGTTCTAATACTTCGGGGAAGCGGCGGGTGGTCGTTTGGGATGCTCACGGCTTTGAAGCTCTTTGGATGGAATTCATCGAATAGGCTCGAACACAGCCTCGCGAGGACACCAATACAACAAACGACGACGAACCTATCATGCATTTGCTGCCGGATTTCCCGCTCACACTGATGACAGAACGCTGCCTCACATCAGCGAACCACCGTGTTGAGATCGTTGTGGTGGTTCAGCAGTATGTAAGCGGGTAGGACATTCTGGCCGGGCGCATCACGTACGCCGCCCAGAAGGCGGCTGAGCCATCGGCTCTCGTGATTGAGAATCGTGTTGAGATCCAGTTGGGATGATAGCCGACGTTGTTTCCGGTACAGCAGTACCCCCCGTCCAACTACTGTTTAGTACGCGCGTTAGTTACACTAGCTTAGTACGCGCCCCTTTTCGGTCGAACGGCCCATGCAACATAAATGCATAATGGTGGGCCTGACTTCGGCTCCATTAACCATACAATTGTCCGAAGAAGTGAACACATGAACCATACGGAACACTCGAAGTTCTACTAGTTCTCCGCCTGCGGGAGCGCGGGCTGAAAGAGCTAGGTAAGTTAGCAACCAAATCGAGTACTTGGGATCGTATCAAAATACAGTCGTTTGCATGTGAGATTGCACCTCGACGTTTGCGCGAAATCGTCGAGCGTGACATCGGCCATCTCGGGTCAGTGACCGCAGTTCGGCGCCGCCAAGCCGCGCTGCGAGTTGTTGTGGGCCTTGTGGCTAGGAGTTTGCCGAACCGCGTCCTTGAGTGCCGTTGTTCGATTATGTGTGTAAACTGTATACTATAGCTCATCCCTACCTACTACCATTTACTCCATCTGCTACACCATGGTTCTGTCTAAGGAAATGCGACGGGACATAGTACGCTGGACTCAAGAAGGCCGGACGCGCAAGGAGGTTGCCCAGCTCGCGAAATGTCACCTCGAAGCCGTGCAGACCATCCTGCGATTGTGGCGCGAAACTGGCAATGTCGATAATCCTCACGCACTCTCTCGCGGCGGCACCCGTATACTCAACACTATACACCGCAACTGCATTCGTGCACTACATGCCCAGAACCCCACCCGCTACCTCCATGAGTATCAGGACGCCTGGTGGGAGGTTCACGGCATCGATGTCTCTATCGCCACTCTTTGTCGTGGAATGGCACCCATGAAGTATTCGCACAAGCAGAAATCGCCAGCAGCCTTTGAACAGAGCCAGAAGGCCGCATCACTCTCAATCTCGAGGGTCGGCTTTCCGACGTACTGCAAGGCAAAAGCACAGATATATGTCACCAATACGGGCTAGATACTGGCATACATGTGTCGAGAGCCAAATTTCAGTTATATAGATATCGAGGCATAGTACAGGGGGGATGGGTAGATACAATACGACTCCATGTAAAGATCGAGGTGAATTGGAGGTGAAGGTTCGAACAAAGGAGCCTGCGCGGCTCGGCGGCGCCGAACTGCGGGCAGTGACCCGAGATGGCCGATGTCACGCTCGACGATTTCGCGCAAACGTCGAGGTGCAATCTCACATGCAAACGACTGTAGACTCGGTTGACGATCATGCACAGTCGGTGTGGCGGACGGGAGAGCTCTCGTTTACACAACGTTTACATCCGCATACGTCCATTCCGCGGCATGAGGAAGAGACAGGATCGAACACATCGGATAGACCGGCCCGGGCGGCAGGGGCGGCGAATGACCCGCGCTGGTCGTGGCGGGCCGAGCGGATCGAGCTTGCACTGAGCTCTCAGGGCGTATATAAAGAAATCCGGAATTAGAATGCTTCTACACTCCTTGCTGTCTGTCGCTCGCCATGTCGACGAAAATCACCCACTTTGAGATCCATGGTGCGTTGGAATCAACGATCCAGGTCCCGCCTACTCACTTTCAACGTCCAGATGTCCGCTTCCCCACATCGCTCACCGGAGACGGCACCGATGCTATGTCCGTCTGGTGATCGTATGCTGCGCTCTTACCTGACCTTAGCACGCTGTAGGAACACGGACTGCGACTATTCTTCGGCATATGTCTCACTGTACACCGACTCTGACCTCGTCGGACATGGCATGACCTTCACGATCGGCCGAGGCAATGACATCGTCTGCACAGCGATCAAGGAGGTCGCAGGCCGCCTGGTCGGCAAGGAGATCGAGCCTCTGTTTGCCAACATGGGTAAGGCCTGGGAATATCTCGTCGCCGACCCGCAGTTGCGCTGGTACGTCGCTCTTGGCCCGTCCGAATCCCTGCGGTACGTCGTTGATACAATGCCAGGATCGGTCCGGAAAAGGGTGTCATCCACATCGCCACTGGCGCCGTCGACAATGCGCTTTGGGACTTGTACGCCCGCTCCCGCAACAAGCCTCTCTGGAAACTTGTTGTCGACATGTCTCCCGTATGTACCTTTACTCGCCCCAGAGATCGCTCCGACCTCTCATGTCCTTCGCAGGAGGAGATTGTCAACTCGGCAGCATTCCGCTACATCACGGATGCGATCACGAAAGAGGAGGCGCTCGAGCTGCTCAAGAAGAACGAGGCCAAAAAGAAGGAGCGCGAGGAGAACGTGCGCAATCTCGGGTCCGTGACCTTGTATCGTCTTGAGCTCCGTCGTGCTGAACCACGTACAGCTACCCGGCATACGTCACCTCTGCAGGATGGCTGGGCTACTCGGATGAGAAGGTCGCCCGCCTGACGAAGGAGGCTGTCGAGGCTGGATTCAGCCACTTCAAGATGAAGGTCGGCGCTGATCGTGACAATGACCTCCGCCGCGGCAAGATCATCCGCTCTATCATCGACGACCCCCAATATCTCCCGGCGGGCGCCATAAAACGCGACCCCAACAGCCCTGAAGTCGCAGGCAAAAACGCAGGTCCGCTTGGCGCTGTTCTCATGATCGATGCGAACCAGGTTTGGGACGTTAAGGAGGCCATTGACTATGTCCAGTCGCTCGAGGAGATCAAGCCGTGGTTCATCGAAGAGCCTACCGCCCCAGACGACATCCTCGGCCACGCCGCCATCCGCAAAGCGCTTAAGCCTCACAGTATCGGCGTCGCCACTGGCGAGCATGCTCATAACCGCATGGTCTTCAAGCAGCTCCTCCAAGCTGAGGCTATCGACGTTTGCCAGATCGACTCGTGCCGTCTTGCCGGCGTGAGTGAGGTGCTCAGCGTGCTTCTCATGGCGGCCAAGTTTGGCGTTCCGGTATGCCCACATGCAGGCGGTGTTGGCCTATGTGAGTATGTAATCCACTTGAGGTTCGTCTTTTGCACAATCTTCGACGCGCCGTTTGCTCAACGCAAGTAGCTTGATTGACTACATCGCGATATCGGGTACGATGGAGCGCAACGTCCTCGAATATGTTGACCACTTGCATGAGCATTTCCTTTACCCATGTTCGATTAACAGCAACGGACGCTACAATGTTCCGAGCAATGACAAGGAGGGCTATAGGTACCTTTCTGAAACCTACGGCTCTATTGCGACACAACCTGACTATCCTCTTACAGTATCGAGATGCACAAGTCCTCCATCGCTGAGTTCGAGTGGCCTCACGGTTCTTATTGGGTCAAAGCGAAATCATCCTGAGTGTGAGTGTAATGTAATATGGGTGGAAGTTTGAGCAAGTGCAGTCATCTATCAATTGTATCCATATTGCTGTTATCCACGACATTGAGTTCCGTCGCATCTGCGTTCGCCTCATCTTCAGCAGACTGACGCAAGGAACTTGACTGTCCGCTCGGGATCGTCCCAGTGTGGCTAGATTCAGTGACGGTGAGCCTTGCGGTCTTGTGTTAAACAAAGAGAATCGAACGCACGAAGTGGTTTGCCCACGGCAGCTCGACGATCTCGAAGGGTCGTGCCGCCTTTCCTTGCTTATCGTACTCGTTGCGCAGCTTTTCTACGCCCCAAGCACCGGCAACGGACGCCCAATTTCCTCTCCCGCTCCAGATGAGTACGAACCTGCAACGAGGGAGGACCTCGGCGGTAACTTCGTCCAGGATAGCGCGTCGAGTATGTTCATATACAACCTCGCGAGGCATTGTGAACAGGTACAACTCCGAAGTTGCGAGAGGAATAGGCCATGCCATTGACGCCTTTGCTTGCGGATCCATCGCGAATAGCGTGGGTGAACGGTCCGCATTGTCTTCCGGCGTGGGGTAAGGCATCGGGCTAACGTCGAGAAGAGTCGGATCGTGGGTTTTCAAGGCCTCCGAGTTGTGTGTATAGTATGCCGACACCCACTGCTCGAACCTGGACAGGCGCTCAGGTTGAGGTACATCTTCCTCTGTGAGCGGATGGTAGGTCGTAGGCGGAGACAAGCCGAATGATGTGCCAGGTGCGTCTGAAATTCTGTGTTCAGCACTTTCGTATAGCGCACGGAAGACACTGACTGACCGAGAGTGCAGTACACGCGTAGGTGTGTGTCAAGTAGGTCCCGCTGATCTCCCGGAAGGAGGTCTGGGCAGGCTATGAGAGGGCATGCAGAGGTATGCCCCAATGACCAAGCCACGAGTGCGATGCCGCCTTCGCAATTGCCCGTAGGAGTTTCCGTCCTCGGTGGTAGATTATGAGTGCTGATGAACCAAGCAAGGAATGCGCCGTATTGTAAGCCAGTCGCTCGTAATGCGTCTTCACGTATACCATTATCGTCGTTATTGAGAGCAGTAAGCTCTTCACCCGAGTATGGCGTCGTTTGCGGATAGTCACGCCTATTCAGAGCCACCAAACGCACGTTGTTTTCGGCGGCGAATGCCATCATTTGACCGAAGATCCCTACATCATATTGCGCTCGATGGATCTCGAGGAGAATGTAATATAACTTACCGGCTGTGAAAGCTGAGCCATGAACACATACGATCGTAAGGTAGGAGCCTTTTCCTGCACCACTATCTTCATAGAAGAACTGCACGGCGTCCGACAAGGTGGCTATGGGCATAGTGATGGTGCTTGAAGAAGTGGCGGCCTTGTGCTGTGCTCCTGCGAAGCGAGGTGGCAAGGTGCAGGGTGGGGATCCCGGGGTACTATCGCACAGGCACCACGCGCACGAGCACTCGCTCTTTATATATGGCCCCAACAACAGCCTGCAGCGAGGCATTCCATCAGACACTGGTTAATCTTCTAAGTCGTACCTACATGGTGGACAAAAGGCGCTTCGCAGAGCAATGTGGTGAGGTGTTGTCCTAGTCTACCCACGCACACAACGCGCCAATTCATGGCTTCCGCGCTTATCGGAGTTGAGCACTATGAGGCACGGCGGCGTTCTATGATACGACGTACAAGGTATAACATATTCTCTACATGTTGTTGATACGTCAGACAGTTGTCAGTTTAGATACACGTACAACAGCTCTTTCGGAACTACGCGGCCTTCCCGGCGTCCTCCTTCAAACTGACGATACGGTTCAGTACAACGAAATCACCATCACGGCGCCCGGGTGCAGTGTCTTCCGGTTCATTCAGAGCGGCAACCTTGCCATCCTTGTTGTCGAGAGCGAAGTACGCAGTGCGCAGGCCCTGAAAACGCACACACTCTGGCCCGACGAGTTGCTCGCTGGTGACCTTGGGCGTGTCCTCCGTGGCATTGACAGTCGTGTTTTCTCTCAAGGCTGCATCTGTGCGCGCCTTGCTCTCGCGTCGCGCTTCAGCGTACGAGCGCTTCGCAAGGGTCCAAAAGCCGACTTCGACGAGCGCGCCTTTGATAACCTCAAGACTGTCCGGGTTCACATCTGCACGGAAGTCGGGCGCGGCAGCCGGGTTATCGCTTTTGAATAGCTGGTGGAAGACCCGTGTTTCGTCTACGCGTACCGGCGAGCCGCTCGGCACATGCTCGGCAACCCACTGGATGAAGGCTTTTGGCTTCTTCACAGGCCTGCCGTCCGCGCCATCCTCTAGGCGAGCGATGATCTCGATAACATCTCCCGTGGCTGGGTCGGCCTTGTACGAGACACAAGTGATGGGGTGAGGTGCCTGGAAGAGACCGACCGTCTTGCCTGGCGCCAGACGGAAATAGTCTGGCGAGTCCTCCAAGCGGAAGTCATCGCGATCGATGTAAAGTGAACGCGTAAAAGGAATAGTGGTCATCCCGAGGGCGGGGAGTTTGGGGTGGAAGGGCTTCTCAACCATGAGAACGTAGTCTTCTGGAAGATTTTCGATAGTGACTTTGAGCGGCCGTAGGACCATCAGTAAACGCGGTGCCGAGTTCTCGAGGTAGGATCGGACGGTCTGGTCGAAGCGGGCGAGTTGAATGTTGGAGGGAGACGTCGACACGCCAAGCTGACTGACGAAAGAGATGATGGCCCCGGGTGGGACCCCCCGACGACGAAGCGCGATAAGGGTGTACATGCGGGGATCATCCCAGCCCATCACGATGCGCTCTTTGACAAGCGCAAGGATCTTCCGTTTGGACATCACGGTGCCCTGGAGATTGAGACGACCATATTCGGATTGGCGAGGTTTGTACACCTCGAGCGCATCGCAAAGCCACTCGTACGACACGCGCGATAGGATGAATTCCACCGTGCAAAGAGAATGACTGGATCATTCGGTCAGATCATGCCTGGCGAGAAGAGGAAGACACGTACGAAATGTTCTCAAAGCTATCGACCAGACAGTGCGTGAAGTCGTAGGTCGGGTAGATCTTCCATTTATCGCCCGTCCGATGATGTGGGGCGAGAAGGACGCGGTATGCAGCGAGATCCCACATCTGCGGGTTACCATCCTCGAGGTCCTGCTTCATACGGAGTACGGCCTCTCCGGGTTTGTACTTGCCGTCCTTCATGCCCTCGAACTCGGCGAGTGACTCTGCAATCGGACGGGTACGGTGTACACAGGCCGTTCTCGCTCCACCGTCGTCGCCACCGCGGTGAGCATGGATTTCCTCGCCTGCGGCGTGATTAGTGAGGGGTTGGATGGAGAGAAAGGCGATTGCTCACCAGTACAGTGGCAAACGTAGGCCTTGTCCCGCTTGATAAGTTCGACCGCCAGTTCGTATAGCTTGTCAAAGTAGTCGCTCGAATACGTGATCTTCCACGGTTCGAAACCCAACCAGCGGACCATTTCCAGGATACTCTCAAAGTAGACGGCCTCCTCCGCCTCCGGATTCGTGTCATCGTAACGCAAGTAGCAGTGTCCGCCGTGATGTGCAGCGTATCCGAAGTTCACGAAGATGGCCTTGGAGTGGCCGATGTGCAAGAAGCCGTTGGGCTCTGGCGGGAAACGCGTCCAGACTTGGCCACCGGTCGTCAGGAGATGGGCGTCGCGTAGCTCGGGCTTGATCTGGGGGTTCTCTCCAGGCTTGTGGAGCTTGCCGAGGAAACCCTCGTCAAAGACTGAGCGTGTTGAAGTCGAGGAGGCCTCTGCCTCTGCCGTCTTAGAAGCGGCGGCTTTCTTGGATTCCTGCGCGGACTGTGTCAGTATGGGCTGTGGGACGTGCCGAGTGGCCATACCTTTGTCTTTGGCTTTGCAGCCTCCTTCTGTCCGAAAGCCTCTGTGAAGGCGCGCTCGACGGTGGACTTGAGCTCCAAAGCGTTCGCCCAGCGCAGATCGGTGCCCTTGAGCGCGCCGATGACCTGATTCATGTTGGCCCAGCCTGCGACGGCATTTGTCTGCAGATATCCGGTGACGGACGAGTAGAGCTCCTCGGGTGTGATCGTGAATCCTGTAGCGTACTGTGAGAAAATTGTGATGGAATGCACGAATGTTGGCACGGACCGACACCGCACGCCTTGTCAAATACCTTGTCGTCGACGGGCAGAGGGTGGGAGTCGAGGTACTTGACGGCGGCTGTGTTTGTACTTGATGAGCGACGATCAGCCCGACGCGCCGCCCTCGGCTCGCGTGCACGCACCGTTCACCTGGTCCGTCGCCTTGAGCCTGCCGTCGAGCACGCCCCGCACGACGTAGTCACGCTCGTCGTCCGATAGCTTGACACCGGAGACGGCCAGGGTGGAGATCAGCGAGGCCTGTTTCTCGTCCAAGCCCTTGTGCGCGAGATCGTGCCGCGCGATCACGTCCTTCAACACAGCGGCGCTCTTCGCGCTTTTCGCAGCTTCCGCGGCCTTGGCTTGCGAGAGTCCGATAGACTTGAAGGTTTCGATGAGCTCCGCCCCCTCTGCCGATGGTTTGGGAGCCATGGTGGTCGTGGATCAAGCTTCAGACGCGCCTCATCCGCGGCGGCTAACTGATCATCTCACATGCCTCAAGGAATAGAGTGTGACGTATATTTACAGAGACAACGACTATTACATGAGTGTATACGCTAGGAGGAGAATGTTCGTCTATGCATCATCACCGTCTATCAATGCTGGGTCCATATGGACGACGAGGTCCCCGGGGTCTCCGAGTAGTGCCTTGTACTGCTTAGGTCCCCAGAAGTGATACCAAGGCCGCTTTCGCTCTACAACTTCCATTTTCCGTGTCTTCATCCGGGATACCGTATCAGTGAGCCTGCCCTCGAGAAATGCGAGAGAAATTTCGTTGATCACCCGCAACACTGGGCGCGCGGACGTCGAGCGAAGGGGTCTCGGTAACATGACGGGAAAGTCGGAGAAAGATATGTGACTGGAGCCAACTGCAGGAGCTGATGAGATACGGGCAGGATCTGCAATGGCAGGACTGGCGTACCGATACTGATCGCGACGGAGCCTTTCCAACCACTGGTGACGTCCAACACTTTCCCAAAGTGGTCCTTCCACAGAGTCATCTTCTCCGCCGCTATCACAAGGAGCTGAGGGTGCTCTGAGCCGTATGGACGTATGGCAGCATGAGGTAGAGGGTTTGGCGACTCGGCGTCAATCCAAGGGTCAAGGGCGAGTGCGTGAGAGATGGGTATGGGCGATAGACCGTGGCCTTCGGGAGGGGGATGAGACAGTACGTCGATCTGCAGTTCGTCAGCGCGGTTGTTGAATATGACCTTCGAAACTCTGACCACTGTGCCTCCGCCGAAACTGTGTCCAGCTATGGAGACGTTCGCTTCGGTGCGCACCCAGCCATTCACAAGCCAGGTTTTGGGTATGGGTGTACCGCCAAGCACCTCCAGGTCGCCACAGCGACCTTGTGAGACCATTTGAGAGAAGGCTCTGAAGCCGAGATAAACTTCCAAGCGTCGCATTGCCATCTGCTCGACGCGGAGCCTGAAGCGGGACGCCTGATCGAGTCCGCACGGTTCTCCGTCGTCCCAACTCGTTGACTTCAGCATTGACTTGCAGGGAAATGACGAGTGCGTGCTCACAAGACGTATTCAGGATGAAGAAAGTAAAGTGCTTCCGTGCGTCCGGTGCGATCTGAGCGAGGGCGCATCACCGGTCCTGAACCATCGTGGTGTTCAAACGCAAGTACGACCTTGCCGAACGACGCCATGTGAGAACACATCTGACTACGTAGTGTCATGGTCATGAACAATGGACGCGAAGGTGGTAGAACGTACCTGTAAGTCGTGTTGTTGGAGCCCATACCGTGCGAGAATAAGACCACAGGCCATGCGTCTTCAGGGTTGGAAGGGCGTAATGGAGGGGAATTTTCATGAACCGGGATCTATCAACCGGTCAGCGTCGCAGAAGTCCTGTAAAGGCAAGGTGCATGGACCTCAAGATGGCGACCGTACAGGAGAACGGCTATCCAGAAGATCGACTTTGGAATATCTTATATCGACGGTCCGGTCAGGACGCGACACGAACGCGGTTGGAGAGTCGGACGTACTAGTGAAATGCGAATATCCATCTATGGTATCTTTCAAAGGTCTTCCAGAGAGTGGTAAGGCTCTCATTCCAAGCCGAACTCTTGCGAACACACCTTGCGAGCCAATCCAATCCCTTCTTGTGTGTTGTACGCGAAGACGCGGGAGTGGGATAAAACGCCGTAAAAGTGACCTCTTCCACCACAAGAGCAGGCTCGAGCTTCCCGGTCCGCGGATTACGAAGTCTAGCAGAGCCAACGGGTACATGGTCGTTGAGGGGCAGAACGAAAGTGGTCGCACCGACAGCGTACGGGCCTTGGGCAGGAGTAAGAAGAGACATCGAGAGGCCGGGCGCAGGCCAAAAGTCTGGTTATATATAGACGTACAGGAGTACCCGGCTTATGATGGGCCCAGACAAGGCATATATAGTTGCATCGGCACAAGCAGGTCCAACCCTCCAGGTCGGCGACTCGGCGAGTCTGTGGAACACGCTGAGAACGTGTCGGATCCCGGATGACGCATTTCACAAAGGCACCACGATCCGCCATTGGTGGAGGCCATCCTCGCCCAAACTTCAGAGGCGGTGTCCTTCTGGCGTATTTCTGCCTCAAGATCTCAAGAGCTTAAGGCCTCCAGGGCCCGATATCGGTGCTTTACATCGACCATGCTGACCGGCTAGAGCTTTCCTCCCCGTAGATATAATCTCTCACGGACACGGCGGCAGCGATGCGGCGCCGAGAACCCAACTCAGACATGGTTTGTGCACGCATCCAACATCAAAGGCAGGAGCCATCGTATACCATTAAATCAGCGTAATCGTGCTATCAGGCGGGACTGGGGGGATCGTAAAGTCGTGAAGAGGGTCGATCGCCTGTCCGAGATGATGCGCGGTGTATACACGTAGGCACGACACGAGGGTTATGCACATACGACGACGTTACGATACGGGGAAGGGGGGCTCCGCAAGACGATCTGAGACGCTCAAACAGACAAACCGGGATATTGACACGGACAGAGGATGTATATATGTGAGGGGAATCGAGAATAGCAAGGTGACAGGACAGGAAAGGCGGACGCTTTTGGGAATATCGTGACAGAACCAGCCAGACGATGTATTCAAAGGCACGCCAGGCTTACACCCGCCGCTTGATGTTGGCCGAGAGCCACTCGAGGCCCTCGTAGAGACCATCGCCGCTCGTCGCGCACGCGGCCTGTAGGAAAGAAGTTCGAGTCAGTTAAGCGCCTGATGTTGCGGAAGCGACACGCTGTCGCGTGGCAGTGGCGGAACCAAGGACAGACGTGTACTTACCTGGATGTACCACGTCCGCTGGCGGAGACCCTGGAGGCCGAGCTTATCGGTGATCTCCGAAGCATTCATGGCGTTGGGCAGATCCTGCTTGTTGGCAAAGACGAGGAGGAGGGCGTCGCGGAGCTCGTCCTCGTTGAGCATGCGCTGGAGCTCCTCACGTGCCTCCGAGATACGTTCCCTGTCGTTCGAATCTACGACGAAGATGATACCCTGCGTGTTCTGGAAGTCTGCATGCCGGATACGTCAGCGGCGGGCGGCTAGTGAAAGCTGAGATTGGGCCACGTACAGTGCCTCCAGAGCGGGCGAATCTTGTCCTGGCCTCCGACGTCCCAGACGGTGAACGAGATGTTCTTGTACTCGACCGTCTCGACGTTGAAGCCTGCGAACATGATCAGGCGACGGGCTCGGGCCGTATGCGGAACACGCACCGATTGTCGGAATGGTGGTCACGATCTCGCCGAGCTTGAGCTTGTAGAGGATGGTCGTCTTGCCGGCGGCATCGAGACCGACCTGAGCGTGATGTGAGCAGTCTGGTTGCGGTATAGATATCAAAGGCGAGTACGGACCATGAGGATGCCTGTGGATGGGCAGAAAAGGACGGGCGTCGGTGCATGTGACACGGCGAGAGCGGGAGACGGCACTTACGCATCTCCTTCTTGCCGAGGATGCCGGCGAAGAGCTTGGAGATCGAGAGACCCATTGTTGAGGAAATATAAGACGAGGGCGGAGGAGAGGGCGGTGACTGGTGGCGGCAAGGGCAGGCAAGCGCGCCTCGCCCGTCGCCGTGTCCCCGCTTCGGCTCTTGCCGCCCAAGTTTCCCATAGGCCACTTGCCTCGTCGGCTTGACACCGCCCATGATCACCTTCACGCCCCTTTCCGGCCCTGCCCGCTCAGAACGCATACAGCCTCTCGCATATCTCCTCCAGGTAGATGACATACGCGTCCTCCTCGACTGCGGCGCCCCAGACTGGTGTCCAGAACAGTCCACTTCGGCCCTCACAGAAGACCATCTGAATGACCAGGCTCACCACTGGCATAAATACTGCGATACCCTGCGAGAGTACGCGTTCTCCTCGCACACACACACATATATATGATCATCATCCCTAATTCGCTTTCTCATAGACTCTCGCCCACCGTCGACCTGGTCTTGCTCTCTCATGGCGACTTGTCTCATGCCGGGCTTTATGCCTACGCACACGCCCGTTGGGGACTAAGGGCACCCGCATACTCGACCTTGCCCGTTCAGGCCATGGCGAGAATTGCTGTGCTTGAAGAGTCGGAGACCTTGCGCGAGGAACAAGACGTCGGACCCGACCCCGACCCCGACTTGTTGCTCGATGACGGCGGCGCTCCAGACCGGATGGACATTGACGATTCAGGCGAAGCTCAAGACTCATTACCGGCTGCCAAGAATTACCAAGACAAGCGGGGCAAATACATTGCGACAACTCTGGAAATACAAGAAGCTTTTGACGCGGTCAACACTCTTCGGTACTCGCAACCTACCCATCTTGCCGGTGCGTCCACGGTTCCTTTCCGCCGTCAGGAAGCGTGCAGTGTTCGAGCCGGTGTTGTCCTCATATCCATCATGTATCCATGTAGTACCATCACAATGTCATGTCGTTCACCTCAGCTGTATCGGTTGAGACTATCATCCCTCCTATCTCGGTATGATTCTGTTCACCGTGCTGAGGCTTCACAGGGAAGGCCCAAGGTCTGACGATTACACCTTTCAACGCTGGACACACTATAGGTGGCACCATCTGGAAGATTCGATCACCGTCTGCGGGCACTATCGTCTACGCTGTCGACCTGAACCATATGCGGGAGCGTCACCTGGACGCAACTGTAATGCGTCAAGCAGCAGGGGCCGCTTTTGAACCCCTCCTTCGACCAGACTTGCTCATCACCGACGCTCAGCGGGCAGACTTTGTCAGCAGTCGGCGCAAGGACAGAGATGCCGCGCTCATTGGTATGCATCCACAATCCAACCCTGTCATATCATAGATCTGACATGGCATCAGACGCGATCACAGCGACGCTGGAGCGCCGCTCGTCTATGCTACTGCCCTGCGATGCAAGTACTCGTCTCCTCGAGATGCTCGTCCTACTCGACCAGCATTGGTCCTTCGCACGACTCAAATACCCAATTTGCCTGGTCTCTCGTACGGGCCGCGAGATGCTTACCTTCGTGCGAAGCATGATGGAGTGGCTCGGCGGCACAGTCAGCAAAGAAGATGTCGGCGAAGAGGCGGGTGGTGGCGGACGAGGCAGTCGTAAACAGCAGCGAAAGCGCGAACGTGAGCGTGAAGAACACGAGGATGCAGAAGAAGAAGCACTAGGAGCTTTCGCCTTGCGTTTCAAGTAAGCCATCGCGTATCGTCGTAATTATCCGGGCTTACAGGATATCTCAGGCATCTGCAGTTCTTCACAAGCCCGGAGGCCCTACAAAAGGCCTTCACGATGAAGGATCCCAAGGTCATCCTTGCCGTTCCGGCTTCGCTCTCTCATGGACCTTCACGTGCTCTGTTCGCCTCTTTCGCTGCCATACCGGACAATGTCATCATGTTGACATCGCGCGGAGAGCCTGGAACATTGTCCCGGCTCATGCACGACCGTTGGAACGATTCGCAACGCGAGGAAACAAAATGGAACCGCGGAAAGATCGGTAGCAACGTGATGCTTGACCGATCTTTACACCTACGAGTTGGTGTTCTCCCCTTTCTGTATCAGGCTTACGACTGACTCGTAAAACGGTATAGATAAACTCCAAGGTTCCGCTTGTCGGCGCTGAACTAGAGGGATACCTCCAGAAGCAACGAGAGGAGCGCGAAAAGGCCGCCGCCGTCGCGGCAGCCAACGAGCGCCGTCAGCGTTTGTTAGAGGCCGACGCTGAGGATGATTCAGAGTCGGATGATGACTCTGACGCGGCCGATGAAGAAGATGTTGAACGCGAACTCGCGGACACGCAAGGAGGAGGCAATGAATGGAGCGATGGAGCACGGCTGACCTTTGATATCTACCTCAAGGGTAACGTCGCGCGAGGGGCGGCGAGTTTCTTTCGCGCCGCACCACGCGAAGGACGAGGATATCGCATGTTCCCGTATGTGGAGAAGCGAAGGAAAGTCGACACATTTGGCGAGGTGCCGGATGTTGCGGCATGGTTAAGGCGTGGACGCGAGATGGAGGAGGCGGAAAATGTCAATGCTCCTGAACGTCAGGCTGAGGAGGACGAGTCGAAGGTAAGACTATTCGGGAATTGTACTGATATATTCTGACTTGCAAACCCTAGAAGGAACCCGAGGAAGTCCCGTCAAAGTTCATCACGACGATCGTAGAGGTTCAACTCGCATGCCGCTTGCTATATATTGATCTGGAAGGCCTCAACGACGGTCGCGCAACAAAAGCGATCATCCCTCAGGTGAACCCGCGCAAGATGGTTTGTTACATCCGTTGTCTGGATACGAAACAAATCTGATCGAGATGCAGATCCTGGTCCACGCATCCGCAAGCGGGACTGATTCCCTCATTGAGTCGTGTGGCACAGTCCGTACAATGACGAAGGATATCTATGCGCCTGGTATCGGCGAAGAGATCCAGATAGGACAGCAGACGAATAGTTTTGCCATTGCGCTGTCTGAGCCACTCATTGCCAGTGTTCGTATGTCGCGGGTACGGTTCTTCTGCTGCATACAGCGTCCGAATTTGTGACTGAGATAGGACCGCATAGTTCGAAGATAACGAAGTTGGGTTCGTGCGCGGACGTATCACAACCTCAGCTTCCTCCACGATGCCTACGCTCGAAGCCTTACCGCCGGGATATGTCGCAACGCGGATTCTAAATTCATCCACTCCAGTACGCGTGCTGGGTGCCCGCCCTTCACAGCGCCTTCCAAGCAGCACGCTCATCGGTGAGCTGAAGCTGACGGCCCTCAAGGTGCGCCTCGCTGCGATTGGAATCCGTGCCGAATTCGCCGGAGAAGGTGTTCTTGTATGCGGCCTTTCACCCGAGGGAGATCTGGGTAGCTCGGTTGCGGTGCGCAAGGCCGCCAGAGGTCATGTTGAGCTGGAGGGTGCTGTGAGCGACGTCTATTACAAAGTTCGCAGGGAGATCTATGGGCTTCATGCACTTGTTGCAGCTTAGTCTCGCCTACTGTACCACCATGACAGCTTCTGAGCACTGCAGTCAATACTGTAGGAAGCTGACGCTCGTACTATTGAGCCTGTTGTGAGACTATTGAGCCTGCCGTGAGTCGATAGATAAGAACCTCATGCATTCGCGGATGTAAAAACTGTATACAATGTAGTTTGAGGGTATAGGTGGCAGATATGCTATGAGTTGAAAGTGGTAAGGGTGATGTCGGTGTACGTCAGTAAGAGACTCAGTTACATAAATGAGAAAGATAAAGATACAAGCTCGGGCGATCAAGCGCGTGGAGATGCCGGGGGCGAGGACGCCCATTCCGAGGGCGTTGAAGGTTGTAGCGGCTCCTCTTCTATAGACGTGGTCCTAGTCGATGCTAGTGTGCAATTGGAAGTTGAAGCCGAGAGTAAAGGTGCAGAGGTGCTGGAGGATGAAGTGCTGGGCGAGATACATTGCAGACTGTCGGAGACTGAGGGTAGCGCAGTAGTTTGGAATGATTGCAGAGTCTTGCTCCATTCAATCACTTTTGGATGCGCAACGACCTGCGATTGACGCGCTGAGCTCGCATCGCGATTCATCTGAGAGGGACCACGCACCTTCTTCGGATCGAAGCCCAGCACTTGCAAGCCATCCATGGTCGCAGCCCGAGAAAGAGCCACGTAGCTCTGCCCTGGAAGAGAGGTGAGCCCCAGATGACTTTGTCCGAGAGATGAGAGAGTGCACCTTTCTCAAAAACGCGACCGAGATCGATCTTGACGCGTTGTATCGTTTGGCCCTGACTCTTGTGGATGGAAATGGCCCAAGCCAGAATAAGAGGGACCTGAAGACGTCGCGCAAGCACCTTCCCTTCGCTATCCTCGACTCTAAACTCATCACGGGTGACTAGGACAGTGACCCTTCCCGAAGGCGTGAGGAACTCGACGTATGGGAACTTCTCCTCTGATAGTCCAGCACCACTGGGACGAGACTTCTTGTCCTCCTTATTACCTTCCCTCTTGACCGGTGCATTCGATACAAGCTTGCCGTCAGCGTCGAGTACGATGTCGCGGACAACGCCGTTCGCCTTTCCGCCTTGGGCAGGGAAGAAGCCGAGTACACGGCCAACCGAGCCATTCACAAGGTGACGCCGGTCATCCACGTTGCGGATAAGCATGACTTGGGCGCCTGTCTTCAAAACCAGCTCCTGAGGGGCCATCATGCTCTCGAAGATAGATTTCCGACGTTCTTCGGATGCGTTACCAGAATCGCGAGCGATGAATCTATGCGGTGGCGTGCGCAGGGCGTCCAGACGCGCAGCGTTTGCGCGCTCGACCTCATTTCGTAGCGGAAAGAGTTCCGTGGGTGGAGCTCTACCACGACCGGCGCCTAGTGGCCGGGAGAGTTGCTTGAAGGTATCCGTTGCAGATGGGGTTAAAGTGCCGTGGCGTAGTTCATTGAGTAAGTCGATGAATGCTACGCAGAGGGGGATCAGACACTGACGATACTCAAGCTTGTGTAGATGCACGCACTTGTATCTTTCTGGCGAAACACCTGGGTCAAAACAACTGTATGGTCGATAACCTTCTTCCACGCTTCGGACTCGAATGCAAAGAATGGCTGCTTGCCGTTCTTCGTGACTGGCGGCAACTGGAAGAAATCTCCTGTTATCACAAGCTGCGTTCTCATGAGCAGCATGTCATATTCGTGAACTATAATGACTTACTTGTATACCACCGAGCGGTCGTTGCGATTGTTTGCGTAAACGCACGGCGAGGCCGGCGATTCGATCGAAGAGATGGCCATCTACCATCGAGACTGGCGTAAAATGAGCTCCTATCAGCCCTCATAACAGCCCGAAATCAAGTATGAGATCCACCTTCGTCGATTACCAGAACCACAGTCTTCTTCCACCGTGCCAGGGCGGGTTTGGCACATCGGATGTCGCGCTCGAGCTTGTTCATGTCCTCTACTGTGGGCGATATCGCACCCCACGCGTGTATAGTCTGGCCTACATACATTATAGCCCCCTGGAGAAGACGACGGAGTTCCTTCACGCACCGCCAACGTTTGACGCAGCCATGCCGGTACTGGCGGTCACAGCTACGGCTTCTGGCGTCTTGGCATATTTTCTCCTCAAGGAGGCGATGATAGCTTTGAGTAGTAGGGATTTTCCGGTTCCTGGAGCGCGCGCATAAGAGTTGCGACCAGTAGGTACGATCGTGGTAGCTCACCAGCCGAGCCAGTAAAGAATATGTTCTTCCCTTCCTCAACAACCATCTTCAAGACCTGTCGCTGCTCTACGCTCAATGTAACGTTGGCTGATCCACCAGATGCCCCGCGCGTCATCCCATCTATGCCTGGGCTATCATATACGGTGATCTGGGGTGCGAAGAAATTGTTGATCGTCGAACGGGGACGTTTAGAGGCACGGATATCGCTCCCCTCGGACCTGCGCTTTGAGGATGGTTTGAAGTCGGATGGAGGTTTCGGTGGCATGGGGGAAATGCACTTGAAGGTTCACGGCTAATGAGTGTGCTTAAATGAGGGTCATGTCCAGGTGTCGGAGCTGTGTCGTGGTTGCAGACGAAAACCACCACTAATGCCGCAGCTCAAATCCGCTGCCGTTGAACAAGCCACGTGATGGCGTCCTAATTGACGTATTGCTAGCCTGAGACCTGGCCAGGACGACCGACTTCGCTAAGATACTTCACCTGAAGGAGGGTCACAGGCCGCATGGCGGTTCCCAGTGGAACGTTGCTCCAATTACACTCTATGCCGAGGGGTATAGTAGACCGTTTATTGCACTGATGCTCGCCTTACGAGACATGCTACAATGCAGAAACTGTCCGTAAACTATGGGTGGACGGCTCTGTACAGTAGACCAAGCAACGTTATAGATCATGAAGAGCGAGCTAGAAGGGGGAAATGACAAAGGAAGGAGAATACAGAGATGCGTCGGAACGATCCAATTTTCCAAAAGAAAACCAAGTTTGACCGATGCAATCAGTACTCGCCCTCCTCCTCAGCTTCGGCGCTGTCGGTGCCGACCTCCTCGTAGTCGCGCTCCAGGGCAGCCAGATCCTCGCGCGCCTCGGAGAACTCGCCCTCCTCCATACCCTCACCAACGTACCAGTGCACGAACGCACGTTTCGAGTACATCAAGTCGAACTTGTAGTCGAGGCGGTGCCACGCGGTGCCGATGGCGGTCGTGTTCGACAACATGCACAGGCTGCGGCTCGTCTTGGCAAGGTCACCGCCGGGAACCATCGCGCTAGGTTCGTTGCAGATACCCAGCTTGAAGCCGGTCGGACACCAGTCGACGAACTGGATGGTGCGCTTCGTCTTCACGCTCGCCACGGCAGCCGAAGTGTCCTTGGGGACGACATCGCCTCGGTAAAGCAGGCAGACGGCCATGTACTTGCCCTCACGGGGGTCGCACTTGACCATCTGGTTACCGGGTTCGAAGCAGGAGAAGGTCATCTCTGCAACCGAGTTCTGCTCGTGGCCAGCCTTGTCCGCAGAGAGCAGCGGGGCATACGAAGCGAGCGGGAAGTGGATGCGGGGGAAACTAGATCAGGTTTAGCGACGCGTTCGAAGCCAGATATCGGAAATGATATACGTACGGCACAAGGTTCGTCTGGAACTCGTTGAGGTCGACGTTGAGGGAGCCGTCGAAGCGGAGCGATGCAGTGACCGAAGACACGACCTGCGCGATGAGGCGGTTAAGGTTCGTGAGCGACGGCTGGGCGACGTTGAGGCGGTTCTTGCAGATGTCGTAAATCGCCTCGTTGTCGACCTTGATGTCGATCTGGTCAGCACGAGATTGTTGACTGTGAAGCGGGCAATTACCATGAAGGAGCAGTCAGAGTGTTCAAGGGTCGTGTGCGTGGTGAGGACCGAGTTGTAGGGCTCGACGACGGATGAGCTGAGCTGCGGTGCGGGGTACACGCAGAACTCGAGCTTGGACTTTTTGCCGTAGTCGGTGGAGAGACGCTCGAGAAGGAGAGCGCCGAAACCCGAACCAGTGCCACCACCGAACGAGTGGAAGACAAAGAAGCCCTGGAGACCGGAGCAGTTGTCCGCAAGACGGCGGATCTTGTCCATCGTCGGGTCGATGAGCTCCTTGCCGACGGTGTAGTGACCACGGGCATCTAAACGAAGACGATGGGGTCAGCACCGAACTGGCCGGAATATTCGCTCGGTAGACAGCTCACAGTTGTTCGCCGCGTCCTCCTTGCCGGTGATCATCGTCTCGGGGTGGAAGAGCGAGCGGAAGGGACCCGTCTTGACCTCATCGATCGCACCGGGCTCCAGGTCGACATAAAGGCTGCGGGGCACATACTTGCCGGAGCCCGTCTCGGAGAAGAAGGTGCTGTGGCCGACGTCGTTGCGACCAGTGTCCTGGACGCGACCGTCGGGCTATCCACCGCGTCAGTATTTTCGCACATTCCTCGCAGTCGTTCATACGCACGCTGAGACCGTGCTCGACGGTGTAGAGCTCCCCTGTGCGCGTCGTCGTTCGTCAGCACACGTTGCAATCGCAAGGCATGAAGGCGCCAAAAACGTACAGCAGGCGTTACCGATCTGGACACCGGCTTGACCGACGTGGACAGAGATGACTTCACGCATGACTGGAGGGAGGGAGAGGGTATGAGGTGGCGATAGGCAAGAAGGCCGGACGGACGGACGACACGAACAAGCGCGGATACCGCGCGTTGGCTTTGCACGGAACTTACCGGAGGTCTTCTGATCGAATCTCAAACACGCGTTCTTATGGGAGAAAATATCGCGATTTGCAAAAATGGACAATTACTGAGACTGCTAAGGACTACTGAGTGCTAGGGGATATCATCGTAAGTGTGAGTGAGGAGCGTGAATGGGTCGTGAGTTCCTCCGAATCAGAAGTGCAATGTGCGAGCGTGCGAGAGAAAAGAATTCCACCGGATCCGAAAAGCAACCATCTAGTACTCGCCCATATCCTCCGCATCCGCGCTGTCAATGCCAACCTCTTCGTAATCCTTTTCAAGGGCTGCGAGATCCTCGCGCGCCTCCGAAAACTCCCCCTCCTCCATACCCTCGCCGACGTACCAGTGCACGAACGCACGCTTCGAGTACAGGAGGTCGAACTTGTGATCGAGCCTGCTCCACGCGGACGAGATGGCAGTAGTGTTGGAGAGCATGCACATCGAGCGCGACACCTTGGCTAGGTCACCCCCAGCAATATGCGCCGGCGCCTCGTTACAGATACCGATCTTGAAGCCAGTCGGACACCAGTCAACGAACTGGATCGTGCGCTTGGTCTTGATGGTGCTGACAGCGGCGTTGACATCCTTCGGCACGACGTCGCCACGATAGAGAAGCGCGCAGGCCATGTACTTGCCCTCACGAGGGTCGCACTTGACCATCTGGTTGCCCGTCTCGAAGCACGAGAAGGTCATGTCCGCGACCGAGTTCTGCTCGTGATGCGCCTTCTCCGCAGAGATGATCGGCGCGAAGGTGGCAAGCGGGAAATGAATGCGCGGGAACGGCACCAGGTTGGTCTGGAACTCGTTGAGGTCGACGTTGAGCGATCCGTCAAAGCGAAGCGACGCGGTAATCGATGAGACCACCTGCGCGATGAGACGGTTAAGATTCGTGAACGAGGGCGAGCCGATGTTCAGACGGTTCTTGCAGATGTCGTAAATGGCCTCGTTGTCAACCTTCCTTGCGTATCAGGACCGGAAGCCTGAAGATAACATGTCTTGGATCTCACCATGAAGGAACAGTCGGAGTGCTCGAGGGTGGTGTGCGTCGTGAGTACCGAGTTGTAAGGCTCAACAACTGAGTTTGCCATCGTCGGCGCCGGGTACACGCTGAACTCGAGCTTGGACTTCTTGCCATAGTCCGTACTCAAGCGCTCCAAGATGAGTGCACCAAGACCCGATCCAGTGCCACCGCCGAAGGAATGGAAGACGAAGAAGCCCTGCAAGCCGGCACAGTTGTCGGCCAGGCGGCGGAGCTTGTCCATGACCGTGTCGATCTGCTCCTTGCCGATTGTGTAGTGGCCGCGTGCGTCTGATATACACGAGCCGGCGGTCAACGAGTTATACGCAACGCGGCGAGTAAGGGAACATACAGTTGCTGGCGGCATCCTCCTTACCCGTGACCATGGTCTCGGGGTGGAAGAGCGAGCGGTAGGCGCCGGTGCGAACCTCGTCAATGACGTTTGGTTCCAGGTCGACATAGAGCGAGCGTGGTACGTGCTTGCCGGACGAAGTTTCGGAAAAAAAAGTCGTGAAACCGTCGACGAGTTTCGACTTTGATGGATCGACGATGCGTCCTTCAGGCTGTTCACATGTCAGCGGATCATGACGCCAGAAAGCAGCCTCTGAGAGATACTCACGCTGAGGCCATGCTCGGTAGTGTAAAGCTCCCCTATAAGTTGGTGAGTACACTTGGAACAGTATGTATGGCAGTATGGGCGCGTAGGATCGCATACACTGCCGGTTTGAAGGATAAAGGTGCCAACTCACAGCAGGCATTACCGATCTGGACACCAGCCTGACCGACGTGGACAGAGATAACTTCACGCATAATGTCTCGTGAGAGCTACTAGAGCATGTTTGAGACTGTGAGCAAGGAGAGTGGCGGGCAAACTTACAGAGAGAAAGAGAGAGGAGGGAGATGGAGGCTGGAGGCAACTCGCAAGCGGAACGCGCGCGTTGAAGTTGAGGTCGAACGACCCGGCAGCTGCCGTGGCTTGATGCACGCCGAATGCACGCTGCCTTTCGCGGCTAATCACATTGTTTCATCTCCGAAACACGCGTTGATAGTTATGTATGCAGAGCTCTAGTGGTGTACGATCTAAGGGAGTGGGCATCTAAATTCTACAAGACGTCCGTCGTTGTCCGTATGTAAAGCCAAAGCACAACTGCTAGTCATGGGACCGCGTCTAACCGTTGCCACCACCCTCACCCACGCATCTTCGCGGTAACCATCCAATGCGTTGATGCGTTGGCTTAGAAGGGCATCGACTCTGAGTGCGATGCGCCGGTACCGATGTTCCGCACGCCGTCACGTACGTTGCCGACACCGTCGCGAACGTTATCAACGCCATCGCGTACGTTGTCAGCGACGGTATGACTCGTTTTGCGCATAAAGTAGCTGTAGACCGCACTTTAAGCGGCTGAACATACGAGGATGTGTACTGTCGAACTAACCTGACGAGCGAACCCCAGATCGAAAGACCATGCATAGGGTTGATCTTCGAGCGTGTTTGCTCTTCTGAAACAGACTGCATAGGTTTGGTGGAAACCCGATCGTGCGGATCAAGAGCCGCCCGGACGACGTGCGATGCCTTCATCTTGGGTACCGTCTTATGCGTTACAGGCGCAGTGTGATATATGTGCCTCTTGATGAGCGCGAGTGCTTCAACCTATAAGAGCCGTCAATTACAGAGCTCGAAGAGCCAGTAGGATAACTGTACGGTATCCCGACGACCGGCGATGGCGCTCGGTGGTGGTCTCTCACTCTCAAGATCCAGCGGCCCCCAGCGCCTGAACTCGTCGATCTTGACGCTGCCAGAGACAGTATCCACAGATAACGTGGACATTTGCGTGTCTGTACTCGCCACGCGCACAACCGTCTTCCTCTTGGGTCTAAGAGCGCCCACGCTTCCCATGCCAGACGGAGTAGACGACAATGCAGGTGCAGAGCCATCGCTACCGAGACGCGCGTGTCCGTTACTTTCTACCGGCCCAGAAATTGTTGAGTCGTCCGCATGAATGAAGCCTTGTTTATATGCCTCAGTAATCATGCGCTCGACGCGCTCCTCCATCTTCTTGCGTCGGCGAACTACCGTACGCGCGTGCGCCGCGTATTTGTGGTCCATGGCCTCTTGACCCGCATACCAGCGAAGGACTGGAGCTTCTTTGATGAGACCAACGGTGCTCAGTTTGATACGCAAAGCCGCCATGTCCTCCGCAGGCTCCATGGTACGCACCCGGCCATGAATATCGACGCGCTCGCGAATCATCAGGACGTGCGGTATGTCTTCCTCTTGAGCCTATAGACAGTGTCAGAATTGATATTTAGAATTATACCGATGGCGACACGGACCGACGGCACGCGCTCATTTCTCCTCGCTACTTCCTCAGGCTGGTCTTGATGCCCTTCCTCTACTTCAGTTTGTCCCTCATCGCGTTCCTCGACCTGTTCTGCGACCTGTCGCTCGTTCTCCTTGTAGAGCTTGATTCCGGTGAGATCTTCCTCCACGTCGCCGGTGGGCGATGGAGGTGCGGGTTTGCGCCTTCCGAAAGACGAGCCCGTGCAACAGAAACCCCAGCGTTCCCCATGCGCATCGTCGCCGCTGGCCGGCCCGGGTTTGCCATCAGTATGGATAGCGCATTCGGGTCGATGGAGCTCTGGGAACGGGTTGCGCACAATGTGCTCGGGCGGATGCACAGTGACATGACGGGCGAATTGTGCTATCGCACGGTATGCGTATTTTGCGCAAGCCGCGAAGGTGAACACGGTGAGGACGTGAGGCATGTCATCGTAGAGTTGTAGGTGGACCTAAAGCCACCGGACTCAGTTACGCGGACTAGAAGCAGATGGTGGACGTGTACCTTGGTAGGAGTCGTAAACTTCTCGACATTCTCCCTTTGTCGGCGTCCTTCCTTGAGCACGCCTTTTCGCACAGGGTATTCGGTTGGATGAGCCGCACGGTGAGCGATATGGACAATCTCATCTCGAAGAACCTCGCCATTACCGGCAATGATGTATAATGGGCACAGGTTGCACAGGGAACCCTGCAAGATGGGCGACACGAGTGGATGAGAAAGCTGTCTTTATTACACAATTAGTTAAATGATTAGACTGGGTCGGGATGACTTACTCGTTCATAGCATACTGCTGTATCTGCGAGAGGACCTCGAGCGGAACAGCGTCCGGGTCGTTCATGAGGACCTTCGGCGGTTTCGGTTCCCACCTGTCCAAGTCTTCTTCCGTGACTTCGGCTCCGCCGCTGCTTCCTTCGAGATTTGGTGAACTATATCGAGTCGACTGGTCGGATCCGGAGGTGGCATCGCCGGCCAAATCTCGAGAGTGAACGCCTGCGTCACGTAACATGTCCTTTTGCGGTTTCAGCTCGCTCTCGCTTGTATGGCGAGCTTCGACCTCAGAGACACGTATATTAGATCGACGAGCCTCCTCCCGCAGTGCGTCTTGCTCTTCGACGCGCTGAGCACTTGGATCAAGTGTATCAGCGTGCCCAGGTTGCGGCGGCATATTCGTCTGCGTCTGGCGTATGCGTGGATTTGTTTCATCAGCCAGTGGACGCACTGGCCAAAGCATAGATGGTTTATGAACAAAGCCATGTGGTGGGATGATATCCTAAGCATAACGGCCATTCAGTATGGCGCATTGACGGATATGCGTGCATGTTCACCGTCTTTGTATTGGTCATGACACTTTCGAAACTATGTGTAAGGTCAACCCAAGGACTGATAAGCACCGCTCCCGAGGGGAGGGGTATCCCCATGTCACGCAGGACGGTCAATACGGAGAGGCAGAGCGCGCCACCAGCAGAGTCACCAGCAAAAACGATCTTCGATGGGGAGATGGGCTTGTGTGGTGCATCCGCCGGTGGGTCAATGAGGTAGAGGTCTGATAGCGCTTCAGCAGTCATTTGTGGCAGAATACGCAACGTACATACATGCCGCAAGAACGTCGTGAATTGGGCAAGGCCACGGGTACTGCGGTGCTTTCCTAGTGCGTGGCTTCAGTATGCAAGCCCTTTTGGGTCGGGTAGCACGCACCGATAATTAACCATGAAACAGCGCCCTTTCATCTTCTTGGCTAAAGCGCTTCAGGTGAGAAAGGCTTCCATCGACGTGAAGATGGCCTCACCATAACGAATGGTCTGGTAGCGGTGTGTATCTACGACATACGATCAGAACGACCGACCCATTAGCGAGAGATACGGTTGAACGGACTGATTGAACCCCAGAAATAACCACCTCCATGCACGTAGAACTAAACGGATACATAAGAAAGACTCGAGGTGCGAGATCGAGCTAAGGCGCACCATAACAGGCTCAAGGTGGTCCATCTTCCCAATGAGCTCGTCCGTCTCCGTCTTGTGCTTCTGCGACTTCTTGTCGAGCTCGCCCAGGAAAGTCTTCTCTGTGATCCATTCGCCCTCCACGCCGTCCAGTCCACGGACCTGCCACCAGCGCTCTCCGCCGACGACCTTGGACAGGTCTTCGGGGCCGAACCATTCGATGAGCACGTCTGCGGCGCGATTGCACGTTTGGAGGGGAATGAGGACAGGTGCGACGGCGACCCAGTATGGAGACGGTATGTGGGTGTTCGTGCTGCAACGCCATGCACGCTCGTCAGTCCGGGGTCGGCGAGTAGCGTGATTGGACGCACAAGGCCTGCAAGCTCTCGATGCTGTTCTGTGTTCCGAGCTCAATGAACGCCTTGACGATGTGAAAGGCCCTGGTACAAGATGAACGGGAGCCCTCGACCAAGAGGAGCATACGCACTCGTCGAATATAAGCTCGTCCTTTGCATCGTCCTTCCACCCCTCACCTTCCTGGGCCGTGACATAATAATGTGCATTCTTCTTGGTTTTCTTCCTGTAATGGTTGAGGAAGGTCTTGATGACCACTGTGGATTGCTCGCTTAGCGTCCTGGGAACGGGCCTCGGAAGCGAGTACGCCTACCTGGAGTGATGTGCACGGCAGCACTTGTGGTACTAACACCCATGGCAGGCTGTGAACTTAAAGTAGGGTGTCAAATGTATAGGCTGGACCACAAGGGTCGGTAAAAGAGCGTAAGAGAGGATATATAGTAGATGATGAAGGTATGCGGCGAAGAGTGCATCCTTGTGAATTCAGCTGTGGAGAAGGACAGTACGTGGTTTCAGCCCTGTTCAAGGGCGGACTGATCGGGCCCAGAAAGCCCCTATCTCGGCGCTAAATCCGTGGACGCGGCAGACGCAGCAATAGAGATTTCTGGACCTACATGGGGCAACATGCATCTCTCGCCCTGCTTGACATCCATACACAGCAGTTGCACACCAGATATCTCCTCCTGGCCTACTCACGAATGGGCATAACCACAGCCGAGACAAAACTTGTCTTCGTGACGTCAAGGTTAATTAAGCTTCGAGGCCCTATGCTACTCCCGTGGACTCTCCTCGCAGACTCGCAGGTGGTGTGCACCGTGAGCTACAGCTTCCCGTTCCCGTGAGCGCTTCGCGCAAAGCTTCTGTCTGGTGAGAATGGGGTCGACTTGAGTGGATAGATTGAACTCTCACCCAGTCGCGCTCTTCTATAATAGCCCGCCTCCGGGCCGCAACATGAACTGATGAACAGACCGGCCCCCCCGGACCGAGATGGACCGAGTCTTCGCCGGCTGCTCACAGGATCAACCTATACGTCTCGCACCCATACTCTGGTGTATAAGAAGTATGGGGCCACCCGCGATCGACACGGAGATACTGCGTCTTTTCGTCAATCATGAATCTTGCCTGCTTCTCCAAAACACCGTTTCTCGATAATCCGCTCGAGACCAAGGACGATCTTCGCCGCTTCTGCGTAGGGATCCTCGACCCCCTCGCAGCGCACACCTCACCCGCCGGCGCACGCGTTCACATCGGCTACACAGGCACGCACTATGACGAGACTGCAGCTCAGCTCGAAGGTTTCTCGCGTCCGATCTGGGGCCTCGCCGCGTTGCTCGCGGGAGGCGGCCAATACGAGGGCAAGGAGCGTTGGGTTCGCGGGTTTGAGAGCGGCACAAATCCCGACCACGAAGAGTTCTGGGGAGATATGAGAGACAAGGATCAGAGGATGGTTGAGTGCTCTGCGATCGGCTATTCCATAGCTATAGCCAAGGAGCATCTCTGGGATCCGCTCTCCGACGCTGGCAAGGAGAATCTGGGTCGCTGGCTGGGAGGTATGAACAATAAGGAGATGCCCAACACCAACTGGCTCTGGTTCCGGGTAAGACTCTTGCGTCGCATCTACCTGAGTCGCATGATCTGAACCGTGCCAGGTCTTTGCCAATCTCGGACTTCATAAGGTCGGATCACAGTTCGCCGACGTGGATCGCATGAAGGCGGATTTGGACCACCTCGATACCTTCTATATCGGCGACGGTTGGTCGCGCGACGGGCCAGAAGGCGTCATCATGCTTGACTACTACGCGTCTTCCTTCGCGATCCAATACGCTCAGTTAGTGTACTCGAAGCTTGCACGGGAGGTGGACCCAGCCCGCTGTGAAGAGTTCCGCAGGCGCGCTTTCCAGTTTGCCCAGGACTTTGTGCACTACTTTGATGAAGAAGGTGTGTCTTCCTTGACGTTCCAATTTCGATTCCGTCTAATCGTATACTAGGGAAGGCCATCACATTCGGTCGCAGCCTAACATATCGCTTCGCCATGTCCTCCTTTTGGGGCGCCGTCGCCTTCGCCGATCTTGAATTGCCCGCGCCGCTGACTTGGGGCGTTATCAAAGGCCTTCAATTACGCAACCTGCGATACTGGATGCGACAACCCGGCGCCTACAATGCCGACGGCACGTTCACTATCGGCTACTGCTACCCGAACTTTGCTTTCACAGAAAACTACAACTCACCGGGCTCTCCGTATTGGGCATGCAAATCCTTCATCGCCCTCAACCTCCCTGAGACGCACCCGTTTTGGGCGAGTAAGGAGGAGCCGTACCCGCAAGCCCTGCGCAACACCCTCAAGATACTCAAGCACCCCTTACATATCGCTACTAATCTAGGCGACCATACATATGTCCTGTCTTCTGGCCAACAAGCTTCGTACGCGCTCAGGGCAAGCGCCGCGAAGTACGGAAAGTTCTCCTATAGTAGCGCGTTCGGTTACAGTGTGCCTGTCGGGCATCAAACGCTGGAGGAACAAGGCGGTGATAGTGCGCTCTTGCTCAGCGACGACGGAGGGGAGTCCTGGAGGGTCCGTCGTCTGACGCGCGAAGCACGTTTTGAAACCTCGGCGGATGGTCGCACGACGTGGCTGCGCTCGATGTGGTATCCTTGGCCCGATGTTGCGGTCGAGACCTGGCTCGTCCCTCCAGCGGAAGACACCCCTCTGTGGTACATCCGCGTTCACCGTGTGCGGAGCGCGCGCAAACTGCAGTCTGCTGAGGGCGCTTGGGCGATCTATGGGCAGCGCGGTGATGGGCGTCATCTCGATACTTCGCAGGGCGAGGACATAGGCACGCTCGAATCCGTAGGCAGCGCGCGAGCGACGTCATTGAGTGGTGTGTCTGCTATCGCTGCTCTCGAGCCGTCATCTGGACGTGCAGGCAAGGCCGTGCGTATGGATGCAGGCAGCAACTTGATGGTCCCGCGATCCATCTTGCCGACCCTTTTGGGTGAGCATGACGCGGCCGGGGCGGATGAGTGGCTCGTCACCTCCGTCTTCGGTCTGCCTGCCATCGCAAATCAAGGTGCAGCGCCTGGCTGGGAGACAGAATGGAAGAAGAAACCTGTCATACCCAGCGAGATTCTGACTCTGGTGCGCAAGACCGAACGCTCAGGAAACGTTCCAGAAGTTTGATATGATTAGCTCGCACAAGATGATCTAGGGTGGATAATAAATACAAGAACAGTGTACAACAGTATGAGTGATGGAATGAAAACAAAGCTCGAGTCAAATGTGACGACGACGTCGTAATCCCTTCAACAATACAAAGGTGTTTTCTGCGAAAGATGATCAGCCGAATTATCTTTGCAGCGGCTGCCCAGTGACTGACTTGATGGAGAGGGTGTCATCAAGTGCTTAGCGCAGCCCACGCTCCCTAATTTGACGGTCAAGGTTCTGGCGCCAACGCGAGTATATCCCTTCATTCGAACTCGGCATGTACTGGCACATCTCAAACAAAGCCAATTGCTCTTGGAATCCCGCGTTCGGCCATATCTGTTCGCGTTCTGTATACAGGTAAGTACCAGAAAGACGAGAAATGTTATCGGCAAGCTTACGCCGCCGAATAATGTCCAGCGCCTCGGTGGGAGTAACGCGGCGCGACCACATAACTATCGTGAGATGAGAACAGGAACGCATAAGGGCCTGTGGCGAGATTGACGCACGATACGCGGCCATGACAGTTGCGCCACGCGATAGTCCATGCACTCCATGACTGGAGAATGCCGATATTAGACGGAGTGTACGAGATGCACAGACGAAAGAATGCATACTCACACAAGAATGACGCCGCCGGAACGCAGAGCATCGTCGATAAAGCGGCAAGCGTGAGGCAGCCACACGAGTAAGTCAGAGTGATTTTTATCCTCCACTGGGATGCGCATGTGTACGATGCCAGACTGCGGGGCCTGAGCAGGTATGGACTCGAGACAGACTGAGAGAATATGTGTGATGCGACGTTCGGTCTGAGCGCGAGTAGAAGCAGCAGCAACAAGATTGCCTAGGTAGAGCCGTCCCTCGATGATAGTACTGACGTTCTTGAAGCCCATGTTGTGCGTGATCTGGCCAGTTTACGGTGTATGTGGTGCAGAAGCTGCGAGGTGTGCTGCAGACATCGCACTGAAAACATAGGCCGTTATATGACATGCTAGCACAGACGCTGCCGGCTACTGAGTAGCCGCGCGACATAGGGAGGATACAAACAGAGAACAAAGCGCGACGCAAGCTATGCAGCAAAAACGGTGGTGTGTGGCAACTTCGAGTACGACAAAGCGCGTCAACGAGCCGTGAGACGGGACACGTGGCGCCCGGTTCGAGCTTTTTTGCCTGACGCTGTGCAAAGCACATCGGAATCGAGTCGCGTCGCCCCGGTACTTTCAACCCCGACCACACTCGGTCGTAGTCCGCCTTCTGTCACTCGAAGTGCCTCAATAATCGTCTAACAGTGCTTCTCATGATGACGCACTTGCGACGGGATAACCTACAGTACACCGCAATTGACTGCCCGTCCTCACTAAGTTACGATATCTCCGATGGGCACTGTTTCTCGGAAGGCGATCTCATCTACCGTTCCTTGATGATCCCCAATCGCATACTCCGCTGCTCCTGAAGTCCATTGTTCACTTGAAACCATTCCCGTCGTAAGCAGGTGAACAAGAGATCTACCAACACAGAGCTTCATGCTACAGCGTTGGCTTGAAGTGCGCTCGAAGGCGTGTGTGTTGAACTCGTTTACTGGGTCGAGTTACCTTGCCTGGAACTTGTAGCGTCCACAATCTACTGAGATCTAATCCAGATGACTCTATCTAGCGACCGCTCAAAAGCGGAGAACAATGGCAAGCACAGCAGTGTGCGTGATCAGATCGCGTCTTCCAAGTTTGGCATACTGCCTCAACGGATTAGGACAGTACTAGGACCATTGACTGCGCGCTAGCGCCAAAACTTCGAGGCCCGGACAACACCGTGCTCGCCCTAGTGCCGAGCAGGAGCGGTGACTCCTGCCCATCGATCTCGTTGCATCCGCTGCATTACATAGCGTTCGAGTTGGGGCAACATGCGAAAGCGACGAAGGGATCCCTGTCCGCTTCGGATTGTAGCAAAGGCACTGTGGCACTGTCCGAGCTGAAACCGTTGGAGGCCTTGTTCGATCAACTTCAACTTCACCGCTTGCTATGTGGACTCCTGTTACTTCAAGCCGGGTTTCACCTTCTTAGAACGTCGCTGGCCACGGTACGGGGAACGCTAGAAGCAGGCGGAGAAAACGAGGTTTGCCTTGCCATCTCCATGCGTCGGCATATGCCGACACGTGTTGCAGACCTCCACGCCCCACCCGAAGAAGGCGCTACCACCTTGTCTTCGACCACCACCTTTCCACCTTTTTACTTCAGACGCACTTTCTGTGTGCCGGTGCAGGTCGCCGCGATATGATCTCCATTCAAGTTGGCTGGAACGGGGTGAGTGCAAATGTCCGCGTGTAGATCGTCGTGACATCACGCTCGGTCAGTATGCCTGATCGTATGCCGGTTTTAACGTGCGATGGCAGGAATCTCCCTCTACATACCGACAAAGATCCTCAGTTGTGCATGGCTGGCTCACCAAGATACGCGGTATGTGTCTGCATTCAGAGGAAGGCAGTAGCGCATCTCATCCAATATCAGGAACACTCATAGATAACGAAAGGGAGCGTCAGAAGGGTATCAAGGAGATTAAGGTTAGTTCTCAATGATCTCTTTGTCACCATGGCACTGACAGTAGCAGCGAGCAAGAAAGATACATGACCTGGGTCTTCAGCCTAAACGTCCTCTTCTTTCCTTGTTCGGCGGGTCTTCCAAACCTCAGCCGAGCCGTGCGACAGGTGGTAAAGGTGAGGCCGCACTGAGGCCCCTCGCCCGCCGGCATACAATGCCTGGGTCCACGAGGCATGATTCGCACGCGAAGACGAGCGGCGATGCGATGAAGTCAGGCGCTCGGCCCACGAGGCAATCTTCTTCTGCTCGTCCGCATCATCGTCCCAGTGGACCTTCCTACCGCTCGGGCGAGCGGCCGCGAGCGATGGAGCATCGTCATGGTGAGCGGCCTCAGACTAGAGAACCCTCCAGGGAACGTCCACGTGCCATCGAGCCGCCTAGACGCAGAGCTACCACGGGTGGCACGCATTCACCGGCCGGACGTCGCCCAACTGCTCACAAAGAGACCATTCGACCGGCGTCGTCGAACCAAGTCGTTGTGGCGACGCGCACTCCATTGCGGCAGCCGCCAACTCCGAGTCGCCGTCCATCGGCGAAGCGTTAACAGACTCACGTGCCACAGATGTTTCACCGTGCGACACCTATGTCCTCCTCTTCGGACAGTATGGGCTCACTTTTATTTGTTATAATATACGCCGACTTACATGTTCCCATCCATCAATCTCTGGGCTGACTGCGTCTGCGTTGTGATTCATTGTTTGTGGGTATACAGAATTGATTGTACTCGTTCGCGATGTATGTGTAGGAAACCGTGCTAGATGAGATAGCGTCCCCGGCCCAATAAGTTGAATGACTAGCCGTCCGACCGTCCCGAATATCATCGGCACTGCATGACGTACGAGGATGAGGATAAAGTCAATAAATGCAACGTGCCACCAAGAAGCGCCGTTCCAAACCGGAAGTCCACGTACCGAGGCTAAAAACACTGCAAACCGCGCGATCAAGGCACTGCTGGCTGTACTATAGACAAGCGTCGTTCCTCAGACTAGCAGCATTCAAACACGATCGGTGATCTGAGCAGTGCGTAGACGCCGTCGAAGAGAGTGGCTGCTTCTGGATATGGATCGGACAAGGAACCATGTTGAAGCTCCCGAAGAGGGGATCACAGAAGCAGTGCAGGTCTAACTTCCAAGGGGTAACTGCCGGGGGCGGCGAGTGCCAGTTAGCCGTGCCGGAGGAGATGATTCCACAAGGTGTGTGGTGAGTACATACATACCATGTAGGGCAATCGAGAGTACATAACGGGATCACGGTCATAGTGAATTTGCAGTGGGGTAAGCTCGGATTCTCATTTGTCGCGTCATCAAGGCCATTACAAGACAAAGGAGATAAGTTACGAGCGAAGGCATATCGGGGGTCAGGCATTGTTGGAGTGCGATCAATTCCGCTACGTCCAGCCCCGGGCAGCACCACGGCCGCCACCGTGTCCCCGCTCCTTCTCCACGACGAAGAGGGCATCCCGCAGTGTAACCATCTTCTTCGAGTCTTCCGGGCGCATTGGCGTCGCAGCTTTAGTGACGTTCTGGTAGGGCTTGGTCCAGGCACCAGGTGTCGTCGCAGACAGTCCACCGCCCGTGGCGGGAGACGGCGCTGAAGAGGCTGATGTGGCGTTGGTCCGCGGTTTGGCCGCGGCCGCCGACGAACTGCCCGCCGTCATCCAGGAGTATTGCTTCGCGGCGCCTCCCATTGCATGGCTGGCGGCGGCGTTGGACATCTTCTTGCGTTGTTCCTCGGACATATTCTTCGCCGTCACCCCAGGCCCATCGACCTTCTTCTTCTTCTTCTTCGGCCCCTCCTCTTCTTCGCCATCCATCGCGCTTGCAGCTCCGAGTGGGCCTGTCGGGACGTTGCCCGCGGCGACCTGCGCGGCAGCTAGCTCCTTACGCTCGCGTCGTATCCGCATTTCCTCCTCCCTCTCACTACGCTCGAGCGCGGCGAGCTGTTTGGCCACGTCGCGCTGTACGGTGACACTCCACATCGGGGTACCATCCTCGTATAGGGACGGTGCGCGGTCGAAAGCGGTATCAGTCCGGTGAGCCGAAGCGGCAATCATCGAAGTGACCAGGTCCTGTAACCGTGTTCGAAGAGCGAGCGCCACATAATTGACCGACTCCTCTGGTACAGATACGACCTTATGCTTCTTCGCGATGTCACGCAGGCGAGGACCGAGGAAGCGAGTATCAAAATTGGGCTTCGTAGGCTGCTTGTGTGAACGATCATCGTATGAAGAGTGAATACTGTATCGGTCGGATGAACGCTGTAACCCTTCTTCTTCTGCCTAGTGGCCCGTCAATGCTTAGATGAAGTTACGTCTTGAGCGGTCAAAGCACCTTACCTTCAGATCTACACCCGCACTGCCAAGGGCATCATTCAGTGTCGCGACGTCTGCGGTATCGAGTTGACCTGCACCAGCGGCGGGTGCGGCGGCGGTGACCGGTGCGGGAGCTCGAGATTGCGTAGCCGAGGTTGTCGCTGAGCTGGACGCTGCTGTGGCGGATGACTGGGTACCATACGCCCCAGTGTGCGAATACGCATTGTATTGTCCATAGTTCTGGAAATATGAAGGATACTGGTATGTCCTACGTGCGATTAGTCGTAGTAATGAGGTAGCAGATATCCAGCGCACTGTGAGGGTGTCTGATTCGGTGTCTGCGTTGGTGTTGCCGATTGCTGCTGGAGAGCAGGATCAATGACCTCTGTCAGGATTATAAGCGATGGGAAGGACATCTGTTTCGCACTGAACGCACGGCTCCATTGAACGGGTGTCGAGCGAGACTCCTCCTGCTTCGGCGCGGTGGTGGAGCTCATTTCCAGAAGTCAGGCGTCAGCGATATTGCTGAATGTGTTTGACGACGTTTACGGGACAATGTGGTTGATGCGAGGAGGCAACACCGCAATGGCGCGTCGCGCTGCGTGTGGACGCACCCGGCTCTCGGCCCGTACAACAGTTGACCCGCACGCGCGCCCGCTCTCCTCCTCCCATCATGCCTGGGTCCCCGTTGAGCGCTCGCTTGCGCAATGCGTCTGTGGAGTGGAAATGTTGTTACGATCAAATCAATACTTTACCCGTGCGGCCTAGCCATCTGGGGACTGAGTGCCGCTCTGGCTATCTAGCAAAGGGTTCGCTGGCAGCGCACAACTGGTGCTGCAGTGTGCACCCGCCAGTCGGCTTGGAGGATCTTGAGGGGCTATAGCGATAGTACAGTAGGTCGGCATGTATCTCGACCTCTTGCGGCCGCTTTGGGATGCCTCTCATGGGAGCCCCACATTTTCTCAGCGGCTTTCGACTGCTCGAAGTTGGCGGTTCACCCTCCGCTTCTCTTTGCGTGGCTCTATGGGTCCACTCCACCTGGTCGACCAGGCAACGTTGCCCCACCGAGGATGTACATAGGCTGTTGCACTATAATATCCGGCAAGTCTAAAGTAAACACAGCGGGCTCTGATCACCAGTGACGTCGGCGGTCCAGGCGCCTGCTCCTGAAGGCCCTGAGAGTCTGTATGGGGAAGATCATGACGGCGGGGCCTGCATTCTCAACATATATCTGCGCGCGCCCAGACATCGATGCTCTTTGCTTCCTTACTCCCCAGGACACCACTCCGGCTTAGGGCCGCAAGTCTCGAGATGCCCTACGTATTGCATTCTTTCTCGATGCAGCAGCCTACTTTCGCCGGAGCGTACCGTCCAAGACGGAGTAACCACCGGGTCAACGGCACCCCACACCACCATCGATACTTGTCCCTCGACGTCTCCGCCTCATCCTCACACTCGAGCGGCCCCGTTCCGCCCTCGCTGCCCCTTAGGTCCAGATCATCCTCCCCGGCGCCCTCCACCGTCAGGACACTGAAACCGTCGCTGAAGTCATACAACACATCTCCCGTCCTCCCCTCGGACGACTTCAGTCATGTGCGCACTCGCTCAACCCCTGAGCCGCTGCGCAAATCAGTACAGTTTAACGAATCCGCGCTCGAATCCGTCAGACTTTACCGTCCAACCGGCCGGCCGGCCCGCCTACTCATCTCCTCCGCCGCTGCCTCGGACACGGAGACAGAAACTGAGTCTGATGGCTCGCTGCTCCAACCCCCCATCGCATCGTGGACGCCGCTTGAGATGGACTATGCGCGCTCAACACCTGTCGGTCGCACAATCCTACCTCAAGGAAGCAATGTGTTACTCGAATCACTTTCGCTTCCGCACGCTACCGGGCCCACCGTTGCACCCATACTACGCGGCATGGTGCTCGTTCGCAACGTATCATTCGAGAAGGAGGTTTCCGTACGCTTCACCCTCGACGGATGGGAGACGATTTCCGAGGTTCGTGGCACGTACGCTGGGCACGCCGCCCCAGAGGAATTTCACCTGGACGTCGGCGGAGAGTCGTGGGATCGCTTTCGTTTCTCGATATCGCTGCCGGACTCGCCGGACCGCACGCTGCAGCTCGCTGTACGCTTCATCGCGTCTGGCCGGGGGGAATGGTGGGACAGCAACGGTGGCACCAATTACACGGTGGCGCTTCGGCGCGCACGGGCCCTCGCTGCACCGCTCATTGGCTCATCGGTCTCCCTCCCTGGTCCGCTCCCGAAACGCAAAGTCGGCGCAACAGCCCAACGTCGAGCATCTGTCTCTGGAACGCCCTTGCAAGCCGTACAGGAGCAGGCTCACGCGAGTGGCGTATTCGTCACTCCATCGGGCTCGGCGTCGAGCAGAGTCATAGTGCGGGCGAACAGGTCATGGGCTTGGGCGAGGTGACAGACACTGGTTGAGATCGGGAAATCCCTGATCGTATGCTTTCTGTCATCTCTTCCGCTGGTCTGCAGTGTACAATGTTCTCAGAAAGTGTTTCCCCTGTGCTATCGTTATCGGTCCATATGCTTTCTTATACCGTCCTTATTCATTGCTCTTACTTCCCCCTCGTTAGTTACTTATAACGCTCCTAATGGCGTCTACGACACACACGTATGTAGTACTCACCGCGCAATTTACCCCATGATCCTGTCCTGAGATAATCGCTCCCGAAATACGTACCGAGCCCAGGATGACCTCGTTGATGACGGTCAGTGAGGAGCGTTCCTGACGGCGGAAAACTTAAGTCCTGTGACCGCGTCAATCAACCTCGGCGGCGCGGAGCGTCTGTCGTTCGCGCCACGCCGCAACCTCCTGCGCAACACTAAGCATGAGCGCTTTGTTGACACCCACGCTCACGAATGCGGGAGGAAGGACCGAGGCTGACTTGAACATGGTACCGGGATGACTGTCTAAACCTCGCCATCATGGTTGCTTCTTTCTGTTCGCTTGCTGCGTCAAGCGAGATCGGCGTCGCGACGTCACGGCAAGTTCATAATGAGGCTGGCCGTAAGCTGGATGTTTCACGGCTATGTGCGTCAGCCGCAAGCTGCCCGACACGATCCGAACACGCCAGGTAGGTTCGGTTGGAGCGCGTCGCCCAGGCTTGACCTGAACAACCACAAACCCCATAGGAACCGCCCCGACGCCGAGATGCTCGCGAACACCAGTGGACCAACTCTGCCTACAGAACTGATCTTTCACATCGTCGGTTACAGCTTCGGCCAACATTATTACGAGCTTGTCGCCTCTCCGAAGTCCATTCCGACAGGATGGGAGCCCGGCTCGGTCTTCATGCAGACGTCTCGAACGTTTCGTGTTTGCACTAGGCGCTTCTTGAAACCGCTATGGGGCAAGCAAGTCAAGCAAGGCGCGAGATGGTTGGCATCCTTGTAATCTGATTTACATACCTGACTAACGGAATCACCCGCGAACAGTAACTACAAGAAAACCATGGCGTTACTGCGACGCCTGGCCGACCACGTGTATGGCGAACTCGATGACCTGGTCAAGGAAGATCAGCCTCCTTGGCTCAAGGAACATATACTGCGTTCCCCATCAATCCCCTTGGTCTTCATCTTGAAGGGGCTTTTCTGCTACACGGCGCGTTCTCGTATCTGGCCGAGTGAGTCACACTGGGAGAAGTGGGAAGCGCATGTTCCTCCTATGCTTGAACATACGAATGTCATGCTTCGGATGGCCGAGAGTTACGAGAGACTTCCTATACACGCGAAAGCTACCGCCCTAGGACCTCTCAATGGTCACATTCGGGATATAGCCGCCCCCTGGACCGTGGCATTTACTCGAGGTAGAACTATTGCGTCTGCGTCCTCTACTAAATGCTGATGGTCAACACTACAGCATACATCTTGCGTCACTTGGTTGAGACTCTGATATCGCAATTCGTCAAGAAGGGTGATCTGCCGCAGGACGTTTATATCCTGACCATGGTGGACGCTTTGGTACGGATCCTTATACATAGTCTTTCCATGGTCTCAATATTCGTCTTCAGGACGAGAAGAGCCTCGAACACTCCAAACTGCTCGCTCGCGAAGTGAAGGCATCATGCGATACCGATATGCGCATGCTCGTTTCGGCTTTCCATCTTTCAGCTGCATGCGCCGAGCCGGATGTAGTCACAGACTCGACTTGGCGCTTCCCTTCAGATGACTGGAAGATCGTGAGCGACTCCTTGCGCATCTGGAAGAACCTCCCTGTCGCAGAGGAAAAGGTTAACGCTGGACGCGAGCTGTGGCAGACGATCTGCATGCTCATGTCCCCGGCCGACCGCAAGTTTCTGCATATTCCTTAGGCATGCCAATGTACTTCTAAGACGTCGCGTGTCATCATCGGTAGGTCCGCACTCGTTTCCGCGCGTGCCCAATACTCACCGGTTGCGCAGCTGCTGGTCGGCGTCGTGTCTGACGGCAAGTGAAAAAGAGCGCCGTGAGGCCATCCCCTCGTGCTTCCTGGTCCTATCCTCAAACAAGGGGCTCCACCGCATCTCAATGTAAACTGTAGAGACATGTGTACCATACAAACAACCCATCCTGCAGTGCTGTACTATGTATCAATGATCATCTAAACTATTGGTGTATTCGCTAACCACCTGGAGATCAGCTCGAAGGATTCTTTCGGCTTGTCGTGAGGTGCCTGCGTCGGAAGTCTTGAGCGTCCAACTTCACGTTCCGCTAGAAAGTGAACTATGCCATACCATATGTCCCGCTCCGCGAATCGTCGCGAACGTGTAGATTCCTGAAGAGCGCACTAGACCGGCCACTTCACCCTCCACCATCCATTCACGCAGGGGAACATCGTTGAAATCTGATTGGCCCGTCCAGTCCAGATGGCGCGTCCACGCATCACCAGAGAGCCAATTGCACAGTAGATCGTGCTCACCCGTGTACACGAGCACTCTGACGGTGCGTTCTAAGAGAGCTGCGACATAATCAACGGAATCCTTGTATGCGTCCCCACTTGCATGAAAAGCGGCGCTGACACCCAAAGCCACGGGAGTATAGGTCGGTACGTGGTCCGTGTCTACACCGAGAGCCATTTTGACATGACTGAGGTTGAGGTACTCTTGTATAGCACTGGGCGGGAACTATGCATGAGTGGCACGAACAGATTCTCGGCATGAAGCTAGAAACGTACAGGAGCTCGTTATAGCAAGGTGGCGCTTCAGGGTCGTTACTCGGGCAGGGCTTGGCCATGTCGTAGTCACTATAACCTAGTGCCTCGGGTCAGGCATACTGGATGGCCCACCTGATAGAAGACAAACCGAGGCTTTGAAATGGATCGAAGAGTTCTGAAACACAGAATCGTTGGGCGGCCTCGCAGCTCATGAGATCGAAGGTGTCGACACATGCCGCGGTAGCCCATTTCATGCACCGCGGGGCCGCCTTTTGCATCCGAGAACAAGTACTGTTATCAGTTTAGGTGAGTAAAGTCATCGCTGTAACGCATCCAGGACTCAACGAGATGCCCATTTTAATGGGTTGTCCGTGTATGATGTCTGTGCAGAGCGTCTCGTACGCGTACACATAGGTGGCGATGAGGTCCGTAGCTCCATTTGCTAGAAAGGACGACATTATATACGAAGCTGGCAATGAGTGCGACGTAGTAAGCACAGTACCTATGATGACGGAGTCGAGGTTAACCGGGTCCATGCCCTCGATATCTTGAAGGACCGCATTTTGGTCGTACACCGCTGCCGCGATGAGGGGAGCAAACCGACCCTGTGAAATCATGAAACACATAGATAGATGTGCGATTGATCAGAGTCATACGCCGAACGACTCGCCAGCTACATGAAGCTTCCCACCGCGTAGCGAGGTGAATCTGTTGAAGAAGATGGCCATGAAAGCAGCGATGTCCTCGGCTGCCTGGGGTGTCGTATCCTTGCCGAGGTAAGGGCGGCTTGAACTCGTGGATATACGGCACAAGCGAGCTTACAACATATTCTCCGGGCTCGGCGTAAGAGAATCCAGTGCCGACGGGTTGATCGACAAAGAGGAGATTCGCCCGCTCTGACCAAGATAATGAATTTCTTATAGGTCCGTCGACCGTCTCACGAATGAGACACGGGCCTCTTTCATTCTCAGTCAAAACTCAGTGCTCAAAGCCGATGAGATGTACCGAGTTCAAAGAATAGGCCTATTGAAGAGGAGCCGCCAGGTCCTGCACCATCATTTCTCAGCCTTGACGCGCGGACATGAACACTGTGCCAAGCTTACCTCCATTCGTGAAATAGATCGTATCCACGGATGTGGCGTTCCTGCTCTCGAAGAAGTAGAAGAAGAGGTGCTTCGCTCCTATATCGATATAGCCAGTATATGCACTAGGCGTCAAGTCAGCCCAGTGTAGGCGATGAGTGACGGGAGAATCACCGTTCTGATTGGCAAATCGTCGACCTTTTGATACGTACACTGTGTTCCGGAAAGTCGATATTGCGGATAGTGGTGAATGCGTTGGTGTCTAGTGATGCCAGCGTGGAGGGCGCTCGTCCAGCGGACACTATCACACATCCCCAGACAAACAGCAAGAACAACCTCAAGAGACGCCCATCGTAATCCATGGTTGTGGAGCGTGTTTATCGTTGTGCCAGCGACCATCAAAGTCTATATATGCCCAGTCCGGTCGGGACCGAAGCCGTGCCTTGACTCTTGCGCCAGGCACCGCAACCGCGGCATCGACGTGTAATACAGAGGGCAGATCGTGCACGAATACAAGGCGGATGCATATGGGCTCGGGATACAGTGGGACAGCTTCGTAGATAGCTACAGAACAAGTCCAGGATATTCCATCTCATTTTGTCTTCTCGACTTGAGCCACAGCATCCTGGATCTTCTTGTTGAGCTTGCTCGTGCTCAGAAGTCCTATGACAGTGTCCCGAGGGATGCTCCAACCCAAGGGGAGCCTGTCCTCGCCATACCATGCACGGAGATGGTCCTTGGGCAAGCGGCCCTCCGGGTCTTGGAACGCCTGTTGGGTGAGTGCGAGCTCACCGACCGCGATGATGTTATGCACGGTGCTGAGCGGTTTGGTGAGAGTTGCGTCGCGTTGAGCGCGGTATGTGACCAGATCGTCCAGTGTGAGGTAGTTCTTGCCCGAGACGGCGAGGAACCGCTGGACGAGTTCCGGGTTCGATGGGATGGGTGCATACTTGTCCGTCGCGCGTGCGTCGTCATGGGTGAGCGAGGCATCATGCTCGATCTTGTTATGAGCAGCAAGGTCGTCGAGGTTCAGTGACCAGCCGTTGCCACACCAGACGGCGCCAACCGCGGCAAGTACAGAGCCGAGCGGAACGGATACGTGGTAGACCTCCTTCATGGCACGTACGAGCTCGGGAACGGTTATAGCGCGCCCGTCGCGGTTTCTGCGGCCAGGCAATGCCCATCAGCCCCGTTGCGTTATAGCCCTGGAGAGGTTCCTTCACGTACAGGTAGCCGTGATTGGCCAGCGCGTTAAGAGCTGGACACGGAGAGCGACTGCTGGACGAGTCGGCAGGTTGATATGCATGGTGTTCGGAGGTAGCCATGGTGGAAGTGGAGACACGTCGGTATAGTGGGAAACGAGCTCAAGTAGCTGGGCAGAGCCGTCAATGACCGGCAGCCATATCGCCGGCAGGATCTGTCACACTGTACAACACTAGTGGCTAGCCAATCAGAGCCACAGACGGTGCGAGCAGTGCATGGCGGTGAGCGCGCGTCCCAAGACGCGACGCGGGCGAGCGCGCGCCTTGGACCGCGACCACAACCGTAAACATGAATACGCCACCGCCCCCTTTGCCTGTCGGCTGGACAGAGCATGTCGGTATGTTTCTTGCCTTTATGATATATACAAATATATTAGGCTAACAATGTACTCTCAGCTCCGACGGGACACCCGTACTGGTACAATGCTCAGACTGGCCAGTCCACGTATATTCGCCCGCTACCCACGTTCACGAACCCGGCGCAGTCTCAGGTAGCGAAGGCGGCTGCGAAGGAGAAAGCTGTGGACAAGACGCCCATAGGCGACACACCCTGGACGCGCGTCCGGACGAATCTCGGCCATACGTTCTACACGCACAAGACGGAGAAGCGCAGCGTGTGGACCGTGCCAGACGAGATCAAAGACGCCGTCGCTGGGCTGGAGCAGCGGGAGCGGGAGCAGGCGACCGCGGAGCACTCGGGGGAAGCCGAGAAGGCTGTGGCGCGCCAACGGGAGGTCGAGCGGATCAAGGGCGAGCTCAAGGGCACCGTCAAGCGCAAGGCGCCCGAGGCAGTCCCGGTCGACGAGCTCGTGGTGACGAAAAAGGCAAGAGTGGAAGCGGAGGAGGAGAGCGAGGAGGAGAGCGAGGAGGAAGAATGGCAGCGCGAGGCAGCCGCCCAGCTCGCGGCCGAGGCAGAGGACGAGCGCAGGGCACGCGACGAGCAGGCCAAGCGCGCGAAGGAGGCAGAGCAGGCACAGGCTGCTGCAATCGCAAACGACGCCAAGGGCTTGGTCATGCCCGAGCACGTAGAGATCTCCATCGACGAGGGCAAGGCGTTGTTCAAGGCAATCCCCATTCCTCTCTCTCTGTCGACCCGTATCTGAGACCAGTCCCATCGTAGACCCTCCTCCGCGAGAAGGACATCAACCCTCTGCATCCTTGGGATACCGCCCTTCCACTCTTCATATCCGATCCTCGCTATGTCCTCTTGCCGTCCGTGTCTGCAAGGCGTGAAGCCTTCGATGAATATTGTCGCGAGCGCGCCAGAGAGCTGCGCCAGACCCAAGTCAAGAAGGAGAAGGAAGACCCTAAAGAAGATTTTGAACGCTTGCTGCGTGAAGAGGTCACCTCCACTCGTACCAGCTGGACAGACTTTCGTCGCAAGTGGAAGAAGGACAGGCGCTTTTACGGCTGGGGGAGAGATGAGCGAGAACGGGAAAGGCGCTTCAGGGATTTCCTCAAGGAGCTTGGAGAGAGTACGTCTTGTCTTGTGCCGATACCACGCATCCTTGCATTGCTCATCATCGTGGCAGAAAAGCGCATGGCCGCTCAGAAAGCCGAGGTGGACTTTTTCACATTACTGCGCGAGAGAGATGCAGTCAAGATCAGTACACAGTGGAAGGACGTCAAGCGCCATGTATCCAACGATCCTCGTTACGACGCCGTGGGGTCGTCTTCTCTACGCGAGGAACTATTTCATACGTATCTCAAAGCAAACGAGACGGCTGCTGTCCAGGAGACGTCCACACAGGTGGACATCAATGGTCCGGCGGCGCCGGCTGAGGACGCGATGAGCAAGGAGCACACGCGCCAGGAGCGCCAGGAGCGTGCAGTGCGAGAGCGCGAGGAGAAGATCCGTGCTGAGCGGAATCGTGTCGAGGCCGACATACACAAGTCCAAGATGGGCTTGACTCGCGAGGAAGGGGAGCTCCAGTTCAGGTGCGCCTGTCGTTCGTTGTAGGCGTTCACATACCTTGGCGCTGATACGATGTCTCCTCTACAGGACATTACTAACGGACGCCATCCGGGACCCACAGGTACGTTCATCGCTCTCTTGGAAGCAGATCACTTACGCCCTTGGGAACAGGCCTCTTGGGAGTCGTCATTGGATGAACTCGAGACAGATCCGCGCTTCACGGGATCTCCACTGCCTATGAACCAACAACAGCATCTCTTCCACGAACACGTCAACAGCCTACGTTCCAAGCAAACTCAGGCTTTGTATGGGCTATTCGAAGCTCACGCGCCCGGTCTCGCTACTCGCTTCTCCGAACTGCCTTTGCCCTCCCTCTTGGCTTCACCGCCCGCGGTTAAACTTGGTTCTGATCCGCACCGCCTTCAAGATCTGTTCGAGAGTTGGCAGCGTGAGCGTAACAGCGCCGCTCGTCATGCCTTCGACGAGATGCTGCGCGAGAATGCTTTTGTAGACTTCTGGGGACGACTCAGAAAAGCTGGCGGCGAGGGCGCCGATGAGGGGATTCAATGGGACGAGGACGGTATGGGCGAGGATGAAGGCGAAGGAGGTGGGGGGAAGGTGGATATGAAGAAATTGGCCCACAAGGTCGACTTGACCGATGTGGTCAAGGTACTCAAGGTACGGCCCGTGATAGTTTACATTCTCCGCATGGGTCTAATCAAGCTTAGAATGACAAACGATACCTCGTATTTGACCACGTTCCGGAGCAACGCGAGCGCTGGCTGCGTGTACGCCCTTCATCATTTCTTCGCTACGATGTTCTGACGGCCGCATGCAGGATTATCTATCAGGGCTATCAGCACCGAAGCTCTCTGTTCACGTCGGCGACTCATGAGGTATCCAACTGTGATCCTCTGTATGATCACTATCACGGCGGGCGCTGGGATGCCGGGCCGCAAAATCAATCTTGTGACAATCTTGTGACTACGTCAAAACATCTTACCCAGACAAGATGCCTGAGGTTGCGGGATCATGTCGGGTTGCGACTAGTGCTTCTCGACTTCAAGATTCTTCTACATGGTGATCGCGAAGTACTCACGTGGAATTGAAGCTACAGAGACACGCAGGTGCTCAGGTCTGCTGGCTATGTCCGGTCCCCGTCACCGGCGATTCAGCGTATATTCCGCGGTAACAATAACCATGTCCGACGTATAAGTTGTCTTTGCCACATCGTTTGACCGCAGACGAAAGCATGGCTTGGCTTAACTGGAAACGTCTCTTTTGGGCTTGTTTCGTTGTGTCTTCGGCCCGTGGTCTCGCGGTGCCGTCCAGCGCACCATCGACTGCTAAGGCTGTTGATCCTGCGCTCCTTAGTATATCTCTTGAGTTTTTTGCCTTCCCAGCCTACACACAGGTCACTTCGACATCAGTCTGCATGAATCACATCACGAGCCTTCGAGGACATCCTCCGGCTGTACGCATCGGCGGGACCACACAGTAAGGACATCATCATGTCAACAAGTCTCGGAAAAGTTCTTATCCCCGAAATCTTTCCAGGGACCGTGCGACCTATGTTGCCAGCCAATCCGACGCGGTGGACTACAGCGTGGCTTCCTCCGGAGATGCCCCTACCAGCCTCACTTACGGGCCTTCATTCTTCACCCTCGCCGCTCAGTTGGCGAACAAGCCTGACGTCACGATCGGTCTGAACCGACAACTCAACAATCAAGCGAACTCGCTTCAGGCGGCTCAACAAGCCAAGAGCACGATTAGTAACTTGTACGCAGTTGAGATAGGGAACGAACCGGATCGTACGCGACTACTCCTCCTCGAACCGGAACGCGACCTGACATGTTGTGGACAGTGTGGTCAGCAAGTTCGCCCATCGCTACAACCGGTGCATGGAACCCGACACTCGACGGTCAGAGCGAAGCTTCCTGGCAGAACGCCATGGCCGGATCGGTGCGTTGATCGCTCAAGAAGTGTGTATAGCAGCCCTCGCTCAGCCTGTCTATGGCCAGATCGGCAACATTTTCCAAGCCGGTAAGACCATTGAGGCCATGGGAGTCCTTATTCTCCGTGGGCTTAAGCTTAGGCGATCCACAGGCGTTTACATCTCTGGTGGCTCGTGGAGCATACCGTCTTTGATATCGAATCTGGGTTCAGCCATCAGTCACACGAAGACCATCAGCAGGCACGCGTATCCACAGAGTGCATGCAATGGTGCAAGCACGAACTTGCAGACACTTATGAGCCATTCGTGCGTGCGGTTTAACAGCCCACGACCTTTCACATGTTCACATACAGTGTAGGAATATCGCGTCCTTTGCCAAAGGTTACGCTTCTGAAGCGTCAGCTGCTCACGCTCAGTCGAAGAAGTACTTTTTGGGGGAGACGAACTCAGCAACTTGCGGCGGCGGCGGTATCAGTCCTACCTTTGGAGCTGCTCTGTGGATCATTGTGAGCAACAACGGGCAGGGTTCTGGTCATTCACTCAATCAGCGGATAGGACTACGTCCTACAAGCGGCGATTAACGGCGTGGACCGACTTTACTTCCACCAAGGCACTATCGGAAACTGTCAGTACTGCTTCTGGGGCAGATACACAACAGGAGCCCCTTTCTACGGAGTATGGACCGTCTCTCAGTTTCTGGGGGTCGACGGCGCCAGCATCGCAGCTCTTGATGATGGCACTGGCGCGGTAGCAACATACGTCGTCTTCAACTCTGCCGGCAAGCCCCTTCGCGCATTGGTATATAACTCCGCCTACTACAGCGGCTCCGGCACGCGTTCTAGCGCGAGCGTCACCCTTACCGGTCTTAGCTCTGGAAACAAGTCTGGGCTGCGTCTAACGGCGCCCGCGTCCACCTCGCGTATTGATGAGGGCGCGGCAGTCACGATAGGTGGAGGGCTGACATTCGACGGCGACTGCAATACTATAGGCTCGGCTAACAACGAGACTGTCGGCGTGTCAAGTGGCCAGGCGACAGTGGCTCTCAAAGCCTCCGAGGCTTTCATCCTTTACCTGTGAAATTGGATTTAATCACGACGCTGCGGATACAATGCAGGCACTGCAGGGTGGGATGTACTAGGGACTGGGTAGCTTTAAATACCTTGTACCGTAACCCGCCGTACGGCAGTATCATGTCAGTCGCAGACCGCAGCGTTCTCCGTCTACTCATATAAAAGAGAGCGCTACCGCCGCTACGGCGAGAAGTTCCGGCATTTCAATTCTCTCCCACACGCAACCCGTTTCTACCCACGAGCTCATCGACGCGCGTCATCCATCAACCCAGTGCCTACAGCCATGGCGTATGCGTTCTCCGTCTTGACAGGTAAGATACGTTGATTCTCTGCGACTGGCTATGGTGAATGAATGGTCTTGTGTGCTACAGTTAGTGACACGGCATCTCAGCACGCCTCTGCTGATAGATCTGGACCTGCCATCGCAGAGTTGTTGGTCATCTCTGGGCGCTTTGCGCTCAAAGATCACCGCATTGTGCCCGACGACGAGCACGCTATACGTGATGTCCTCACTTGCTGGACAGCGTTTGGATCAGGAGTTGACCTAGTCATCACAACCGGAGGCACTGGCTTCGGTGTGCGGGATCGTACTCCTGAAGCCATTAGGCCATTGCTTCAGAAGCAAGCGCCTGGACTAGTCCATTTACTGCTTGCATCATCGCTCGAAAAGACAGTCTTCGGTGCGCTATCTCGCCCTGTTGCCGGCACCATCAACGATACGTTGGTCATCACGCTACCTGGGAGCCTCAAAGCCGTCAAAGAGGGCATCGAGGTGCTACTAGCTCGGGGACTTGTTGATCACGCTCTGGACTTAATCAAAGGAGGATCTGGCGAGACTTTGCATCGTTCTCTGGCGAAAGGGAAGCAGCCTGAGGTTGCAGCTTCCTTGGTATTCGACGCAGCTCGCGAGGAGCGCCAGGAGGCCGAGCGCGTTGCTGCGGAGCGCCCAGGCTTTGATGTCCAGTCGCCACCACCCGAGACTGATATAGAGCATTCGCAAACCGGGCAAACACTTGAAACCGTATCTCTCGGGGATTCCTCCGATAACCTGACGTCGAACGAGCCCGTAACTCCATATACTATAGAGACCTCCATTGCAACAGAGTCGCAGTCTGTAAAGGAGCCCGGGACCCCGCATGCGGCTGAGCCAGACTTGACCTCAGTGTCTGAGAGCACGGGTTACCACTCAGACTACCACCACCACCACCATCATCATCATCGCGACAACCGGGACGACCCGGCGTCCGGCCACTTTGTTCCCCAGCCAAGGTCGATTCTTTCGCATGATCCGTCTCAACCTCGTAAGGGCGTTCACTGCTCTGGGTATACGTGATCACTGACTGTCGGGCAGCCACTGCTCGGCATCGCGTCTCCCCATACAACCTTGTGTCGTACGAACAAGCGATCGACATTATCATGAACAAACTTTTCCCCCTCCCCATCGAAAAGACAAGAGTATGGTTTATGCGTACCTTTTGCGTCAGAATAATCCTGATCCCCGAAGGTTGACCCATCGCTCGCCGGCTATGTCCTAGCGGAAGACGTGTATGCGCCACACAACATCCCTTCCACCCTTACCACGAGCGTTGACGGATATGCGCTTCTGGGTGCGTACCAGTGCGCGTGTTAAGGTCAATAGAGTATTACTCACTGTATACCCTTAGCGTCGACTGACGGTCCAGGCGTCTATAAAGTCGTCACGTCCGCCAACCACAAGACCCTAGATCCTTTGCCTGAAGGCACTATCTACCGTATTAATACCGGAGGCCCCCTCCCAATCGACACGGACGCAGTAATCATGGTCGAAGATACACGTTTAGTCAGCGTAGCGAAAGACGAAGATGGCAACGACGCAGAGGAACTCGAGATCGAGACCCTCGTATCAGTTCCCGCTGGAGAGAATGTTAGGCAACCGGGCTCGGACGTCAAAGCAGGCGATCTAGTCCTGTCCAAGGGTTCTCTTCTGCGTAGTACTGGCGGCGAGATTGGCACCCTCGCCTTCGTCGGCCGTACAGAGGTCAGTTCACTGGAGGACTTCATCCTCGATCCATCTCATTGGCGCTGCCCGTAGGTGTCAGTCATCCGCAAACCCGTGGTGGCCATTTTGAGCACGGGCAATGAGCTTGTTGATCTACATGATCCAGTCGACGTGTCCCAAGACGGCTGGGGAGGCATCTATGACACAAATCGGCCTTCACTACGAGCGGCGCTCGAGGGCTCCGGCTACAAGGTCATCGATCTTGGAATCGTTGGGGACGAGTACGTGGTGTTGAATCGCGCTGAATCAAGATACCTGATAATCTCTGTGTAGCATTGACTCGCACATTTCCGCGATTCGACGGGGTCTCGCAGAGGCAGACGTGTTGGTGACGACAGGGGGTACATCCATGGGCGCAAGCGATCTGCTCAAGCCCGTCATCGAGCGGCATTTTGGGGGCTCGATACATTTTGGAAGGGTCATGGTGAAGCCAGGCAAGCCAACGACTTTTGCAACGCTACCAGTACCAGAAGCTCCCGGCATCCACAAGACGCTTTTCGCTCTGCCAGGGAATCCAGCATCCGCACTCGTCATGTTCCATGTCTTCGTCTCACCTGCGCTACGTCGTCTCGGCGGCCATGCTCCGGAGCAATGTCGATGCCCCCTTTTGAAAGTTAAGGTACGATGTTCGTTTGATTGTACGGACTTATGCGGAGATGCTCAAGATCTCGTAGATCAACGAGCCAATGCGGCTAGACCTGCGTGTCGAGTTTCACCGCGTCGTGATTCGTGTCGAGCATGATGGTCTGCGAGCATATAGCACTGGCGGACAACGTTCGAGCCGTGTGGCCAGCCTCAACGGCGCCAACGGCCTTATAGTGCTTCCACAGAAGACATTTGGTGGATTTGACGTGTTGGAAAAGGATAGCGAGGCGCAAGCGATGCTCATTGGAGAGCTGCAGACTGCATAGATGCGGGCAGCACAGTATGGATAGTGGTATATTATCAACTAGCATCACATGCACTGAGAGCTTCCTCGTCACCCTGTATCGTGCTGTTAGATGGAGAGTGACTTGAAGCGGGCCTTTCGCATAGATGCAGCCAGAATCTCTGCTGCTAACGCCATCAGTAGACTGCAGGATGAACGCATCATGTGTATCTCTCACCTCGTTTGCCAGCTTCAACCAGCGATCCAGTCTATCGTTCGCTCGAGCCAAGATATCCATACTGACGGGCTTGTTTCTGCGCTCCCCACGCCGGTCCGCGGAGGCGTTTCGAATCATCAACGGCGGAGTTCGCGGCGGGGAAGACCCTCCGCTCGAGCTGGTACCCGTTGAGGCAAATGATAAACATGGGAGCGAGGGTGGGCGACGGATGTTGGCCTGTGACCGACAGAGAATATCCTCGCTTTGAGGTGGCGTGGGCAATGTCGGTGGAAGATCCATCCTGATGGGCGAGCCCTGTCGCGAGTTGGAGCACGTCGACGAAGTCTTGGGGACAGACGTAGGATGGAGGGATGAATTGGGAAGACGGACAATGTCTTCTCGAAAGTTCGCCTGGAAGACTGGCTGTACAACCCGCCTCGCGCCTTCTCCATGGCGAAGAAGCTGCTCATGCGTGAGGATGGCGCCGCACGGGAGATCGTCTACTTCCCGTGCTACACAAGATGCTCTCGTCGCCCTGGAGGATATTAGAACGAACGTGGTCGATTGAGAGGAGGTAGATCTCGGTGCGGGTAGGCTTGCCATGCGGATAGGATACGTCTCCTGAAGTATGATCGCATCTATAGCATATAAGTAGCAGTGCCCTTGCGAGCGCCGGAACCGAGAACAGGATGTGTGCATGGTTCGTGTGCCGGTTGAGGTTGACAACGGCAGCGAGACTACCATCTGTCAAGGGCGACCAGATCAATTATTCATCAATATGTGCTAGATAACACCTGCTCGATGTAGCTACGATATGCCAAGTAAACATCAGCCGGGCTAGACGAGCACCTTCCCCCTCCGTAGATAGATGTTCGAGTTATAAGCTCGGTATAACAGGCTCACGACGATGGAAACACACCGGATCTAGTCGCTTGCGAGATCTTCAAAGGGTGACAGCCGCCAATGCAATCGCTAACTTACAGAAGGGTCAGATGCATAGGAGATACGCTGGGACGCAAATTAGTCAGGCGAGGATTGTCGCTCACTCCCGGGATTGATGAAATGCCGAGCCAATGCGCGTCCCACTCGTCGATTGGCGAGCGGCGGGAGGTTGTGATTGACCAGCACGAACTTGAAATCGATTACAATGCCCTTGGGCCATAATGATATCTTGAGCGTAGAATAGTGCAGAGAGTGCATAGGAGTGGGTATGATGGGTACGCGATATGCGGGAAAGCGGTGGGGCGGCGGAGAAGAGAGAAGATAGGGGAGTGCAACTCGGCCATCCCGCACAGACACTCGGTACATATCTTCGTGCAATCATGAGTTGTGCGTATTTGTGTATGTTGCCAGCCGCAGAACTCATGAGATGCAAGTACAAGCTTGAGTGGAAGGGCACATTGAACGTTGAACGTTGCAGCTCGAAGCACGAACGTGACGTGCCACGCTCAGCGGGCGCAATTCCGCGTCGGGCGGGACCCACAACGTTTCCGGTCCGGTGTGGCAGCTGTGGCACGCCGCACGCCACATACTAGACTCTAATTCGATTTGGTTTGCCTCGGATATTTCAACGCATTCGCAATCACAGTATCAGCCGGGGTCGATAAGTGCTCACCGCACTACATTGTGGTAATACTAATACAGCATACTTGTTGTAGTTGCAAGCCGCCCGCCGTGTGACCGTGCCTGGCCCCCTTGAAGGAGTCACGAGCGAACTTAGGGTTGGCATCGCTGCGCCTTGCCGCCGTCATTGCTCGCGGTGACTGCATCCGACTCTGAGTTTCTACGCCATTCGTCGCTTGGACGGTATACTCGGAGCTACGATACGATCGTATGAGAATGATTGTATTAGCGTACATCTACTCCCATGACGATGGAAAGGGTTTTCACGGCAGCCAGCTTGGGAGGATGCGGAAGTATCTCTACTAGACTGCCGAGCTGCCCGCGCGATAAGAGCGCACGACGCAGCTTTGACGCAGCTGGTATGTGACCATCCTACTTTTCGGCAGAGCATCTACGCGTCTGATACGCGGGATTTCCTATGATAACGTTGCCGGCTGTGGGTTTGTGAGACGGCGGGGAGGTGGCGGCACCGGATCGAGTTCGGGGAGAACGGCGGCGGGCGAGACAATATCGAGCGGGCATCACATCGAGCTGCGGGTAAGGTGGGGGACTGATGGTTGCCCGGAGAGAACGTCTATTCCAGAATGCAGATGGCGACCGCACTGTCCACGAATAATGAGGCCAGGAAAACAAGGGGAAGAGAACTAAGGCCGTGTCGACAGGCCGTGCGTGGTAGGTTATATTGCTACAGCGCGAGTGTAAGAGAAGCACAGTGCTGGTAAATAAACAGTGCTACTCAAGGGTGGGACGACGGTTGGGATCGTACAGAGAACAGGACTAGATAGGGCGTTGGGGATTGCACAGATGATACGTGTTTGACATGATGAGCGTGGACCAGGATGAATGAAATGGACGAGTGAGGTGGAACATGCGACGAGGCGAGCAGAGGCGAACGTGAATAAGCATAACCCCGTCTCGATATAGTACAGACGGCAGGAGTGGGGTGGGTCATGAGGTCGGGAAGGTGGGGCTCTGTGATAGATCTGGGCAGGAAGGGCGACTATGAGCCTGTCTGGAAAGCACATCGAGAAGCGTGACCACTGACGATATCATAGAGAAAGCGGGAACGGCGTGACATCTGGCTCGGTCTTGTCGCCGCCTTTTGCGATATCCTCCTTTGACGATGATGCGCCCTCGGGTACAGAATTTGTGGTCACGGAAAGACGACGGAGCTCCTGCGCCTCTTGTAAGCATGGCATGTTCGACAACGACAAGCAATAGGAAGGACACGAACCGACTTGAGACTATCGATTGGGTCGGCCTGGATGACGATCGTCGAGTCGGACGAGTACGCGTGGCGCTTCAGCCCCTGCTGATCCACTTGACCCTTGTCTCTCAATTTGCGTTCACCGTGCGCTTTTGGTGACGGGCGGGGTGGGCGAGGCATGGTTTGGTAGCGGGGACCAGCCCGGTCGCGGATGTCGTCTGACGAGCCGAAGGCGTTCGTGCCATTCATGAGCTCTGTGAGGCTGAGCTCGTGGGCGACATGCCCCGTGGTCCTGCGAGGCGAGGCGCGAAGCTGATTGTTGGGCAAGGATTGGACGGGAAGGGACGTGACGGGAGAGGACGCTGTCGAGCACACAGGGGACGTGTTTCCTGTGCTCGTGCCGTGTTTGAAAGAATGCTGCGGGGGAAAGTACGAGTCGCTTTCGTGTGTGGGCGAGTCTGAGAGGGTCGAGAGCACGGCAGGCGGGGGCTGGTGCGCGCCGGTTGCGAAGCGCGGGAGCCAGAGCGGCCTGCTGGAGGACGGGACAGGGTCCGTACTGGTCGCCTGCGTGGTGGCCTGTGTGGTGCTTGTCGTGTTTGAAGCCAGCTGGACAAAGCCGGGCGGGAGAATAGATTCTGGAGACTGTCTGGCGCCAAATGCGCCGAGGGCATGCTCTTTGAGCAGTTTAGAGCTGAGAGATGCATGCCGCGAATGGCGGGATGAGGGCGAGGATGCCTGGTACTGAGAGGACGTGAAGACGAAAGAGGTAGAAGGCGCAGCACTGTCCAGAGCAAGAGGCGGAGGAGGTGATCTGCGTTGAAAGTTCGGCTGCATCAAATATTAAAAAGCGTTGTGCTCATGGTGGTTGGAACCAAGCAGTCGCTCGCGCCTGAATCGGGAACGTCCTCACCCTTACCCCAGACGTTTTCGTCTTCGGGCCACGATCGCATGGCTCACACTTTCCCACACTATCACTTATCGCTCTCTCTCCCGTTACCTCACTCCTTCTCTCGTCCCGTTCCATAGCGCCTCTCCGTGTATTTATGAACCTGGCGGGTCATGAGAGACTTGTTATCGAACCACCACCATGTCCACCGTCGTAGAGCTCGCAGTCCCCCAGTCCGACAAGAAGATCAAGGTCAACACGGGCCTTTTCATTAATAACGCCTTCGTGCCTTCGCAGGACGAGGCGGAGCCGATCAAGTGCAATCATCTCTCTCTCGCTCGCAATCATCTTCCCCTGATCCTCGTCATGCCAGAGTCTTCAACCCCGCTACCGAACAGTTGTTGTGCACGGTCACCGCAGGTCCGCCCTCTCTCGCGCAAGCCCCGCAAAGCGGTGCAATTGATGGTTTGCATCCCAGCTTCCGAGAAAGATGTCGACGCAGCCGTTGCGGCAGCCCGCGCTGCGTTCAAGACGACCTGGGGCAAGAACGTCTCCGGCTTCGAGCGCTCGCGTCTCATGCACAAGCTTGCCGACCTCGTGGAGCGCGACCAGGAAGAGCTCGCGCAGCTTGAGTGCTTGAACAATGGCAAGCCCGTCAAGGTGGCCAGGTAAGACTGCTCCACATCGGCCACTGACCGTGCTCAACGACTCTCCGTTTTAGGGACTTTGATATCGGCGACAGGTGGGTCCTCCGGGAAAGCATTGCAAAGTGAATTGCATTGAGTGCCTGCGTTAGTATCGGCTGTTTGAGGTACTACGCCGGTTGGGCGGATAAGATCCTCGGCCAGGTATGTGGTCATTCCCTCTTATCGGTACGGGTGTGAAGTTGAATCATACGGACGTACAGACCATCGAGGTCGACCGCAAGACAAAGGTCGCTATCACGCAGCCGGAGCCCATTGGCGTCTGCGGGCAGATGTACGTTGTCCCGGCCTCCACTCTGAGAGCTGACTTGACCCACCTCTTTTGTCAGCATCCCCTGGAACTATCCGATCCAGATGTGGTACGCATCGTCACCCCCAATACCGTTCGCTCGCAGTAAACTGAGATGCACGCCTGGCGCAGGGCCTGGAAGGTCGCCCCTGCGCTTGCCGTCGGCTGCACGATTGTCATGAAACCTTCCGAAATAACGCCTTTGACGGCGCTCAAACTGTCAGAGCTTGTCGTGGAGGCCGGGTGAGTCGTATTCGCTTCCTCGCCATTGTGCGCGGCGATGGAACTTACTGTTCGGATAGGTTTCCGCCTGGTGTCATCAACACCATCCCGTCGCTAGGTTCCGTAGGTGGCGCCGCATTGGCAGCACACAAAGACGTTGACAAGGTACTACACTCATCTGTACTTTGCTTGCAAGCTAATGAAGAACATGAAGGTGGCCTTCACCGGATCCACTATCACAGGCCGCAGGATTATGGAGGCCGCCGCGAAGAGCAATCTCAAGAAGGTTAGCCTCGAACTTGGTGGTAAATCTCCGAACATTGTCTTCGAAAGTGCGGACCTGGAACAGGCAGCCAACTGGGCGGCGATGGGCATCCTGTACAACACTGGACAAGACTGCACAGCTGGGTCGCGCGTTTACGTTCAAAACAGTATCTATAACGAGTTCGCGGCCATCTTGAAGCGCAAGGCGGCAGAACTCGTGATCGGAGATGGCTTCGACGAGAAAAGCGGCGGCGGACCGGTCGTAAGCAAGGCACAGTACGACCGCGTGTGGGGCTATATTGAGTCAGGGAAGCGTGAGGGCGCAAAGATTCTCCTTGGTGGTGAGAAGCGAGAGGGAAAGGGATTCTGGGTGGACGCCACAAGTACGCCTGTTGTCTTGATACCCCCTTGGTCCTCTGCTGAGTTCGTTTTGTCAGTCTTCACGGATATCACTCCAAGTATGAGGATAGTACGTTGCACCTGACGCCTTGACGGTTCGGCCATGCCACATACTGATCACTCCCATCGCGCATAGGTTGAGGAAGAGGTACGTTCCTGATGCGCGTTAATCGCGCGTGTTCCGACTGACCATCCAAATACGTGTAGATCTTCGGTCCTGTTCTCGCTCTCGGCCGCTTCGAGACGGAAGAAGAGGCCATCGAGCTCGCCAATGCGACGACGTACGGGCTTGCTGCGGGCTTACACAGTAGTATGTATCGATTCATTGCCGACCAGTTGCCGAATCCTGACCCGTACGATTAACGTGTTCCAGACGATCAAGCACAATGCCATCGTGTATCGAATGCGTTGGAAGCAGGCACTGTCTGGATCAACCAGTACAACATTCTTCACAACGTACGTGCCTGTCCTTCGTCTCTACGCATATTGTGCGGCGCGGTGTCACCTCCTTGTTCATTGCATGACGTCCATGCTACTTCGGACTGTCGTCAAACTGGAATTACCGTGCACTATGGCTTGTCGTCGCTGCTTCACCGAGTGTGGTGGAAGTTGATCTTCGAGCGCACACCAGTGATAGCTCCTTCCCGTTGTACGATTGCCGCGTGCCGGGAATTCGCTTCGTGGGGTTGCCGCGGGCTCTACGTGTAACTCGGCGCCTGCAAGAATGGCCGCGGGCCCGAGGATTCCTTGGTCCAAGCGGCTGAGTAGTATGCGACGTGCATAACGACCTCCGTTGGGTTCTCCCCCTGTTCAACTGTTTGAGCGGCCTCAGATCTCAGAGGTCATCGAGTTGACCTCAACGTGCATTGTTCCGTACTTGGGGCGCTTACTTTCGACGACTAATCATGCTGACGCGGTTACAGCATGTGCCATTCGGCGGCAAGAAGCAGAGCGGCATTGGACGCGAACTGGGGAGTCACGCCCTCGACGAATACATCTCAACCAAAGCTGTTCACTGGAATTATGGTGAGAAACTCGACTGGCCGCTATAGATCACGGCTCAGCGCTGGTCGGTCCGATCGATGGGGTTTGCATTCCGCTCCCTTGTCGGAATGGTCACTTCAAGTTGGGTCGGTCATGGTAGTTCTGGTGAGTGCATCCGTCAAAAAAAGGAGTGAGAAAGTTCGACCATCGTGTACTTGTATGGTACCTTGAATACCACAGTGGGCCGTGCGGCCCTGTCACTTGTGAGAGCTGCGCATGCTCAGGGCACGAGTGTTCGGATCTTGAAATTTGAAACTTGAAACTTGAAACTCAACCCCTCTGCATGCGTTTTCCACTGCAAAGAGGCTTGCCACAGCGAAAGGAGTGGCCGAGCGGTTCGACGCAAGGCTCTTATGAGTTCAAGAATGTGCCGTCCAATCAAGTGTAACCCACAATAACAGGTACAACTGTTCAGAACTAAGTCAAGGAAGCCAGTTTCGAGATCAGTCGCAGGTGACGCCACACGATGTAGGGCGCATACCCTGGCTTCATACGTTCTGTGGTCTATACAGGAGGAGGGACAATCGGTCTCTGGCGCCCTTTCAGGGACTCCGATCTTGTACGTGGCCGTTTGCGTCGGGGTGCCATAATGTCACATACTGATTCTTCACGCGGAATGGACATCGATCTCCGAGGCATTCCGAAGAATCAAGCACCAACCAATATGCCTTTCAACGAGGCTCTTACTAAATGGATGCCGTTGCTTCTCCTCGGTTCGTTTACACCTCGCGCGCTTACAACGGACGATATGGCGGAGATCATCAAGCGCCGGAGACTTTTCTGCGACTCATGCCGCATGAACTTGCATAACTGCAGGCCTTGCGATACGAAGGTTGCTGTGGTACAGGCTGGTGATACCTCTGCTCGCGTTCATCGCGAGGGGCCAAGTCCATGCGCGCAGTCCTCTTCGGCCTTCAGATCGCCAGCCGGATTGCAGCGAATGCAAGAGCGGAAAGGCGCTCCGTTCTAGTAGTTCGCCGGCAATCGAAACTGAGCCCACCTACACCCGATAACACAAGTGCGAGATACATACATCACGGCAGACTGGCTACTTCATCTCCAGTCTTCGGAAGACCCATGCAGCCCAAAAGCGGCGGACTCTGCCAAAAGTTCATTAAACGCATGTCCCTTTTCGCGGTTCGTCCTCGTAACGCTGCCCAACATGGCACCCACCGACGCACCTAGTTTAATCGCTCGTCAATCCAGTCCGATACTTGAGCCATTTCTGATGGTGAAGGACGTGCGACCGGACACCCATACTTGCGTCGCGAGGCCTGCGAGGTGCGGGCGGCGCTCGCACGAAACCTTCACCTCAAGTGCGTAGCATGATGGCGCTATCGGCTACCAGGTGTTGAACCGATGTAAAGACTTTGTTCATCAAACCGGCGGCATGACGAGGTGACACTACCTGCAGCTACGTTCAGTCTCCTGCAGACTTCTATTACCCGTCCCCCGACTGACTCTACTTGTACGCCCCGTGCATCAACGCAAAAGAGACGATCAGATGTGGCCCATCCTTATATCACTAGGAATATCTGGTCCAGCATGGTTCATGTCAGGACTCAATAGGACCTTCGAGACGCGAAACGCAGGACGATCTTGTCTCGCAGCCAGAAGCAGTTCTATCACGGATCCCCGTCGGACACGAGCGTACAGCCCCGACAACGTCGTTCGTGGAAGAGGACTATCGGGCCTCCCTCTCATCCGGCGGCGTTCAGAGTTCTCTGTTTCTTGTTCTTTCGCGTGTTCGCTAGGCGCTATAGGGCAGCACGTTCCCAGGCAACGTGACTCCGTGACTTCTCTTCGAATACCATGGCTTAGATCGTGCTCTAGAGCTCGATGCTGAAGTTGACGGTGAACTGCCGAAGCCTAACGTTGAGTTTTTTTGGGGGGCATACCGCTGACTTATAGTGTTCGACTGTGACGCACTTCCGTAGTCATGTTTGTGGCTATAGCGCGTTGGTCATAGCAGACTTTGATTGTTATGCACACGATGGGACTACGCAACGCAGAGGCTGTCGCGTCATATCATGTCCGGCGGCGACGGCTGTAATTCTCCAGCACCTGAGACACATTTCTCCACGTGTCGCTCTGAGATCCTAGCCTAATTCCGCTCGCGTTCGCACCTGGCCATAACACGATCAGGTTGCTTATATACCGCCGCAAAGCCAACCCTGTGGGTCTTTGGTTTCTATAAAACTTTCGACGATTCTTTGTTGACAACATACAAGCTATGAACCCTCCTGTCATGGCCGAACGAGTCTCTGATCGTGCACCATGCGACCATTAATCAAACGCAAGGAAGGTCCAGTTTCATGATCCCCGAGTCTTCCTCGCGTTCTCGAGATTCAGACGAGCTACACAGGCTATCTCTGCGAGGGATGTACCTCCCCATGTCCCTACTGTTCAATCTGACTAGTTGACGGCGCTTTCATGCACTTTGAGATGAATATGTGCAGGTCCTAGAGACATCTATCTAAGACAGCGTTGACCAATCGGTTTGCAATGCGCTCCGAGAACTCCGACGTTGCTGTATTGAGTCATCTTCGTCTCGTCGAACGGATGATCTCCTCCGTGCTTGCCCGCACGCTGTAGATGGAGCGTACCTGCGGACCTCCGGTGTGATCATTACGACGACCGCATAGATGACCATTTTCCTAGTATCTTACCATGATGGGCCCTTGTCACGTACACAATACAACACATCATGTCCCCCCAGTGATGTGGGGTGCGTGTACCAAATCTACACTAACAGATGAACTTAGCAGATGCAGCGACTTCGAAGCAGCAACCGGGCTGAGAAGTTCCATACGCCCCACTGTGCGCATCGGGGAGGCGTCAGAACGCATCCACCTAACTTGTGCGCTTCTAAGTAAGCGGCACTGTCTTGCTCATTGCCATATCTCCCGCGGTGTTCACTCACGGGGTCAGATCTATACAAACTCGGCAACTGTCCGGGACCTACAAGCGGCTGTATTTGTTCTGTGGGTCCCCCTCGCTGTAGCGCCAGCGCTCGGGCTGATGGCATCTAGATGTCGCTGCGCCGTTATCCTCTGTATGTCACACGATAGACTGTCTACAACTTCGATCTCTCGATCCGATACGCCATCGAGTTAACTGGCAGCGCCGATATGAGACCTACATGTACGGGTTTGTAGGACTTGGCAATGTCAGGCGCGATCGACATCATGCGCCTTACCAGCTTATACTAGATGTTGACAGTCTCAATAGGATTGAGGCACCTGAGATGACCGTCTTCCCTCATTGAAAAACCTGCATCAGAGTGTGTCTGCCGATTTCCCGCTCGAGTGGCGGATACACTCTATTGTGCACTACTCTAACATCAGCGGGGCATATGACTACAATGGGGTGAGCTGACAATGATTCGTATGTCATCTTCGTGAACAAAGAGAAGACCCCCGTCAAGATTCAGTACTGTTTCAGACATCCGTGGGTTGCTATTGCGAACTCATCGGCGCGTTCACGTCTTGTTCCAGACTAGATCTGGCTAGATCTGGTGAAGGCGAGTGGGGCAAAGCCACCAAGGCACGAGCGTCGTTCGCTCTATAGACGACGAGTCGATATATCTTGGTTGCCGACTCGAAAGGAGTAGCACGGCCCTTCGTTCCGCGCCAGATCCTTGGGGTGAAATGGGACATTACGATTGCTGTCAGCTCTTCGATCAAGGATGTGAGAACCGCATGCAACCGGGAGCGGAGCCTCCGTACAGGCCATGGTTTGTAACTCCGACGGATTGTATCAGATGGTACATAGCAAAGCAAGGTCCGCGCCCTCCTCTTCTGGGCAATTCATCCCCAGGTCGATTGAGAGTCGGGCCTGTGACGACGGCGTGACGGAAGTGCCAAAATTCTCGCACACCAGAGCATGCGGACATGTCAAGCAGTGCTGAGCGCCAAACGTGAAGGGCCGGTCCGTGTCCGTGAGGCTGATGAGAATCACGCTCTCTACGGACAGGCACTGTAGGACGGGTTGCCACTAGACTCAAAGGCTTCTACTCGGGCTTCGACAGTTTCAGGCTATCGTCAATACGGTGGGCGCTCTGAAATACATGGAAGAGGGCCTGTGCGCAGCACCGGCGACTAGACAAATGCCCAATCGGCGGCGTTCTGATGACCGGTGAACTAAGTAGGAAGAACCCGTCTCACTGACACTGGCTACTTCTGCGGCGCGGAGGCCGCGTGAGACTGAGCTAGCACTTTCGCCTCGCTACGCAGAAGTACCAGCCTATGCATCCGCTAATAGTGACCGTGCTATATGGCCAGGACGCTATGCAGTCCACGACAGTGGAGGGGCACTCGCCAGTAGTAGTGCGAGCCAGGTGACGGTACCGTTAATAAAGGCAGTCAAGACAGTAGCTGTATACAGCTAACATAGATTACAGGCGCAATTCAATACTGTCGAGTTCAAGGAGCGAGGGACGCTGCGATGAGGTCACCAGCAGAATGACTTCGCGAGTGCGGTATGCAATTTCGTGAGCTTCGCGTTGTAGCAGAGAGGATTGCTTCAGAACTAAAACCGAGAAGGAGGATCGAGCATCGGAGGGCTATGGCTGTTTGAGTGCACAGGCGACTGTGAAAGTAGATCGTAGAATGGATCGGCGCTAAAAGGTTCGTCCAGGATGAGTATCAGCCCCGCGAGAGAATACTGGAGTGCCGGGCTTACCGAGGATCGGTTGATGAGAACGGAGATGCTGACCATGAGGAGTCCGAGTACTGTTGCATCCCGGTCGTCTGTGAGGGCGGATAGTTGGGAGCGTACGAAGAAGGTTGTACGGTCAGAGACGGAGTCCCAGATATGCGCCACGACCCAGACGGCGAGTACGGTGACTGGACTTGTTGAACGTGAGTGGGCGAGGGCCCGAAGGGCATTCCTGCCGGGAGTCCTCTGTTGTTCCAATTCACGCTCTCTCCTTGCCCTGATACTTTGGAAGGAAATGAACCCAAGTTGCCGAAATTTGATGGATAAGCAGAGGTCATCCCGACGTGGTGCGGCCGGGCAGGCTGATGACCGGATCCCAAGCTGTGGGATGAACTGGACACCGGGACGAGGGAAGGTGACATCGGAGTAGGTGGCGGCCCCGTTACCGATGTAGGCTCGTAGACACAGTCCAACTCGCGCTCGCGGCATCGCTGACAACGCACGGGACTGCCTTCCGTAGGAGACCAGATACACTGATAAATTCCACGGAGGTCAGCTTTAAGTACAATGTGGAAATCAAACAACGCTTACTCGGACATGCCGTTTTCTGCATGGCGTGCATGCGGCTGGAGCCCGCCTGCGTGATCTTTCGGTCTGAGGAGGCGACATTCGACTTCGATGGGGAACGTCAACGCAGAGCAAACGTCTACGAAGGGAGCGCACTGACCTATGGGGCGGTGAGAACAGGGCGCGAAGATCTCGAACAGGTATCCAGCTACATCTACTTATATGCTTGGGGAACACGAGGGGTGGCTGTTAGGCCCGACACGCGCGGCGGTTCTGAGCGCCGGGTCGGTTTAAAGTTATGGAATTCTACTTCTTGATTCTTCGGTCACAGTATTCTTCGGTGATGTGACCGTGGACATCGGAATTGACTCTTGACACGGCACCGTACTGCGGCGTCAATGTAGGCTGTTCACGCGGCGATTTCTGTCTGACGAAGCATATGATGAGACGATAAAGCTACACCGTCTAGCCTCGTCCAAGAGAGGGAAGATGAATTCCATGAAGACATCATCTGTCCACTCATCGCTGTCGGCAAGGCACTGCTACCAATCAGACATCCATTCATTGAGTTGGCCCAGGCGGACGGAGAACGTACGGCGTACTATACGGGCGCTCATCTCATTCCTCACAAGCTAGGGTGCCGTTTGGCTGTAAACAGACAATTGAGGCTGTAGGCGCTGTGGGAGCGGCGGAGACGAAAGCGTCATTCGCACTCACAGCGTCGATGACCCCTGTCAGATCTGTTCAAGGATGGCCGTAGCAGATCATCTTTGATCAAACGAGGCGTTTGTCCACGAATTGGTCTTTCATTCAGATAGCGAGGTAATCTTACACACGACCACGAGGATACACCGCATTCTAACTGGCCGCACCAGAAATGTCAGACAAACGGCGTCCTCGGAAGTGATTCTCACTCACGACAGAGGAAATATCAAAGCGCGAGGTAGTCCCGTACCTCCTCCTCTGTCAACTTTCGGAACGTGGGTTTAGGCCGTCCCGTCTCGCCGCCGATCTTACCAGCCTCGAGTTCAGCAGCTGTAGGCACGGTGACTACGCCGATCTCTATAGTCTTCTCGGTCATCTGCCCTTCAAATCCTTCCTTCAAGGTTAGGAGTGCGGTGTGGATCGCATCCTCGAGGCCAATATCGTCGTTGTAGCTGCGTTTGCATGAGACTGATCCACCAACACACAGAACTCACGGCACGTACCGTTTCTCCAAGAATGTCTTCGCATTGACCATATTCTTGCCGATAGCGCTCGCCTTCCAGGCCCAGAACGACCCGGAAGGGTCCACCTGATACAGCATCGGTCCCCGTGTCGCATCCCAACCGCAGACAAGTAATGAAACGCCATATGGCCTGACACCACTGCAAATAATACGATGCATGGTCAGAAACATACTTGGTGTAAGATCTACCGGCCGTACCCGGACTGAGTGGCCTCCTGCATTACGGTCGCGATCTCCTGCGTCAAAGCCAGAGTGGGCGGATATTCACCGTATATCTTCCAGTAAGCCTGTGCACTCTTCCGTGCCTTGCCGACGAGTATGCGAAAGTCGGGACCCATCCCGGAGTATACAAGACCGATGTTCGGACAGATCACGGCAACCTTCTCCAACATAGAGTCGTCGATGAGGATGGAGGAGGACTTCTTCTCTGTAGCAATCACGATGCCGTTTGTTGCTAATGGCGGTATGAATATCGATATATCAGAAATTGTAGTAGCGTGCGCACCCTTGATTCCCAGACTTGTCGTGCCTGCGGATACGGCTGCAAGAGCATGCTCGATCTGCACAAGCTTTCCGCTCGGCGAGAACGTGGTAAGGGAGAAACTGGATATCATGTTTGAACTTATGCTGTTTATGAGTGCAGCCGTCATAGCTCACCTGTATGCGCCGCCGTCTGCAGATGCCATTGGAGTATAGGGGATGGGCTGATCGGGTCAGAGAGGTGGAAGTGAGCGCAAGACGCGTAGTACGCGATGAACTGACGCGTCTGGTACGCGCGTCTCCACGTGCACGCGTGTGCGACCGCCCGACAGTCAGGCGCCACTCCTCCAGTGCCGCGAACTTCTCGCGAAGCAGTCCGGCGGTGTGCGCCATGCTTGTGCATTTGTCGGGATCTAGGTGGCCACCGTAGACCAGATTCTCGGCGGGCCAGATGCTTGCAGGCTTCCGACTTCAAGCTATTTCGTTCCAGGGGCATCCCACGATATGATATTCATGAATGGCATAGAGGGAGGCCGGTCAAATGCTGGTACCAGCGCTTCTATCTTCTCTCATCATTTGTTCAATGTGAAGGCCCGAGATACAGAAAGGCGAGAGCGTCTGGGAGCATCTACCTGGATTCGGCCGGGCACGTGGACGCGACTGGCGTTGTGCGCGCTTCTTGCCTTCGTCCACAACGGTGGCTGAGGTTCTGTCATGCCAGTATGTCTCCCGTATGCTGGTAGCTCTGATACACCGTCTGACACCGTGCTAGAAACACTACTGTGACTACTGTGATGTTTATCTCACCCACGACTCGGCCTCAGGTGCGCCAGGCACTCTTGCTCACAGCATGCTTTGCTTACGCTCAGCACAGTGAGGAAGGCCCACAACAACGGCAGAAATCATCTTTCGAATGTACGGGATTATTATGCGTGTATGTTCATTGCTCACCGTTCTCGCAAGCGCGCTGACAACAACTATACCAGCTCTCGGGCACGACAAGGCGCAAAGTATCATTGACCAAATTACTTCGGCATATGAATCAGGAAATGGCCCGCCGCCAGGTGGATTTGGATTTGGGCCCCAGCACCTGCAGCCGAACACGCCTGGCTTCTCTGGTCCTCCGGGCTTCGGACCACCGGGCGGTTTTGGTGGTCCCCCAGGTTTCCGTATGTGTGCTGATCATTATGCCTTTATCGGTCTGACAGTTGGTATCAAGGTCCACCGTTCCCACCTGGCGCGTTTCCACCCCCAGGTATGATGCCTCCTGGTGCTCCGCCATTTCCCCCAAATGGCATGAGACCGCCTTTCCCCCCTAATGGTGGTGTGTAGACTGAACGAGACTCATTATCTGCTGCTAAACGTATTCAGGTACTCCTCCCTTTCCTCCTAATGGCGCTGGACTTGCGCCAGGAGGTGCTCCCCCATTTCCCCCAAACTTCGCAACTACAGGAGCGCCGCAACCAGGTTTTGTTGGACCACCCTCCGGCCAGAACCCGGCCTCCGCCCCGGCCGGTCCTCTGGGTCCAGGTGGTATCCACCCGGATAGGATTCGGATGATGAACGGTGGCCAGTAGTGCTTATGGTTTGTGACCCACTTGTACAATCGTCGTCTCGTCCTGTATCGATCTCTCGACGTTACTCCAACATGTCATACTAGTGGCGGCTTTGATTATCCAGCATAGCGCCACGGTCATAGGCTATAGTGTATAGTGAAAAATCGCGCTTATTACCTAGTGGCTCAGGACAGAGTAAAGCAATCAAGCGTGAGAAAGCGGGCATTGGCGCGGTTAGCCCAATGCGGCACGCGTCGGGCCTTTCAGCTCGTACCTCCATCATAAGCACCACCGTTACTCTCGCACAACTCGCTCGCGTCTGTCGAATACTCCGGATTATGGATGACGAAGTAAAGCAACTTGTTGAGATGGTAAATTGGCCTGGGCCTGTCGATGAAGGCGTACGCTCATGCACTGGCCGGATAGGGTGCCACTGCCGCCCAGGCACGCGCTGCTCTCAAGCGATACAAGGACGTGATGCAAGCTGCAGAGCGCATCTTTGATGGCGCCTTTGACGACGTCGTTGAAGATGCTGATGTCGCTATGGCAGAAGCCGGCAGCTCCAAAGCGGCATCCAGCGGACTCGCTGTGCGTGACTTCCTGCGACGGGCTGTGCGCGTCTTTCATTTTCGCTTCTCGCTGATCTTTCCAGCAGACACCGGACGATGACGATGGCGATGTTCCTGCAACAGCAGGCGACAGTGACGAAGAGGCGGACGACGGTACGTCCGATGAACGACACTGCGCCATCATCTTCTTAAAATACGCTGTCGCAGACGAATTCATTGACTATGACTCGGATATGGAGTTCAAGCCTGCTGGCACCACCGCACAAGCGAATGCGGATCCGTATGCTGGTGCGTCCTGTGTCAGTGATCGACTCTGTCCGACTTATATCCTTTAGGTATCTTCTTTTCCAAGGAGCGTAAGGAAGAGGTGATCGAAGTCGAGGAGGTCCCGGAGACCGTATACCTGCCGAAAGCTGACGAGAAAGTCGCGCTGATGACTCAAAGTCAGTGGATGAAGGGGTGTCCCGAGGGTGGCGAACAGAGCTTCCTGTTCAGTCTCTACACACAACTTTCCGAAGGACGCTGTCTCTGCCCCCACGATTGCGGTGGCGCTGTGGACAGACGTAAGAGTGACTTCTTTGCCCTTTATGTGAGTATGATCACGCTTGTCGGCTAGATCGTACATCTGAACTCCCCGAAGTCGTCGTTTCCCAAATACATTCAACAGCTTCGCGAGATCGTCCGCTACACATGCAAGACCTGCTCCAGAGAGTACTGTCTCGCTTGCGGCGAATCGTACAACGCATCCAAAGCGCGGACCAATAACGACCTCGACGACCTTGACCTCTTTCATTGCTCGAATCTACAAGGTGTCATACTTGGCGTCGGCCTATCCATGTTGGAGAACCTTTATCTGGACCAGACTGCGAATAAGAGTTCTGAGGATGGTGGGAACAAGAGGAAGCAAAGCGAGCCGGTACACAGCAGTTCCACACCCGATGATGACGACGATAGTCACGTCCCTCTCCCTGTACAGAATAAGAGACAGAAAGTCGGCACCGGCTATGCGGGTGATATGCGCGAGGATGTGGGTCTCTCGTTGCGAAGGGCGAGAGAAGAATGCTCATACCTTTGTCTAGTCGTCTGGCCAGCAAGCAGCGCTAGCCGCTCAGAAACTAAAGGATGCGAAACTAGGCGAGATCATGACGGCTTTGCGCAACTTTTTACCTAATCTTCACCGCGAGGGCGGTGGTCGCGCAAGCGATTACCTGGTCCACCCAACGGCGCTTGCTCATCTCCGACGCAGGTTCAACAGCCTATGCACGTCGATGCTACGCAACGACTCGCTCGCAGATATGGCCGAACGCAATGTCGTTTACTTCGAGCTATTCCAGTGGTTGGAGGTGATATACTTAATCGCCCTTGCGTGACGGCCATTGACGCTACTACCAGACCATCTCGAATCATGAGGCGCTCGCGAGCATGATGGCGATGCCGATCATGGTTGTCTCTTCGGTCAAGGCTAATCCTCCCAGGCGATCCAACAACGGCGCCCCGATCCGCGAGCGTGTCATCCTGTACGAAGGCAGCTCTTCGCCACGCGAGCTTCTCGAATCTATGGTCATTCAGGCTAATGCGGCTGTCAAGAGTCTTGAGGGTCGTACCAGGGCAGCCGACGAGGAGGCACAAGAGATGACCGAAGAACAGAAACGTGTCACACTAGAGACAAAGGGTAAAGACAAAGCAAAAACTGTCCCTGTCACATCCGAAGAGAACCAGAAAATGATCACCTTTTGTCACCGAATCCTCTCTACCGCCACCGCAATCGATCGTTCCCTGCGTGACACGAAGGGCGACGCCTTTGTCCAGCGCTTGCATGCCTCCTTGCCCAAGATCTCCACGGGAAGTGGAGACAACGATGCCTATCTCGCGGAGGGAGCGGACGAGAATGCTACGCAGGAAGCATATATCAAGTGGGCCACACAAGCTCGGTTTGAGTATTGCGACTTGACTGTCCCGGCGCCCGAGGGCACCGTGACTAGTCCCGACGAGCCCCCGAATTACAAGTTTTACTTCAACAATGAGGCCCGCATGTTGGCGTCGTCAGACATACCGAAACGCTCGTTGGCTATCGCGAAAGAGGTGCGCCTGTGTCACGTTCTGATTATACTGAGTCCGTGCTTATTCCGAGTCTAGCTCGCCGTGCTTACCACCAACCTTCCTGTTGCCTGGGATTCCTCGATCTTCTTGCGTGTCGACGAGACGCGAGTGGATGTTATCAAAGCGCTCATCATCGGTCCTCAGGACACGCCGTGAGTGCTTGATCTATCTTTTATCCCTTGGGTGTTTCAATGACCATCTCGGATAGATATCAGAACGGATGCTATCTTTTCGACATCTTCCTCGGCCACGCGTACAACCAGTCTCCGCCAAATGTCAAGTACATGACGGTAAGAGCTTGAGGTTTTTGGATATGTACGTCATCGTTGACCTTGGCCAGACAAACGGTGGGAAGTACCGCTTCAATCCAAACCTTTACGCAGTAGGTGAACTTAGGCTCTGCTGAGAATATTCGTTGATGGGGTTGGCAGGACGGCAAAGTTTGCTTGTCACTGCTAGGCACCTGGAGTGGCCCGGGTTGGGTACCCGGTCGCTCCACGTTGCTGCAGGTTCTCATCTCGATCCAGTCAATGATCCTATGTGACGAACCATACCTCAACGAACCTGGCTGGGCGAATAGCGCTGGTACTCCCCAATCTGCCGCTTGTACGCTCCCAACCTTCTCGCACCGCTCGCGCACTGAGTCATTCCCTCTTAGATTCTGCAAATGTCCGCCGCATGGTTGTTAGGACTGCGGTCAGTGCCATTACGCGTTCATCTCGATATCCTAGCTTATGGGTTTCATATGCAGATGCTGGGAAATTTGCAGAATCCCCCCGAGCCTTTCCAGGACGTCATCCGCACTCACTTCCGCCTCAAAGCCAAGGCGATTTCGCGCCAACTTGATGATTGGCTGGCCAAGGATGACGGTCGCGGCGTTGCGTTAGACGGCGCGGTGGCCGCACGCGGTGGCCCTGGTGGCTCGGACTCGATGGCTCGCGACGTTGCCGAGCTCAAGAAGGCGCTGTCGAAGCTGTAAAGACGCATCCGCCATAACGCCCCGAGACTCATGCATGAGAGCTGTCGCGTTCTCGCATCGATGCGAGTCACCGAATGCTTTTGATTTGCTTCTTGTTAACGCCGCCTTTCTCGCTGGCCATGACGGAAGGAGCCCATCTCTTGTTCGTCACTCTTCACTATCATGTAGTCGTCCCAGCGTCCTAATCACGAAGATTTGTACTTCTAATATGTTCTATTCGGCGGTTGGTGTACATGAATTTACCGTCTACAACCTGCGCATCGCGCGGTGAAGACTGGTTCCAATGAGGATATGATACTACAGCATCCGCATTGTACTACCCCGTCCGCCACCTACTCCTCCGTTCGTCTCGCTCATACCCCTCGGACGGGTCCCCGCACGTTAATCAGCTGTTCTTACATGCCCGAAAATGTGGCGCGCCAAAGTTGATGCATCTGAAAGACTCTACGACGCAGAGCGTCAGGAAGGCTGCTACATGATTGCAGCAGCAAACCTATTTCTAGCACTTCACCCCCGGAGGATTGAAAGCTGGCAGACCTGAGATGACTGCAGTGTATTCAATGGACACCAATCCGTAGGAATGCCAGATGGCCTGCCAGCTGGCTCAGGCGGTCGTGGGAGGGCGATGCTGAGCTCTGATTAGGTGAGGACGCCTGCGATCACTATCCCCGTCAGTGAATCCTCTCGAGCACCGTCTGCAAAACCTGCAAACCTGCGGATAGATATTCAACGATTTTGGTTGAAATTCGAGTACGCCATAAACCACCGTACAGTCATCTCATGCGTGGCATTACGAAGGTACCGAGTAGATTAATGAGTTCATCAGGAGAAAGCGAAGAAAGCCTGGAAACTGGCACAATGCTGCGGGCCAACTGCGGGCATCGGTCCGAAGACCGAGTGGCGGCCCACCGGCCCGGGAGTATTACCCCACACAGCGAGCATCCGTTCAGTCCCAGCGTTCGTCAGAAGACAACGTCGCTTCCGGGCCAGCGCCGATCGACGGCGCGGTGCTGAACCCACGCGCCTGTATGTAGTCGACATCTGCGACGACGACACTCCGGAGGTCGGTGCGAACGCCGACACGCTGCCTGTATAAGTCGGTCGTAGTCCGACGCCCGCCTTCCCGTCTCCCACGCATAGTTTCTACTCGGCCGTCTACACAGTCTTTGGGTCTGCTTTGCGACGTATACTGCATCTACGGCATTCGCACTCGATATGACCGACTCGAAGTTGAGTAGGGCAGACGCCCCGCAACCTGGCGGTGCGCCGCTCGTGGCGTATGACGAACTTGCGCGGCACACTTCACGAGACAGTCTCTGGGTGCTCGTCGGCGATGTTGTGTACGATGTCACAGGACTCTTGGACTCGCATCCAGGAGGAACGGGTCCACTCCTGAAATGGGCCGGCAAGAATGCGACGTACGTGATCTGAATGTACCACATATATTCATGTTCTCCGCGCGACGCCCCTGACGATTTTTGGCCCATTATGCTAATACACGTTCACATACAGGAAGGCCTTCGCGCCGATACATCCGCCGGGGACACTCGAGACTTTACCCCGCGAAGCGACAATAGGGAAAATCGACCAGGCCACGATTCCCCGTGCAGTGGAGGAGATGACGCCCGAGGAGAAGAAGATGAAGGCCGCGCGGGATGCACTGCCGCCTGTACAGGCTGTTCTGAATCTTGCCGAGATTGAGGTGCGCGGAAAGGAAGGCTTGCAGCGCGGTCTTGTCTCAATTTTTTTGGTTTGACTGTAGGCTTTAGCAGAGGGCGTCCTTAGCGCAACAGCATGGGGTTACTACCGATCGGCGGGCGACGACGAGAATAGTATATGCTTCTCTGTCCATCTGGCTATAGCTTTGGCGCTCATCTAGTGGCATTCTGCAGCTTTCGACGAAAACAGAAGGTCGTTCAAGCAATGGTGGTTCCGACCACGCGTGTACGTCCTCACTTGAAGGTACATATAAAGAAGCTCCGCTGATTTGGGGTCTAGTCTTCATAAGATAACGAACACGGACACGACTTGTCGTATCTTCGGGCATGCATCTCTCTTGCCCATCTGGGCTGCTCCTGCAGCGCTTGCTCGCTTGGGACATCCAGACGGGGAGATGAACATCGTGCGCGCGGCCGGGAAGGAGGGTATCGTCTACAGCGTGCGTGTTTCCCCCCGATTCTGCGCCGTTCGCTCCCCTGCACGCCTACTCAGTGAGCTTCTGAATTCCACCGCAGATTTCTAGCAATGCGAGTTGCTCTACAGAAGAGATCATGAGCGCGAGGCAGCCCGGCCAGAACCTTGTCTTCCAGGTGCGTGTCCGCCTCGTGTGCGGTGGCGCGGAATAGGGGGCTGAGGTTTCCAAGTTATACGTGAACAGGGATCGTGCGGCAACGACTGCACAGCTGCCAAAGTTAAGGAGTCAGGGATATAGCGCGCTCATGGTTACCGTCGACGCGGCCGTCGCGGGCAATCGCGAACGCGATCAGCGTGCCAAGGGTGGCGAATTTGTAGGTCCTGCGCGGGGAAAGAGTGACGCTGGTGGTGGCGCGGGTGTCGCTCTCGCCATCAGTGGGTATCAGGATCCGGACGTGGCCTGGGAGGACATCCCATGGATACAAAGCCTGACAGACCTTCCGATCTATGTGAAGGGCATCCAGTGCGTAGAGGTAGGCGCCGGCTTATCGGATCAGCATGCTCCGGCGTTAACGAGACGCCACAGGATGCTGCTACGGCACTCGAGGTGTACAAAGTGCAGGGGATCATTCTCTCGAACCACGGGGGGCGGTCACTGGACTAGTAAGCGCTTCAGTCTTGCAGGGACACTGCGGAGAAGTACTCACAATGCCGCATGCACACAGCGCGCCGCCCCCGATGGCGATCTTGCAAGAGCTGAGAGCGGAGAGGCCTGAGCTTCTCGACCGGCACGAGGTGCACATCGACGGAGGCGTCACGCGCGGGACGGACGTGCTCAAGGCGCTTTGCCTGGGCGCACGGGGTGTCGGGTTAGGGCGAGCGTTCCTGTACGGCAATGCACTCTGGGGCGAGGAGGGCTGCCGGCGGACGATCGAGAGTACGTGCCGTTTCATTCTCCTCGTGCTCGCGGCCGGTGGTTGGGAGAGGCGTGCTGACATTTACGACTTATAGTCATGCGGAATGAGATCATAACAGGGATGCGGCTGATGGGAGTGACTAGAATTGAGCAGCTGCGGCCCGAATTGGTACGGTTCGTTGGGGGAAGCGGGCGCGCCGGGGCGGTGCAGGAAGCGCCCGTGTGGCAGAGGGCGAAGCTGTAGATCTAGTATACAGTCAGTAGGCTATGCTCCGGAAGGAATATCTACGTGCGATCTTTGTGAGAGAGTGGAACAAACGTGTCCGCAAGGCGGAGATGGAAAGGGGTATATGTACCAATAACTGGGGCGGATCCCCTGCAGTCGGTGAAGTACGAACGTGGTGGTCTGATTCGGTGATTGCGACTGGTGCACGGGCTCGGAGACCGAGGCTGGACGACTTGACTTTCGCCGTCATCTTTCTCACTACAACGCTCGTCTAGCTGGGCGATGAACTCGCTCAGCTACCTGTCCCGGCAACTGGATGTGCTGGCCACCAAGTCGGCGCCGAACACCCCGCGGTCCGAGCTGCCGCCGCCGTTGGCGAGCTCGAGCTCGAGCGGTGGCGACGGTGGCCAAGCGCGCAAGCCTACCTGGTCGCTCAAATCGCTCGTCGCGCCGCCCGCACCGCGCCGCTCGCTGTCTTCCCCGGCCCTCATCGCCACGCGCGCGAAGGACCCTCCCCCGCCGTTGAAACCGGCGCCACGGCGACCATCAGCCCGGCGGTCATCACTTCGGACAAAGGCGACGTCACAGGCGGGCGGCAGCGTGGCACGGCGCATGCTCCTCGTCCGTGTGATTGTCCTCGTCTGGCAGGCGATGTGCGCCGCCGTGGAGACGCTCGGCGGGGCGCTGACCATGCGATGGCTCTGGGCCGCTCGCGCCAACGAACCAACATGCGCGGAGGAGAAGAAACCGCTGCTGGCGGACAAAGAAGGGCTGCCCGTCCCGCCCTTTGTCGTGCGCTCGCCCACGGACCCCTCCATCCCCGTCGTGAACGCCGCAGAACGCGCGCACATCCACCTCTTCTCCCCAGAGACCGCACAGGCCCGCGTCTCTCGCACTCCCTCGCCAAACTCCGCGTCCGGCCTGCCCATACCCCCACGCCGCACCCCGTTTCATCTCCCAAAGACCCTCGTACTCGACCTCGACGAGACCCTCATACACAGCACATCCCGGCCCCTGCCCTCTTTCAACTCTGGTTTACTCGGCTTATCTCTCGGTCGTCGAGACCGGCCGCACCACGAGGTCGAGGTCACCCTGGGCGGACGCAGCACGACATACCACGTCTATAAGCGCCCGTTCGTGGACTACTTCTTGCGAAAGGTTCGCGGCAGATTCTCCACTTCACATGCCCAGAACCTTACGCGTGCATTCACAGGTCTCCTCTTGGTACACGCTCGTCATCTTCACCGCAAGTATGCAGGAGTATGCGGATCCGGTAATCGACTGGCTCGACGCAGGAACCGGCATCTTATCGAGGAGACTATTCCGCGAGGTGAGCCCCGCAGTCGCGTTGGCTTGGATGGGACTTGACATGTGTTAGTCGTGCACGCAGCTTCCCAACGGCTCCTACTCCAAGGACTTGTCAATCGTGGAGGCGGACCTCGCTCGCGTGGCTCTACTGGACAATTCGCCTATATCTTATAGCATCAATGAGAGTACGCGCTTCCCGCTTCTCCTCGCTCGGATCGCGCTGACAGTCTTTCTCAGCTAACGGCATCCCAATAGAGGGTTGGACCCACGACCCACACGACGAGGCGTTATTGGACCTGTTGCCCATTCTCGACTCGCTGCGTTTCACGAGCGACGTTCGACGCGTGCTTGGCCTCCGCGGCTTCAGCATTGCATAGCGTCTCGCCTCTGTTGTCATCTCCATCTTGCTGTCGCGCCTGTTTTCGCTTGCCTCTACCCCATACTTTAAATGTGTATTATCGGCCTCGGTCACCTCCAGTGTCTTCTCTTCGGGTCTCATTTCGCCCCTCTCTACCCCACCCCACCCCACCCCACCCCAACCGCCCTTCGTCTTCGCTGCGTATCAACCCATCGTGTCATCGTCAACCGATTCATCTCACATACAGCATTCCCTGTGTTCTCTTCTCTGCAAACTCAACGTCAACCACACCACGCATCGCATCCCTCGTCCCACATAATATCTTCGCCGCACGCACCGCACCGCACTACAATGCCATGTTCTGCCTGCTTTCGATATATCTTCGTGAAACCCTTTGCTTAGCCGATACCCCCATAGTACTCCAGTGCGTTTGCGAAGAGATCGTGCTCAGTATCCATTGAGTCAGATATGCCATGGGCCCTCGTAGGCGCGCGACTCGTAGTACCGCCTGCGTACCGGCTCTTGCACTTATTTGTCGAATTATCTGTGGCGATCATACAGTATCCGTTACATGGCCAGAAAAGACACACACAATCATCCAACTCAAACAGCACAGGCGGCATCTTGCTGTCAAGCCGAGATGCAAGGGCGTGTGACGCCATAACCATATCGGACCGAAGCCCGTAGCCCGAGGCAAGGACGCCGGGCTCGGGTCACGCTCTAACCACCACATACGCTCAATCCTCCTCTGCCACCTCTTCACTCGACCCCTTACCTTCCACTTCACTTAATATCCACCTGCAACATGTGGAACGTGATGAATTACTTTGGCGGGCGGCGCGACCCAAAGCAGAGCGCGCGGGAGGCGATTGTGACGCTGAGGGAGCAGTTGTTATTGAATGAGAAGAAGGAGGAGATGCTGTATAGGAAGATCGACGAGGCGATGGCGACGGCACGGGCGAACGCTACGTCCAATAAAGCGCGTACGTTCTTCTTTCCGAAACATATCTCATTTACTCGGTTCTATGCCTACTGGCTGACCGGGGACCATTTGTAGGCGCCACGCAGGCATTGAGACAGAAGAAGATGCACGAGGCAGATTTAGAGCGTCTGGGAAACCAGAAGATGCAACTCGAGATCCAGATCAACACGCTCGAGGGCGCGAACATGAACGCCGAGACGATGATGGCGATGAAGAAGGGCGCGGATGCCCTGAAGGTCATACACAAGAATATGTACGTGCAATGCCAAACGAACGCGCGCTGGTAGCTCATATATACCACGTACTCGTAGGGATATCAACAAAGTTGAGCAGACGATGGCGGACATCGAAGACCAACGGTTGCTCGCGGACGAAGTCTCACGAGCGATCGCATCCCCGGTCACTGGCGAAATCATCGACGAGGTATGATAATCCCATCATAGTCTCTGATTAATAGCGCTCACTCGTATAGGACGAGCTCAAGGACGAGCTCGAACAGCTGCAACAAGAGGAGCTCGATGCACAACTGGCTGGCGCATCACACGTTCCGGCACATGTGCCCGTTGGCGCTGTCGCAGGCAGAGAGCGTGAGTTCCTTTTGTACGTTTTTGATCTGCTTTTACTTATGGCCATCAATCGCTCTAGCGCCACAGCAAGCGGCCAACACGGACGACGATATGGAACGCGAGCTGCGCGAATTGCAGGCACAACTGGCCATGTAGTCGCGCTCTTCAAGTGCACCCCTCTCGCCTCCCTTCCCTCGCTTTGTAGACCTGGATCCTCCCCGTCATCTTCCCATCGCAGCCCGTATTCCGGACTGTGCTGTATACTGCTTTGTGTGATCTGCCCGTTATTTCGTTATCCCTCCTACGCTCTATACTCTCTACTCGACAACGAAGCTTGAATGACGATCGCTGCTTTCTCTTGTGTGCTATTACACGTGTACGTATTCAAATGATTCTCATCATTCTTGCCGATATCATGCCCTTGTGTACGATTCGTACAGCGGAAGAATAGGCTATTATTAGGGATTCAAGCGCCCACCGAGAATAAAGGTACTGGAAGGTATGTCCAATGAAGAGATACTTGCGGAAAAGGATACAACACATGAGCCAATGTACGGGGGTGATAGTACCAGAAGGACATAGTTGTGTCAGGCTCCTACCTCAGACGGCAGTATGGTTTCGATACTCGTCTCTGTATTCCCACATCGTCTCGACAGATGGTGAAACCGGTCTCGGGGTCATCTTGTACTCGACCGTATCTGGTATCTCCTCGGGCACGAGGAATAGTCCAGGATGAATGGCGTTCGATGAGATCATGGCGAGCGTGATCATAGCACCGTCGAAGATGTCTACATATCTGTTAGCAGTCGTAGAGGTAGTGTATGACTTGAATATTACTCACCAAACGGCCACTCAGTGCTGATGATCACGCCATCCCAACCGTCCGCAAGCTCGGCAGTGCGGTAAATAGAGCGGATGAAGAGCAGAACTGTCAAGATGCCCATGTCGAGTAACATTATCTCAATCGATACGGAGTCTGCGATCGGCGTTCGTACACCAAGGCGCGGCGGAAGGGCCGATTCTTGCCATAGTGCCGAAGGAACTTGGCTGCGAGCGCCGTGTATACGATGATACACACGAGTTGGAAAATAATACCGGCCAACATGATGTTCGCACCCTGATGCTCAGGTTAGCTAGCAAGTCGGAGCTGCGTTTACAACGTATGTGCTCCGAGCCCGCTTTATCGTCGGCGGTGGATGCGATGCCACCACCAGCTCATCATATTCACGACAATCATGCTGGGATATCTGGGTATCTGGACATGTCATTGGAGGATGCAACAACGACAGCCCCGTCCATGATTGTCATTTCGGGCCTTTTAGCTCCTCAAGCAAGGTTAAACTGTACACATGATACATCCCCGCGTTGGGAAGCAACCGATGCACGCCTGCGAGGGTATACATGATACATGCGTAGGCAGATCCACCGGTGAACACTAGTTCGCATGGAATGAGCGCGTCGTATGAGCAAGAGGCGCCGTCCCTAACGCTCTTTCTTGACATCTTCGTCGTCACTGAGAGCATATCATCAGAAGACCTGTTATGTGTGGACGTGCTTCATCTCACCCCTCGTCGTCGCTCCGCGAGTCATCGGCTCCTTGACCTGTGACCACTCGGTATGCAACGCTGAAGATCATAAAGCACCAGACTATTTGAATGACCTATATGACCGAATCAACAAATGTACGGCTTGAGACCAGGGACAGTTTCACAAACTTCAAGTGCGGAGAGAAGCACGACGAATCCATGGACAACGTCCAGCGTGATGTACGATCCACGTTCGGGCTCCCAGAGCAAGGGTACCCTCACTGGCAGGTCGAAAGCCGTAGACCAAATGATGCGGATGAAGAGGAAGTGCCTGGTGTAGAGCCACGACATCATGAATACGACGAATGCGAGGTCGCATGCAGTTTGGTAGCCCAAGTAGCGGAGCATTTTGGCCATCTATGCATTTCCGGTATCAGCAGAGTAGTGATGAAGAGCGTATTTAAGGAATACTCACAGGGAAGATGAGATCACAGCAGTCCATTATGACCAAGATGACGCAGCCGACACGCGTGAAGTTGTACGTGTAGCTGAGAGTCATGAGGGCGATAGTCACAACATGGTGAGCCATCATCTGCCAATGGTCCTTCCTCCGTGCCTCCGCATTGAGGACGAGGATGGAGTGGAGGTAGAAGCCCATTTGCCAGAGGTAGTAGAGTTTGACTGGAGCAGGGAGGGGGATATGGGGGTAGCCGGTCCAAGGGTCTGCCGGCAGACCGAAGTACACGTACTGCGACGAGGTGTCAGTCGTTTGGAACGCGGTCACGGGGGGAAGAGAAGGAGCAGACCATGCCAAAGGAGAACATCCAGACATAATAAATCCACATCCAGCCCTGTTCGGCGAAGCGCACGACGCTGTGGCGAATGCGACGTTGCTCGCGCGAAGAGGCAACGAGACGCTCAAGGCTAGGCTTCTTGGGGCCTAGCGCGCTGTTCTCCGCCTTGCTGTCCGCGTCCGCCTTTGCCAGGTTCGGGGTCTCGTTGCCGCCCTCCGCCGCCTTGCGCTTCCGCCATTGCCGGGTCAACATCCAATTCGCGAACGGCTCGAGCACCACGATCCGCGTCACGTCCCGGAGCAGCGCCATCGCTGCGATGAGCGTGACCATGAGGCAGACATCTTTCCAGCCAATGTCGTGGTACGAAGAATTCGGAAAGCTGTCAGGCTGCGCCGGGGCCGGGACCTCGTAGGAAATGCTGACGAAGGGAACCAGAAAAGATGGTAGCGCCTGCCTGGACAGCGCCGAAAGAGCGTCCATGATCGTGTTCAATGGGAGAGAAACCTGTTGCCGCGTCGGAAATCGGATGATCACTTCGCTTCGAACCACCACCAGGCCTACCCCATATCACACACGTGTGTTCTCGGCCCCGCCTCCAGGCTTTGCAGGCTTTATCCCAGCTATTGTTCGTGATCGTCGATCCATCTGCGCTGGTAGCAACGTTCGACTCTAAGCACTGAGTACTGACCCCGCGCGCGTTCCTCGTGCCCAATCCAGTCCAGCGTGGTCGTGTCAAGTTAACAGGCATGCGGTGGCCCCCAGTATCTATTATAGTGTTCACCTGGCGGTACATGACATGCCTTATATCATCATATGAATTTTCACGATTGAAATCGCAATGACGATGTGCAAGCGCAGTGGCAGTCATCCCGAGAATCGTGCGGCAGCCTATGGCAAGGTGACTCCCGATCGTGTAGCGTGCATAGATACCCACTCCTTTTGGACGAGGTCAGACAAGTACTCGGCCTTGATAATGCGCCGAACTCTCGATGACTCGAATGCTAGCACTGATGCCCTCTGAGGACATGGACAGAACAGACGACTTGGCGTGAGTGCTACTACATCTCACATGTGGGCGACGTGTACGATCTGCCGACCAACAGATGCCGTGCCGCAAACCTCGTCCCTTGTATGTGCCTGTGGCTTGGACAGGCATCCACTTCTGACCCACTCTCGTTGGCTTCGGTACGCCGTCGGGATTCGCAGAGTATAGGCGCTCACCCACTGCGAATGGTCCCTACTACGTACAGACCCCAGCTCCACTATGACAGTCCCGACGCGCAAGATAGGCGATGCTCAGGGAACCGCCCTCGGCATTGGTGCGATGGGACTTTCAATGGCCTATGGCGATACCCCGTCGGATTCGGAGCGGCTCGACTTCATTGACGCCGTATACGCGCGTGGCTGTACCTTCCTTGATACTTCCGACTTGTACGGAGACAGCGAAGCGCTCTTGGGCAAATGGTTCGCTCGGTCGGGTCAATGCAAGAGCATATTCCTGGCAACCAAGTTCAGCCTGAAGCCGCTTGTGCGTGGAGAGTCAAAGATCCCGCGAGCAGAGCCGGAATACGTTGCCCAGGCGCTTTCGGCCTCCCTCAGAGACTTGGGCGCGGATTATGTTGACTTGTACTATCTACGCCGGTCAGTGGAGTAGTGCTCTCAATATCATTCCGGCAATCACTGAGGACCACGATTGCAACTCAGACCCAGCCCTGAGGTGCCCATCGAGAAGACTGTTGGCGCCATGGCTGAGCTTGTGAAGTGAGCACTGAGGAGCGATGCCAATGGCAGACCAGACACTGATATGTCGTAGACAAGGCAAGATCAAGTACCTCGGTCTCAGCGAGGGTTGTTCTGAAGATCTTCGGCGAGCGCACGCTGTACACCCGATCGCGGCCGTTCAAGTTGAGTACTCGGTGCTCGAACTAAGCATCAAGACGATAGGGCTGCTTCAGACGGCGCGCGATTTAGGTGTGGCAATTGTCGCTTATTCGCCTCTTGGTCGCGACATACTCACCTTGAGATATGGACGTACTATCTGTCCTCGATTCACACTCTCAAAAATGCATCACAGTATTGAAATCGTTTGACGACCTTCCGGAGAAGGATACACGCCGCATGATTCCGCGATTCGAAGCGGCCAAGTTCCCAAATATCGTCGAGTTAGCCTGAGAAATTCAGACAATCGGTACACGAGACGATGCGACCGCAGGCCAGGTTGCACTGGCATGGCTGTTGACGATATCATCCCCATATCTGGCACAAAGAAGCTCAAGGCACGTAGTTTGTCAGGCTGGTGCTCGTAAAGATGAAGTTGACCACGCCTACAGTAATTAGAAGAGAACCTCGGTGCGGCACACGTGACGCTTTCGAGCCAGGACATTGTCGCAGCGGGGAAGTTGGCAGATTCGTCAAATGAGGTTGTGCCAGGGAAGAGATATCCCGATTGGTTCACCTTCTCATTCCAGACAACACCACCACTTGATCCTTGAAGGTATTCTCATTTTCGTAAGCCCAACATTATCATTTGACGGATAGATAGATGGACAAGATAGTATACAGGAGCATGGGCGACGGATCAGCGATATTGGAGGAAGAATGGTCTCGATGGCTGGAGCTATGAGCGAGATGGGGGCGAAACCTAGGAAGCATTTGTTAGCTCAGCATTGTACTATGAAATGCTAGCTCCCACCAGAATTACACCGTCTCCGCGAACGAATAACATCTCCATTTTTCGTTTTGCAACCTGCTCGGAGTGAGGTGGGTGCGGGGATGGGTATGGTCTCACGTACGCTTATCTGCGCCTGATCTGAAGGTGCACCCTCTTGAGCATCAACAAGCATGATAGTCTCCTCGACGTCACTCAGTATGAGGTTCATATGTCCATCGTAAGCCTACATAGTCGGACATGAGTCTCTGCGCGGCGCTTGCAAGGACAGAGTGAATGCACATGCAGAATCCCCGTCACCTCGCGATCACCACGGAGCTTCACGAAGACGCGTTCGGAGAGGGATAAACGGACAAGATCAAACGGCTCCTGGATAGTACCAGAGGCGTCCATGGCGAATGCAGGTCGTGGCACGCGTTTGACGTGACGGTCGCGTCCGAGTCGCGCGCAGAGGTTTCGCAGAATCGCACACGTGAGAAACCCCTATGTGCGAGGTTCGATGACGGATATTCGCCATACGTGAGTCGGGCGGTGACTACCTACTTCTCACCACCATCTCCTGCATACACTCCAGCTATCCATACTCTGACCGGCGACCATGGACTCAGACACCGAAAGCGCCGGCTCTCCCGTTCCTCCGCCGTACACTGAAGCCTCACACTCCGGTACCGTCCTCGGTGGGGCGCAACCATCGAGTCCTAGAGCTACTAGGAGCCCGTCGCCGAGTTCTGTGCGTCAGGCTCGGATCGCAGCGATGGAGAGGAGAAACGCGGAGATACTCGCCGCTCAGCAGGCCGAGGCTGCTGCCAACGTTGCTCCGACATTTGATGCCTTCGATGAAGACTACGAGAAACGCACGGAGTTTAGGAGGATGGTCGAACCGGGGATCATGAGGCCCAATACGAGAGAGGTTGCTGTGCGATCCTTGAAAGTGCGTTCTTGTCTACGTAACGTCTGAAGGATATGCTCATAGTCGTTGATGGATGTAGACCTTATCCACCCTGGCCCAGAATCTTGTATGCGCCACCGTTTCTTCTGCCCCTCCCCTCTCTCTGACCTATAGAACTCAAGCTGAAGGATCCTGATAACGAGAAGTACCAGAGTTTCAAGACGACGAATAGTGTCATCAAACGCGATCTGCTCGATCCTAAAGGCACGCTAGAATACGCGGTGGAGGTCGGTTCCTGCCCGTCCGATCTCATGCACTTATCTTCTAACGTACCCCGAGATGGGCTTTCGTCCTGAAGTTGAAGATTTCCAGCCTTATTATAAGTTCAACAAGAAATACATGAAAGATCTGCGCGTAGGGGCCGCAGTTCTCTTGGAAGCTCTAGACGTACAGATGACCAAGGAGGAGAAGATAGCTGCCAGTCTCAAATCTAAGAAGGGCGAGGAGGCTGCTCGCGTTGCTCAAGTAGGCCCTCCAGCTTCTTCGTCACACATTTATTTATCATGAGCACGTAGGCGAAGTTACAATTCATGGATGATCGTAAGACCAAGGCTTTGCGAGATCAGCGCGAGAAGCAGCGTGCCGCCGCGCAAGCCGAGGCACGCCACAGAGCTGAGCTAGCTCAGCTTCAGGCTGCCCGTCAGCGTCGTGATGAGCCTTGACGAGAGAATATGACACCACCTAAGTTATGCCATCTTACCCCTGCCTGTATGAGACTAGTGATCTCCCGAGTCATATTCCTTCACACGTTGTACTCAGTACCCTTGACTATTGATCACATGAAATCACAAATGAAATACCCTTTGTATGCATTGGAGCGACTATCTCGAATTTGGATATGAAAGCAGAGAATGTGGTGATAACGAGGCGTCAACCGACAGATTCGCATAGAGTGGGCTACAGGCGGTATGGTGCGATTACATGGGCGGCGCACTCGTAGGTGGACGTGCTCTTGGACCCCTCACGACAATCCCGGGACCCCTGTGTCGTCCTAGTGGCGCTACAGGACGTGCAACCCATGGTCCTGGTGCCTGGTTTGCCGCGAGATCCGGCATCGAGTCTACGTCGGTCGGTGTATGCGGTACGTCTGGTAAGCGTCCCTCGCGGGTACCACGGGTTGACCTCCGCCCGAACGTCCCAGCCACACTTTTGCGCGCGGCTGCGGCTGAGTTCGCTGCTGCGAATATCACAGGCGCTTCTTCATCGCCCACGAATGCGACTTCGCCATGCAACGCTGGTGCTGAGTTGGGTATGACAGCCGGTGTACTCGTCCGCGCGCTGGAAGTAAACGTCGATGAAGCAGCTTCCGGGGAGCGCATCGCGGATATCCGTGGTGTATTACTGGGAGAGCTCCTACGGGGACCAATTGGCACTGGAATGACCATGTTCGGGGGCGACACCATAGAGCGGTCGCGACTGGGCACCGCCACCGACGCCGGTACGGGATGACCCGGCGTGCTTGAACTGTCGATATGCAAAAAGCTCACACGACGCGAATGCCTCTTGTTTCTCTGCGGAAGCTCGCCTCTGCGAGTGGAGGTGTCAATCACAAGCTGGGGGCGATTGGCGGAGCGTGGTGGGGGAGCAAGGCCGGCACTGGCACCTACAATGTCAGAGGATGTAGCGCGGTCGTATTCTGCAAGTTGCTCTGGTCGTAGGATCTTGCCTGAGAGCGGCACGGACGATGTCGGGGTTGCGACGGGCGTCACTATCGAGAGTCCAGGCGGCATAGACTCCCGCGTTGCAGTAGTGAGAACTGCTCCCTCTGAACTGTTCACGCCGCGGGTCATACTCGAGCGTACCGTGGCAACGTCGCTTCGCGGGCCCTCTGTGTCACTCTGTTCCGCCACCGACGCCGGAGGAAGCTTTGGTAGTTGCTTTGCCGCGAACGGTAGAGCAGCAAGACTTTCGCGTTTCTTTCGCTCCTGGTCCGAAAGCCGACGCATGGGTGTGGGCCCGCCATATGATGGTCCATTCATGAGCAGTTCGTTCATCGCGCGTTCGGACATGGCAGGTGAAGTGCGTGGAGGTTGTGCCATGTGCATTGGTTGAGGGGGATCAAAGAACGACGAGACCATGACGCTGGAACGGGGACTTGTTGTAGATGCTTTCGATGCGGTGAGCAGAACATGTTCGCAGTCGCGAGTGGATGCTGGTGTTGGGGCGAAGGCAGCTACATGTGCGCTCTATGAGTCGTATTGAAGTGACGAGTGCGCGAGACGCACCAAGAAGGGCCACGGCTCCAACACTGAAAGGAATAAAGTCTCCCAGAACGTTGCTTGCCACTGCGTCTGGAACAAGGACCACCAGATCAAAAACAAGCAATGCTACGGCCCGAGACACGCGTATATCCAGAAGATCTCGAGGTAGTGAAAGACCAATGAGTAGCCTTGCAAGTGTAAACAATTCAAGAATGATCAGAGCCAACGAAATCGTTAACGACGTGGGCATGAAGCTATTTGAAAGGTCAGACACCATTCTTCAATACATTCAATCTGCAACGCACTGTTGCTTTACACAGATGGCAGCATCGCCGATATTGGGTAGGACACTGGGCTGATGGTCAGTCGTAGCATATCGCGCACAATGCTCGATGCACGAACGTCACTTGACCGAGGCTGAAGAAGACGTTTCCCCCTGTGACACCAAGAACGCTGAGGAGCAAAAACCAGACGGTGGTAAGCTCATAGATCGTAGCATTGAATCGGCGCTGTAGCTCAAAACTGAGGATCAAGATGCCTAGGACACGAGCAATCACAGAAGAGGCGGTGCCTACTCCGAGTGTTGCAGCTAGCAACGAATAAGCATAGGGCGTTGAACGAGTACATGCCACACGCACCGCACAATGACTCATATCTGAAGCCGTTGCCAAAGACTAATAAACTGAGGAACTGTGCCATACTTGAGACCACCAATGCCCAGTACAGTAGAAAGGCGAGGATGCGTTGTCCGGCTGGTCCGTCGCGGGTGCTATGGGTTGAAGTAACGTCCGCTAGATCCATGTGCATCAAGCTCAACGGCTTGTTCGTGCTCTCGACATCCTGAATGCGCTTTTGAGTGGGAAGGAATATGATGCATGAGGCGCGACCGAGTGTGCGTGTGAATGGCGCGTGGCCAACATGTCGGCAAGCGAGCAGGAAAACCCAGCCCAAGGTGAACGATGTGATTGTCCGGCTGCTGGCCGTATCACCAAACTGGTTTCTGAAAATGAGACGATCACGCACAAATCAGGGTGTGCTTGATAGTCCGCTGCTGCGTCTACGGTCTCGTCTCTCGTGGAAAGGAAAGTCGTGAAGTTCATGATTGAGAACCCGTCTCGTCGTTAAAAGAGAGGCCAGAGAAAGAAGAGGGGGCAAGACACCGGAGAGGCCAGCTCGAAGAGAAGTGGTAGCAAGAAAAGGCTGGCCCAGCCAGGTTAGAAAAGAAAGCGCGTGAAGAGAAGGAAGGAAAGGAGAGCAACATCCGTGGCGTCTCGGAGATATAAAGACTGCGCTAGACGTTGATCGACGCAGGTGCATCCGAATCATTCACATACACTGCCCCAGATGTTTGCACGAGATGGCCAAATGGTAGTCGTCAAGGGTCGGCGGCGCGCTGTGCTGGCGGGCAGGTTAATCAGCCGAACCGCATCTTTCCGTTGACCGGCTAGCTCGGCAGGGCGCACTCCAAGCTACGGTCGCGGCTCGAGTGAAAAGGCTGTGCCGCTGGCCGTGGTAGGCGACCCGCATATCGTGAAAGTTGTAAGTGGGAAGCTTGCAGACAGTGTCTGCCCGTCCTGGGCGAGCAGTCCTATCGAGAAGATCAAGACTATCACCACCTGACTGGGTTAGGTGGTTGAAGGAGCTCAGGGGTAGTCGGCCCTTCGTGATCGTTCGGACTTTGCCGAGAGCTAGACTTTCCAATAACCTCCATTTATTAGAGCGCTGGACTCCGTCAGCAGGAGCCCGGCTTGTTTATTCAACGCGCTGTTCGTGTGGAGGTTGCGTTGTTGACACCTATGTCTCCTCGTCGGGCCAGGCCACAAGTGCGGATATGCAGTATTTTGAGCGAGGCTGTCATTGCCTGGAACATTGGGCGGATCAAAGTATTGCGTCATAACGGAGCGCGGTACGGCAAACCCCGTCTGGGCAGTGCCTGGAGGAATTTTGAGGGCAGGAAACCCAGCCAAACTAGGTAATATAGTACCATCGGCGCCGAGGTTGAAGGCATCGAAAGTCCGAAGTTCAAGCCCAAACCCAGTCCGACCGAATCCGCGTCTGTGATACGAGCTCTGTAGCAGACAACATAGGTACAGTAAGCGTACAGAAGACAAGCTTGCTCGCGTTTGAATAGGGAAACTGCATGATCGGTGGACTACTGAGACCTCGTAAGTGATCTGCTCGTGACAAACTGCTATGGCATCCGAATCCATCGAGCAAGGATCCTCTATATCTTCCCTATGAGTAGATTGCGGAGAATCTCGCGACCCGTGATACGAATCGTCTTATAGACGGTTGGGATGTCTAGAGTCGACGTGAACGCATCCGCCAGTCCGAACGGCATCATGGGAGGTACCCAGCCTACAAGTTGATAGTGAGCAATGACCACTACGAGTTACAGGCGGAGCATGGAAACGTACCGCGCACATACTCCAGGGCGAAGCAGTTCTCGTGCATCTTGTATTGTCGGACGACACCGCGCGGCATCAGGTTCATATCTCCCGGACGATACACGTCCTTCTTTAACATGCCCGGCTCGAACACCCATTGCTCGCCCTCGAGGATGTGAAAATAGTCATCGGCAGTGTGCATGCCCGAATGTCCTTCAGTCCCAAGTGGTGTGCCAAAGATGATGAGGTACTCGGTGATGCTGGCGTGAATGAGATAGAGCGCGCCCATAGCGCCGCCTGCGTTGTTGAAGAACCACTCGCTCCTGTCGAGGCTAGGGTTCAAAGCAATGACTGAAGGCGGATACGTCTCTGTCAGATTGGTGACAATGTGGTGTATCATACCCGCCGTGTCGTTCGGGTAAGACGCGATAGCCGAACGGGCGAGCTCGTGAAGGAAGGGTGGGTCGAAAACATACCACCGATCCTAGTATTACACATCAGCAATGTCTTGTAGAATACGGACCAGCGTGCCGCATACCTTGATCGAGTCGAGAATGTAACAGATAGCGTACATTGCGACTGGCACTATGGCATATGTGGACCAGTGCATGTTGGGGGGTCCTATATTATCTGAGGATGGATGTGGCGCGAGTGGCAAGAATGGATATTTGCGATAGGCCAGGTCGTAAAGCTGTTGGGTCGCTGACGGCGAATCAAGAGACGCTCCTTTAAACAACCGCCGCGGTTGGTGCGGTGGGCCCAATCGAACCAGAATCTACATCGCCCGCCGCGAGAATCGTGTCATACGACGCGATATCCACAAGCATTTCCTCCCAGAGATTCTTGTATCGATGACACACGGCCTCTGACTGGGATGTACGTTTCTCAATGATGCAGTGACTGAACTTAGATCTGTCAGATCTGCATGGCGATGAATACGTGGCCAGATATTAGAGTTGGCCCAGGCTTGGCGGGCCGGAGTCCCAGGAGACTCAGCGTAAGCACGGTTGCTTGTGTACGAGAGCCGGAGTTCCTCATGGGGTCAGCGCATATGCATATGCGTTGTGCTTCCGATCCGTGTAGCATTGAGTGTATACGCCTATCGCAATGCGTATAAAACCCATTGACGGATAGCACTCGGCGGACGTCTGTGGCGGTCACCCATGAGAAGCTTTCAAGAAGCCTCTCAGCAAGTCATGGAACTGAAATACTTAGCACGTACAGTACGCCAATCAATGTAATGGCTGGTGATGGTCGTTGAAGGAGTTCAGGACAAGAGCCTATAGAGAGGAACCAATGCCATACTCCATCCGTCATCACATGAGCGGCGGAGATGGGATCACGGTCCCGAAAATGCCGATCGCCATACGTGACGACATCTTCGGTGCCAACTCTCCAGTCGACTACAACCATTGGACCCTGGTGGCTACTCTACAATATCTCTATCCGAAGGGGCTCATGATGGACGCCATGCCTTCAAGCTCGACGTATCCTTATGAACCGCCAACCATCATCGAGATTTTGGTGCTATCGTCCTACATATACATCCTCAATGCTGCGGGGGCCATCTTCGAAGCAAGTATCCACGCAGATCTTGTTGGATACCTATGTGTCGGAATGGTGTACGGCCCACCGCTGGGAAATATCATCCCTACGGCTTGGCTGAATTGCTTTACATCCGTCGGCTACATCGGACTAGTGCTACTGGTATTTCAAGGTATGTATGCTGGGAAAAAGTACTCGGTAGTCCGCTGACTGATTTAATATAGGTGGTCTGATCACGGACTTGAGCATGATCCTACCCAACATTATGCTCTCGCTGTGTGTCGCGTTAACGGGCATTGCGCTCCCTATTGCATTGTCCATCGCGTATATTCCCTTTGCACTCGACTATACGCTCTTACAAGGCTTCGCGGCGGGCGCCAGTTTATCATCCACCTCCTTGGGGACGACCCTCGCAGTACTATCTGCCAATAGCAGAGCCTCTACATCTCGCCCAGCCGAAAAGACCGGCCCCGGTAGCGTTGTCTCCGCTGATGCCGAGCCCATCGATATTCGCAAGACCAGACTAGGGACAGTGCTCATGACAGCTGCACTAGCAGACGATGTAGTAGCTCTAGTGCTCGCGGCCATCGTCCCCAAACTCGGCGGTGGCGGGTTCACATGGCGAGCTGTGGTACGCCCCGTGCTCGTCTCTGTGGCCTTTGTAGTATGCACCCCTGTACTATCGAAATTCGCCGTCAACCCCATACTTCGTCGCGCAAGACGCTGGGATTACACACGCATTCGCGGTACTTCCGCCTCAATGATGATCGCGAACTATGTCAGCCGCGATGCTGCATACTTGTTTGCACTGGTCGCTGTTCTCAGTGGCTTCGTCACCAGCGCCAGCTACGCGGGAACGAGCGAACTCCTGGGAGCATATATTGCAGGATGCTGGCTCCGCGCGACTGGCCGCGTCTTGCTCCTGCGAACATCAAGCGATACACAGGACGTCCCCATGGATGATACCCCCACTCCACCCGCTACGATCCCAATGACATCGACATCAGGACTCATGAATACGGGCGCTAACGATGCTGTTGCGGATCCATTCACCATCACATTCGAAAGATACATCGAACCTGTCCTCCACCGTGTCCTCGCCCCTTTATTCTTTGGATCTATAGGGAGCTCTATTCCATTCCTCAGTCTCTGGAGGCCCGCGCGGATCGTCTGGCAAGGATTCGTATTCTCCATCTTGATGGCTATAGGCAAGGCAGCGGCTGGTGTGTGGTGGCTGGTATGGCCCGGTCGATCAGGTGCGTAATGGTCTCCAGCTGGTGCGCAAAGAAATTCATGTTGCTTATGTAGTGAACGACGATCCGTCCTCGCGATTGAGTCGTAGGACTGGCGCGCTTTTCATTGGAATCGCCCTCATTGCTAGAGGCGAGATAGCATTGCTCGTTGCATCACTCGCTCGGTCCATTCTCCAGGAAAGTCCAAGAGGTACACAGGAAGAGCTATACTCTATTGTGATGTGGAGTACCTTGGCGTGTACTGTCGGAGGAGCTATGGGTGTTGGGTTTGTTGTTAATCGGATGCGATAGATACCCTGTGATATCCAGCTTAGAAAACGCGTCGGTCTAGACCCGGAGGACGTTTGGACAGGTAAAATCGACCATTAGTAAGTTATTCTTTAGCTTAGAGCTAGCCGTTGGCAAAGAACTATCAAATTGGTGTGGATATTGCTATCATAGAAATCGCTCAGCCCCCGCGAAGAACTTCGGTCTGTCTGAATTCTTGAATCTTCTTCTCAGCCTCCATCATCATCTACGCAAGTGAGCGTTCGGCAAAGAAGTCTTAAGGGGCCAACATACCTCTCCCGCCATGCCATAAATATCTGAGTTCGGCTTGTTGTACATCATAGAGTTGGCAAACATGAGATAGATATCGCGTTGAAACTCGGTGCTCGTCGATATCTGACCCGATTTGATGCGCGCCTTCATTGTCTTGAGGTCCATTGGTCTCTTTACGATCTCATGATAGTCTGGCGCCTCGGACGGCTTGATTGGGTTTTGGAAGATGGCACCGTTGCGGTGGTTTGAGATGTCAGCATGTAACATCATGATGACCCGTTCGAACTTTTTCGCTGCGTCTTGAGCACGACGCTTGGCTGTCACTATTTTTTGATGAGGATATATGAGTGGCATGAATAGGCCGAGAGGAAAGAATGTGTAGCGCACCAGGATCCTCGTCTGAATCCTCATCGGCAGCGGAGGTTTCCCGTTGCTTTTTGCGATCGCGGACAGACTCAGAGAGCTCACTAGCAGCTTCGGAAGCACGGCGCTTGCCTGATAATCATTGGGACAAGTGCAGAACACGTCGAGAGTCGTGCATACCTTGTCGTGTTATTCGCCGTTCGGGCACCGGCGTCTGCTGCTGGAGAGGAATGTCCGGGCTCGTCTCCTTCTCCTCGCGCATATCCTCAGTCTCATCATCTGCACAACTTCAGGATGTGATGCAGATGTGCAATGGCAGATGACTGACCTTCCGCGCCTGACAGTTGGGGTGCCGGTTCCTCGTCGCTGGCGGGTTGCTCTGCGGAGCGTTCGATCGCATCACTTTCGTCAGATATCGAGTCTTGCGCATCCTGCAGTAGGGCGCTCTTCGTGGACCTAAGTACGTCTGGTAGCGACGCATGTACACTCGGGTGTTCATCACCGATCGTCATGATGACATCGACTGAGTCCCCCTCGGCTGGCGTTAGAGGTTCCGCAGGCTCGTCAATGTGCTTCTGGCTCGCTTCAAGTGCATGCCGAAGTGGCGTAGATGGTGTCTTGAGATTGGGGGATGCTGAGGGAGTGGCGGGTGGCGTATGGGCAGTGAACTGATAAGAAAATAGGATGAGCTATCGGGAGGAGTGGCGTATCAGGATTGTCTGTACCTGCCTGGGCTCTGCGGAGGACGGTGTTTCCGCATCCTCAGCCTCGGATTGCGCCTAAGTATGCGTCAGAAAAATAACGCAAAGACGAACGAGTCCGGCGCGCCCACCTCGTCCTGTGCAGGCGCAGGTACAGGTTCAACCATAGCTTTAATCTTCTCGTCCCATGCACCACTTCTGATAGCGACGATCTCAGCAGCAATTGTTCTATGCAGAGTAAGCAGGTCAGAAAGGGACTACGAACCAAAAACGACCGACCAGAGTAACTACTGACTTGAAACGGGTCTCTTCGGCGGCAATGTGGTCCTTGAGCTCGGCCATGCGCCTTTGGTGCCAGACATGCGCAAGGCGACGTGATGGGAGGTCTGTGAGAGACTGTGAGGCCGAAGAACACGAGCACCTAGACTGGTGCGTACTTTTCTTCTTCTCGAGGTCAGCTTCGCTGCTATGAACGCTCGTGAGTGGGGACGATAGATCTGCCAGACCGGGGAGGTGGGCATACAACTGGACGCCGGCGTCGGTCATCATAGCGCGCCATATAGCCTCGGTGGATTGGGGGGTGAAGGCAGACTCTGGACGTTGGATAAGACTGTGGCCGTTGAGAATCTGGACGACTTTGTGCCACTCATGGCCGCCGAGTTCGAAGACGGCTTGAGCAAGAACGAGACATTCACGCGTCGAGAGGTCATCCTTGGTCAGCGGCGGGCTCTCTGCACGGGTCGACGCGCGGACCGACGCTCTGCGGGCCATCTGGGGGCGTGACCGCGACGGTTGAGGACGTTGGGCGCGGCGGCGGACAGGCGAGTCCCAAAGAGGCTGTGCCTGTTCCCACAGCTGCCGCGGCGCGTCATAACGTGCCAGAGGCGGCCAACCTGCGCTCTCGAGCGTACCACCACCATGAAGTTCAGCCCCGGATTTGTGTCGCTCCTTGCCCTCGTTCCCTACGTCGCCGCCGCCGGCGTGCACAAGCTCCCGCTCAAGAAGCTCGCCCCGGCGGCCTCGAACCCGGCGCTCGAGACGGCGTACTTGGCGGAGAAGTATGGCGCCCAGTCGTCATTCCAGATGCCCATGGCCGGTGCCGGCGGCTCGGGCCGCCGTCTGCGCTACTCGGACGGCGAGCAGGACGATCTGTTTTGGACCCAGCAGGACGAGGTCAACGCCCAGAAGGGCCACGGCGTGCCACTGACCAGTAAGCCTCGCCTTGAGTTACAGTTGGACTTGGTTACCGACCCTCCACTCAGACTTTATGAACGCCCAGTACTACACTGAGATTCAACTCGGTTCTCCCGCTCAAACCGTAAGTTGCCCTCATATCGCAGCCATCCCTTCACAGTGCTGACGGGCGCCGCAGTTCAAAGTCATCCTCGATACTGGGTAAGAGCCGCGTCAGCCTCCGAACTGTGCGGGCATGTGATCTGACCCGAACCGTCCAGTTCGAGCAATCTCTGGGTGCCCAGCTCCCAATGCACCTCCATTGCCTGCTTCCTTCACACCAAGTATGACTCGTCGTCGTCCTCGACTTACAAGGCGAACGGCACCGAGTTCTCCATTCAATACGGTTCCGGCTCGATGGAGGGCTTTGTCTCCCGCGACAAGCTCTCCATCGGTGACCTCAGTATGTCAGACGTGCTCTTTGCCGAGGCGACTAAGGAGCCCGGACTCGCCTTTGCTTTTGGCAAGTAAGTCCTGGCCGTCTGCGCGTGGTGGACATGAGGCGCTAACAGCCGTCCCCTTACCTCTCGACCAGGTTCGACGGTATCCTCGGTCTTGCGTACGACACAATTGCCGTGAACCATATCACCCCGCCCTTCTACGAGATGGTCAATCAGGGCCTCATTGACGAGCCTGTTTTCTCCTTCCGCCTAGGCTCGTCCGAGGATGACGGTGGCGAGGCTGTCTTCGGTGGTATCGACTCGAATGCGTATACCGGCAAGATTTCTTACGTCCCCGTGCGCCGCAAGGCTTACTGGGAGGTCGAGCTTGAGAAGGTTGCCTTCGGTGACGACGAGCTCGAGCTCGAGATGACCGGCGCGGCCATCGACACCGGCACCTCGCTCATCGCACTCCCTACCGACATCGCAGAGATGCTCAACACCCAGATCGGTGCGAAGAAGTCGTGGAACGGCCAGTACACGGTCGAGTGCGACAAAGTGCCCAGCTTGCCTGACCTTACCTTCTACTTTGGTGGCGACCCATACCCGCTCAAGGGCTCAGACTACATTCTCGAGGTGCAGGGGACTTGCATGTCCGCCTTCACAGGCATGGACATCAACCTCCCTGGTGGTTCCCTCTGGATCGTCGGTACGTCAAGGGCGTGATCATCATTTACCCGTCAAAGGCTGATCATGCTTGCAGGCGATGTCTTCCTTCGCAAGTACTACACGGTCTATGACCTCGGCCGCAACGCGGTCGGTTTCGCCAAGGCTGCTTGAGTATCGAGCGATACCCTAACGTTGCCGATATTGAGCGACGGAAACACGCCTGACTGATTCTTGTGCAAGGATCTCGTATTGTGGACTATGCTCTCTTTGTACTCTACATGTTGACGACCGTGAATGACATCGCACTGGATAATACACGATAGTATGAAGACAACAACTGCTCTTGCTCGATATTCGCTCACAGAAAAGAGTACGGTGGTATTCAGCATCATTTACCCATGTCAAACAATCTCAGTCCTGATTCCTTATCGCTCTAGTCCTAGTAGAGCCTCCTGAGTGGGCGTCACGTGCTACGTCCTGGATGCAGCCATGGCGATTGGGCACAGGTTCCGTGCTTGGTTCATGAGGCCGAGCTTCACACTGCGCTGCCCTTCATGGAGATGCAGGACACGGTATTGCCCGCCAGACGGCAAGGAATGTCGCTAGAGAGTGTTAGTATGCCCATCGATCATGACGGGATCATGGTGTCAGAAGTCAGCCCTTTCTCCAACATGCGCACATTGAGTGTTCTCATATATTGCACAGCGCGAAAATGCGGAAGAGCACAACGAAAGTTTTGACGCTCTAGATGACCCACTCGTTTGAGGGAACGTCAGTGTTGTCAAGCTCTATCGTCAGAAGGCTCTGTTAGCCATTGAAGACCGTTATGTATATGCATCATGTATAGGGTATGTGGAGGTATATGTACAGCACATAATTCTTGAGCGGTGAGGGCCATCACATTGTTCTTCATACTACATAGTCATCATCATCATCAACGCTGTGGACCTTTGGCCGCCGCCTACGGAGACCTCCTTCCTCCAATTCTCCAAATTTCTCGTCTAGTGCTCCCATGAACAGCGAAAGTCCCTGCTGAGGAGTTGCAGGAACAGAACCCTCCGTTTCGTCACTCTCAGATGAGACGACAAACATAGACACCGACTCGAGATTCGGCGGCTCCAGTGACCGACGCGCAGGTTCTCGTGAACCAAAGAACTCCTCAATGAGCGAGAAGCGACGGTCAAACTCATACAAGTCGAGACGTTTGTCCATGTCAGGGTTGAGTGCATCGATGAGGAGGCTTCGAGCTTCTAGAGAGAGGCCCGGCTCGCCCAGATCTGCCGCATATGCGTCGCGCCAGTCAAAGAACTCTGAGCGATCGCCGAGGAAGAACTTGTAGCAGCGATCCTCTGAGGTTGACTGGAGCCATGGATATTCGCCGTAAAGCATCTGGAAGAGGGTGATGGCCAACGCGTAGACGTCCGACTTGGCTCCGTCGACCTTAACGGGATCAGAAGCGAACCCTTCTGTTAGGCAGACATCAGTACGAAGTGCAGTAACGAGTACAGAAACTAGGCTGACCGGGAGCGAGATGCGTGTATGTACCGCGACCATAGTTGCCAAACGAGTCTTCTACAGATCCAGAACTCTTGGAGCATAGGCCGAAGTCGGAGATGAAGACGCGTTCTAAACCCTTCGTAGCGAGAAAGTTGGCCGGCTTGATGTCGCGGTGATTGTACCCGTACGCGTGGACGTCCTCGACAGCAATAAGCATTCTATTGAAGACATATCTGACGCGTTCGTTGTTCCCAACGAAGATGCGATCCTGCATGATAGGATCTTCGAGGTCGCCGCCGTCAATGTAATCGAGGACGATGAACGTGAAGTCGTCCTCCTCGAAGACATGTCGTAGTGGGACGAGACTGGGTAATACGTGCATCTTCTCTATAGCTTCCAGTTCCAGGTCCAGCAACTCAGCTCGGAAGGATCCGGGCTCTGGTGTGCGGACGACCTTGATCGCTACTGTATTCTGTGAAGGGTTTTCGATGGCGCGGTAGACAGTGCCGTAGCCTCCTTGTCCGACAGGGTCCAGTAGAGTATAATGGCCATCGAAGGAGCATTTTGAGAGGTCGTCGAGAGTGATAGGAGCAGGAATAGCCATGGCGAAGCTTTGATAACGGTTGTGAAAGGGTATCAGGTGCAAGTCCGACCACCAGAGTTCAGCGAACTAGACGACAAGGCCTGACGAGGTGTCCAAGTACAACATGGTCCGCCATTTATACCCCCATCTTTGACTCGGGATGCGGGTATATGTCCTGGTCTCGTTCGGCTGGCGCATAGCTTTGATGCTGTAAAACTGTAAGAAAGGAGGCACAAGACAAGCAGAAAACGGAATGAGCGAGTAGACGGACTTATCAAGAGTGCCCTCCTGCTTCCCTAACGGAAGAGTACCAAAAGAAAGTAGGACGTACGGTGTATTGTTGAATACTCACGAATCCATACATTGCGAAGCGCTATCGACCGTCGGAAGGTCGAGGCCTCAGGAGGTAGATTAGGAGTCCAGCGCGCCACTCTTGATGCATAGAGCCGCGAACCCCGAAGAGAGGGGGTTCCTCGATGCGTCAGTTAGGCTAGCATTGTTGGCGTGCCATACTAGCCTTGTAACGCCGGCTGGTACGCGAGATCATTACGACGGTCAAAATAGGGGAACCATAACCGCGTTCGTTGCTGGAGGCTTTTCGTTCACTCCATGTTCCGCCTTAACCCGCCTGTGGTTCTCATACAGCGCGAGGGTTATCAGTGTCAGTGGTAGGTGGGACAAAGGTCGTCGCGCACAGCGCCCGCGGGTTGCCCGCGGGGAGTTCGGGGAAACCTTTCACGTAGTGACCATGACGTGATTCGGTGGGATGAACGTCCGCCGGCGCGTCTTGGGCGCGTCCATTGTCCTGCGCTGCCATCCGGCCGCTGCTTCTGCATGGTCCGATGACGCAAAACCATACTTTCGAATGCAGCAGACCAGTCTTTACTCGAGGGTCGGTGCCGCAAGCACGACGCAGCGGTTACTTTTTTCCTAATCGTCATCATGCATCAAATTACTGCCGCTGTGCAAGCGCATGACTCTGAGCATGCGTCGGACCTGAGAGTAGTACATATGGACAGGCGAAGCATCGTGGGATGGCAGAGCACTGCGTAGTACTCAGTTGCTAGCTGTTACATGTTCGCCCTAGGAGCGGATTTGATCCCACTCAATCACACACGAACAAGGCCGAGGGAATTTCAAAGTCCGTTTTCTTCGAATGGTCCGAACCACATTTGAACTGAGCATTGGGTGTGCACGTGCGATATCTATCCCTCTCAGACAGGTTCGGCAATCGTAGCTGTAGGGTTACGAGCTTCGCCAGCCAATTTCCCATCCCAGTATAAACGCTCCTCCCCAAGGACGGTCCTCAAAGATGTGACCTGCGCGATGTGTTTTATGCCACAATCGAAGAGGCAAAGCAGACGGAACGTCCTTTTTGAACTCAACGAAGATAGCCACGGCAGAAGTTGACGCATGTCAATCGGTTCTGGATCGTCTTCACTCTCCCTCACTCCGCCATTCGTCGAGAAAACGACGCCTTCGAACTGTAAGACGACCAGTTCCGACATGAGTGAGGCATCAAGACGTCCCTCCGCGGCATCTGAGACGAATTTCGCGGAGAGGAATGGGTCGACGCTGAGCCACTTGATGTTATACATGTGAGAGACGGAATCGTGTGCGATGCCTTGAAGACAGACGACAGGCGTGCCGGACAAGAGCTCCAACGAGGAGACGAACTCGCGGGTGTGATTGAAGGTTCTTAGCATAAAATGGGCACGCTCGCTGAGGATATCGGCGCGACGAGCGACAGTCGGGAGTGTAAGGTGACCAGGCCCAGCATGCAAGATGCAAGCGCGGATGAGCGTGCTCTTCGGGTCACCGCCGACTTCTATGCACATGTGCTCGAAGCCCTTGAACCCATTGTCGGGCGACTGTCGCTGGTAGTGCGCGTCCAACGCTCGACAGAAGCCCGCGATTGACTCTTCGTCGAATATCGTGATCGTAATGTCCCGGAAAGAGGACTGGGGAATGGCGAGGCCATAGAGAATTCCTGCCAGAGTTCTCATCCTGTCGTCGAGTGTCAAGTCCTGGATTCTTAGGAGGGACACTCGTCGCTCGCTAGCAAGAGTCACTGCAATTGTGGGCTCGATCTCGACGATGGACCCGCGCGCGGTCGCGCGCAGAACGAGTCTTTCGAGCTCCGGAAGGCCCGCGAGGGTGTCAAACATTCCATCGATGTCGCCCCACACCGAGGCAACAGAGGTCAGCGTCAACGACTGTAGGTTGGACGCGAGTAGCGGGTGGTCCGCACGTATACGTCTAGCGCGTATATAGAGCGTATGCAAAGGAGGTGGTGATGGCTCTGAGAGCTGTCCCGGGAGCTGGTCTGTTGGCCGGTATGCTCCGCGATTGACAACGTACAGGGCCTGTAACGCGTCGGTGCGGAGGCTCAGCGCTTGTTCAACCTCTGCTAAGGAGATAGGATGACCGGGTAAGCCCACGCTGTCCCGCGTCTCTTGTATATCCGTGTTGTGCAGCCAGAGCAAGCCATACGTCTTCGGCATGAGCACAGGCATCAATGTGCGCTGCCTGTCTGGATCTGCCAACGTAGAGGATCGCAGTTGCGAGGCCACGAGCGGCCATTCAAGAGGGACGGCGTCCGAGCGTGCCAGGAAAGTTGCTGTTCCGCCTGCGTGAAAGATGGGTGGGCATGTCCAAAGCTGCGGCGTAGAAATGGCGACGCTGTACCACTGTCGACACACGCGAGTCACGATCAAACACGGCGATTCGCTGCGCATGATCCCACGTATATGGCCAGAATATTCATCGTCTAGGTCTGGGGTGCGTACGTATCGGTACTCGGCGACGTTTGGGATGTCCAGGACGAGATCGAGGTAGCGCGCTGCGAAGTCGTCCCCCAAGTGCGCAAAGGCCTGCGATAAGACCTCTACTGGTACCATAGAGATAGTCGGCCTCGTCGTCCCTGACAAATCCGCGCATATCAGAGCTAGGAACGAGGTGGCAGGTAGGGCATCGTACCTCTTACACTATACGCGCTGGTCCCAGCGACATCCGAGGCGAAGGAGGTGCTCATCGTGATGAAGGATATTTTTCAACGATGCGAGTATCGTTCCGGTGGTTCTTGGAAAATGGCAAGCGGAGAGAGCGCTATATTTTCGAACTCTGGACCTTGTTAAGACTCAGGACTCGCCGGCCGCATCGATGCTCACACACTCAAAGAGGGGTCAGTAATGACATAGTGCGTTTTCGTGTGATTATAGGGAGACGAGGCGGTCCATGACACTGTTATGACGGAAGACTAATAACTTACTCAGAATCGGCTCTGACCGCGATTCGATCCTTGAGTCCTCAAGTTGACCAACAGGTAATTTGGAGTAATGGGGGGTGTTGACGGCGAAGTGCGTCGACAATGCAAGAGGCAGATAATGGACATGTCTTAAACAATACAGTGAAAACCTAGATGCTGTGCAGGCACGGAAAAGCACGCTACAGACCGCACACTCACCGGTCAATGGGCCTGAGAAGACCCACTACCTTCTGCGCGTTTCTTCTTCTTCATAATCTTCGCCTCGAGCTCGTGCCATTCGCCATCCAAATTCGCCAGGCCCGCCGGCCTCGCCTCCTTCGGCTCCTCCTCCGTGAAGTACGGCGCGTTCAGCGCGTCAGCCGCGCTCACACGCTTCGCGGGATCGAATGCAAGCAGCCGCTCGGCGAGATCGAGAGCCCCGGACGACATGTATTTCTTGAAAAAGTCGCGGAAGTGGGACGGGATGGCCTCGCGCGGCTTGACGAGTTCGTACCACGGTAAACGCGCAACGCCGGGCCAGCTCTCGGCCGTCGGCGTGCCCATAATCTTCCATATCCATTCGAGCTGGTTGATCTCATCGTTGCCGATGAAGACTTCCTTCTTGGTGAAGAGCTCGAGCATGATACAGCTAAATGGGCGATCAGCAGACAGGTCTTCGTTGCAGTCAGAAGTGTTGATGTTGACTCACCCGGCGCTCCACATGTCCACTTCAGGTCCATACACGGTCGTCCCAAGGAGTAACTCGGGCGGACGATACCACAATGTGATAACACGGTTCGTGTAGTCGCTTCTCCGGCGCTTCTGGTAAAAGCGTGCTAATCCGAAGTCGGCCAACTTGAGATCGCCGCGAGCATTGACGAGGATATTGCTGCCTTTGATATCGCGATGGATGACGCCCTTGCGATGAAGATAAGCCAGGCCTGCCAGCATCTGACGGCAAAAGGACTTGAGATGTGCCGGGGTGAAGCTGAACTGCGTTTGCGTGAGGATGCCGCGGAGGTCGTGGTCCATGTACTCAAACACCATGTACGCAGAGCCTGAGGAGTGCGAAGCCTGCATCAGTACAATGCCACAAGATACAAGCCGAGCGGCCCGTACCGTGAGAGACCATCATCTCGTACAGCTGAATGACGTTTTCGTGTCTCAAGCTCTGCAGCAATTTGATTTCGCGCATTGCAGTGACAGGGAATCCGTCCTTCTCGGTTTCCATTCGTATCCTCTTCAGTGCGACGTGCATTCCGTTGTACGTGTTTTTGGCCTTGTACACTTTGCCGAACGTGCCCTCGCCAACCTGGCTGACAATTTCGTACAATTCGCTTGAGGACGACGCAGTGGTCCGCGCTGGACTAGGCGCGCGAGTACTGCTTGAAGCGGCGTCGCGTGGCGAAGGTGAGTGCGGTCGACTGGACCCTACTCGAGAGACATCGACGGTGACAGAAGCGCGGCGTGAAGACGCTTCATGAGACGTGGTAGCTTGGAGAGGACTAGGAACAGGAGGTGTGGTAGGTGTGCGCAGCATCTGCGAGAGAGACGCGGGGACCGCGGATACAACTGGAGAGGATAGAGGTTTTGGCGGTAGCGCAGCCAAACCGACGGGTGGATGGGCCAATAGAGGTGGCTGCGATGCCGCCGACGGGGGTTGCAGAGAGGTCGGCGACGGTGCATGGTACTGCGGAGCGGAGGAGGCGGTGGGAGATGGGGTGAACGAGGGTTCGGCCACATAGACGGGTACGGTCGCTGGAGTGGGCTGAGCGGGAGTAACGGCGGTGTTTGCGGCGGGGACAAAGCGGCTTGCGGCAGTGGCGCCCGAAGCCGGCGGCTGCGACGGGCGTCCTATGGGAACGAACTTGGCCGGTCGCTCTTCGTCGTCGTCGTCACCGGGGAAGAAGCGTTTCACGGCCGTACTCGGCTGCACGATCTTGAAGGCCCGATTTGGTGACGTCGGGGCGGGTAGGACAGCGTTGACGGCAGAAGGAACGACAGGACTAGGCGGAGGTGGCATCGAGACGTTTACGGGGAGCGCTGCGCCGTGCCCACCATCCTTGCCAGACGATAGTTCGGCCTCGTCCTTGGACGATAATGGTGGGGGAACGACTATCAAGTCGGCAGGGGTAGCGGCGGGCAACCGATGCAACGTCCTCGGGCGCTCGTCGGGGCTCATACTCATGCTCTGGCTCCGACTGCGGGGCGTATAGCTCGAGAATGAGCGAGAGCGCGATCTCGATCGCGACCTGCCCCTAACCCTCTCACGATGTCGGCCGTTGCGAGCGAGCGAGGCATCCCGACGTCGATGAGGCGAGGGCGTTCGTCGAGTTGGCCGGCGTGAGCTTGCGGGGCTATGACTCGGGCGATAGTCGTCGGGGCTGCCTTCTCGCCGTCGTCGGCGCGGTGACGGGGAACGTGATGGGGAACGCCCACGGTCGGACCGGCCCGAGCGATGTGAGCGCGTCGGGGAGCGGGATTGCGAACGACCCGTACGTTGCTTCTTATTTGGTGTTGGGAGTGGTGCGGTATCCCGCCGTTGCCAGCTTGAGCGATCGATGAGGACCGAGCTTCGGAAAAAGAGGCGGAAAAATAATCACGCACTTATTCAGCTGGGCATCCTCGGGTCGCCAGTTGTCCCTACGCTGGGGCTGATTGCTGGTCCAGCTACTGCCGTTGTAGTTGTTATTGTATCCCTGACGCTGTTTGCCGCCCTTGTTGTTGCGGTTGTTCATGTTGTTGTTGTTGTTGTTGTTATTGCGCCTGTTGTTATTATTGTTGTGATTCATGTGCCGAGGCGGTGGCGGGGGCATGGGCATTCGAGCGCCCGACTGCCAGGCGGTCGAGGGCTGCCATGAGCGCTCGTGGTCAGGGATGATGGGCAGACGCTGCTGATTGCGGTCGTCGACGCGAAAGGGACGGTCTGCCGCGCGGCCGTCGTAGTGGTCGTCGCGCGGGGCCCACGAGTCAGCTTGCCAGTTATTTTGGCGCTGAGGGGGTTGTTGTTGTTGTTGTTGCTGCTGCTGGCCGGGCCAGTTGCGGTCGTCGTTACGTTTGGGCCACTGCTGGGACTGGTCCCTCCGAGGCCAGTGGTCCGCCCCGCGCGGGTTCACGTACGGGTCGTTTTCGACGAAAGCCGGGGCCGGGGCCGTCCAGTCGCTGCCGGCGGGTGGGGCATGGTACGTCTCCACGACGGGTCGTGCCGGCGGCATCCAGCCGAGGTCGTGGGGTCGCTGGTGGGTGTTTACGACGGCGTCCCTGGGGTCGTAGGGCTCGTTGAGGTTCGGGATCGGCCGGTAGCGATCGTCGATGGGCGGCTGGGGCTGGTGGGGCTGGTAGGGCGGTCGCATGTCGAGCGTCGCACGGGACGAGGACGGGAACGGCTGCTGGGGCTGCCCGTAGTGGTCGTCCGCTCGTGAGACGGCTTCCGGCACTCGCCAGCCTGGCACGCCCCCTCCCGCACCCGCAACCCCGCCCCCTCCGTACCCCCCGCTCCCCGGCGCGTGGAACGTTTGGACGAATATCCTGTTGCTATCTTGGCGCAGGCGCGTATAGACGCGTCCGACGCTCTCCTTCACGCTTCCACAGTCTTCTCTTGCCCAAATTGAGCACAGAGCAGAGCAAGAATGTGCATGCACTCACGAGAAACCGCAATTTCCGCGCGCTGGTGTTCAGACGTGGATGTGGCGGATATTACCACAGAGTGCACCTGATAATTCTCGAGTTAGCCACACGCGTCAGAACAGAGCACCGACGGCATAACGTGCTTGCTAGCCCAGAAAGCGTCCAGACGTGACCCGTGAGCGTTGCCGGTACGTGCGAGGTGGGCGTCAAACGCGAGCAGCGCAGTTGACGCGACGTCCAAGTCCGTCCCCTTCGTGCCCCTAATCCCGCATCTATCCTCCCGTTTCCTCTCTCTCTCCTCCCCTGACGTAAAGCCTTCGGGTAAGCCGCCAGACAACGGCACATGTGGTAACACAGCAAACGCGCGTCTTCGCAATGATCGAGTTCGGAGGCCACCCGCACTCTGAGTCTCAATCTCTCGAAGCGCGGGAATATCCGCACAGGCGGCGGCTCGGCCGTGACCCTCTCTCCTTCCCGAAATATGAACATGACGATACAAACTACCGACTAGTCGTACAGGCGGCTACGGGCTACGTGATCACTGAAACGTGCAACCATCCTCTTCGTCCTCGTCCTCTCCCTCTCCCGCCTCCCCCGCCGCCTCTCGCTGCCTCCTCCGCACAGCTGCCCGAAGCGCCATCTGATACCGTATGTACATGCTTCCCAGGTCAATGCGCTCCGCTACAGCTTCGCTGTTTCGAGCGACGACGGCGTCAACCCTGTGCATCTGCGAGGCGGCACTGGGTCGCCGTACCGGCGCGAAGATCTGTCATTCCCGACGTGAGTGCGCCGGCAGCGTTCAGGGCAGAAACGCACCTTGACTGTAGTGTCGATCCCACTGCACGCCACCATCGGTAGATGCGGGTGCATCTCGATAACGTTCACGACACTAGAGTCTCCTTCGTAAATGCCACACAGAGCACCGGTGCTCTTGCGCCACATGAACCAATTGCCGTCGTCCGAACCAGATACGACGTATTCATCCTGTGACCCGAGAAAGTTGACTGAATGCCAGTGAAAACTCGTCAAACTCCCAACAAAACGCGAGAACCATACCGTCCTTGACAGTCTCGACGTTGCAATGCCCACTATATCGCCGTCGGGGCAAAACGATGCCAATGTCACCGAAGCACGAGTCGATCAGACGCGAACCTTCCCCTTCGTCTTCTCCATCCTCCTCTTCGCTCTCCTCCGAATCCATGCTGATATCCTCTTCGGGATCCTCTTCAGCATGGCCGGCGATCATCTCCAAGTCCATGTCCTCGCTAGCACCTTCGGCATCCCCGTCTTCGTCCTCGTATACCATCTCGACCCCGGGAAGCGATAACCTGTCAGGCTCGCTGGAATCGCCTTGGATCCTCCTCCGTTTGGCCGCACGCTCATCCGCGACATTCGGAAGAACGATGGCCGATCCGGATGTACGAACGGTCGAGTCCTCGGGACTGTCCAGCGTCGAGTAGAGATAGATAGCGTCGGAGCTATACGCTACAACGAAACGCGTCAATGTGGCTCATGAAGCATATATAGAGAGAGAAGACAAACGAACATAGAAGAACCTCGTGTCCGTTCTGAGAAGACATCCGCGCACCCGTGACGTGCTCGTACCCGCGCCTCTCCCCTGCTCCGCGCCTGCGTCTTCCGAACCTGCGCACACACGTCGTGGCATCGTCAGAGGGCGGGACACCCCACTCTTCCTGAATGATTCTTCCGGCGTGCCGACGATCAAAGAGATAGCCCTGATCGAATCGCAATTCCTGTCAGGGAATGTGTACATGACAAGAAAGTCATTGCACGTACACACGAAGCCTCGCCTGCGACGACGAACAACCACGGACTGAGCGGACTCAGAGCCAGTGTGCTGAGATCGGTCCTGAGCTTTACGAGGGGAGCCGGACAACCAGAGCGACAACGATGCGAGGCGCGAAGGTCGTGTTGCCTCACAGTCCCATCCTCGGCCACGGTCAGAAACACGTCCTCACTCTCTTCCGTCACAATCCGCTTCGTCCGCGCCGTATGACACCGCAGCACGCGAGTTCCGGGCGTATCACGGGCGTCGTAGCTGCCGTCCTCCGGGCCCGAGGCAGCAGCTGTTACATCAAAAACGCGCACTTGGCTGTCTCCGGCGACTGTGGCGCTGGAGTCTACACAGTCAGAATTGCGAGCCGGCCATGATATTCGAGGAGATGCAATCACACTTTATGAGTATAGGGAAGCATTTGCTGAACCGAACGTTGGCAAGCATTGCCAGTGTCAGACGGCGACTATGCGTACCGCGTTGAAGATATTGGCCGTGTGGCCTGTCCGGACCGTGCCTTGACAGGTAAATGGAAAGCGCTCGTCCGGATCGCGCCCTTGCAACCTCCACAATCGCACCCTAGGTTGAGACAGTTGATAAGTGTCATCACTCGGAGAGGACTGGATGCACGCACGTAGTGTCGTCGCCGCCACTGATCAAGAGGTTTCCATCTTCCGCCCAGCTCAGCGCGTTCACGCATCTGGAATTCAACACATATTAGCTACAAGATATAGATAGTGTGTACATCAGCGCACCCAGTGTGCCCATCGACATCGGATCCCAGCGTATTGACCTTGTCCATCGTCCACGCAAACGCGCCAGAGAACAGCCTGTGCTTGTATCGGTGCGCATTCCGTGCCGAAGGTTGCGTACGAGCAAAGAGCCGAGGCTGCAGAGGGTCGTATTGATGCGTGTCGCGCACATAAGCAGGATGAGTCTGTTCTGTACCCTCGGCCATAATACTAGTAGGTGTTGGTGGCTGGAGAGGTCGCTTCGAGATGAGTGTCCACGTAGAAGAACATGTGATCGCGGCGGTAGAGCACTAGCAATAAGTGACGTCACACGGAGGGCGATCAGATTAAGTATGAGATTGGGTCCTCGGCGACCCCGGTATACAAATCATCTGAGCTTGTAGAATACTACATGAGAACGGTGAAGCGGACTGTACACTGACTGCTCTACCATGATCGACAGCCTCATTACAGTCTACCTCTTCTCCATATCCACATCTTTCACTTTGTCCTCGTAGGCGTCGGAGACCACGGTCTGAATGTCGCTTGCGCCGACTATATGCTCCGAATGCATGCGTTTCACGCTCTTTGTATCTGCTGCGACACTCGGTGCGCGCGTTTCGTCATCGACAGACGCAGAAGCTCTCTCCTCATCCGCTGCGCGAAGATGGATATCCTCGCGTATCCACTTCAGCCCTCCTGCGTACCCGAACCACGTATATCGTGGCACGTGTGGTCCACGGACCAAGAGCACAGCAAGCTGAAACAGGCAGAAAGCGGTCATCAATGCGCCATTTGCGCGCCACCCGTGTTTGAGAAATATCTCAGATCCCACGGCACTGCCAATGACCTGGCCGAGGAATATCTACATCGCCTTGATTAGCGGTAGTATGCGAATGAATGAGACGTTAATCACCGCAATCATGCAAACAGCATTCAGTCGTGATCGCAAACCGTCTTCAAGCTCAAATACGCGAGCAGCAAGGCTGGTCTGCTGCGATTGGCGGAAGACGTCCAGTCCAAATGTGACGATCACCGGCACTGCTATGTTTACACCGGCAGCGCCCCAGTACAAGGCATAGGTCAAGGTGAAGCCGAGGGTCGTCACAATCGAGACATGCCACGGTGTGACACGGTCAATGATACGGCCGTAAATGGGGCTGCCGCACACACCCACTAGTCCGATTAAGCCGAAGATACCTATGATCAGTCTGGGATGGCCATCAGATAAAATTCAAACTGAGCTATGAATGAGATGCGTACGTGTCGTAGTTGTACGGATTATCGCCCAAAAGGAAGGTCAAGGTGACGAAGAACTCGGTATATACGGCCGCCCCTCCAAGCTGTACGAGGGCGGCCTGAATCAGGGTCGGCTCCGTGACAGATAGACGCAACACGCTCCAAAGGATCTTCGCGTATGTGAGCTCCTTATTTTGAGACGGATAGTCGGGTACCGTAGCCCACAGGGATGCAAGGGAGATCGCTTGCATACCAACGGATACGTAGTACACGATCCGCCAGCTAACGAACTGGGCGACGATGCCGGCCATCACACGTGAGATCAAGATCCCTAATAGAAGGCCAGAGATCACGATAGAGATCGCAGTTGCACGACGGTGGGAAGGAGCGAGGTCGGCAGCCAGGGGCACGAGGATCTGAGGAGCCAGGCTCACGACGCCGATGAGGAAGTTCAAGATCTGGAACGCGAGAAACGACTTCGTAACGGCAAGGCCAACAGTGATCAGCATTGACGCGCCGACTAGGAGTAGCAAAAGAGGTCGCCGGGGTGATAGGTCACCGAGAGGTGCGATGAAGACCAGACCGGCCCCGAACCTGATTTCGACTATGAGCGGGATCGATGAAAGGCAGAGATTCCACGTACCCGCCTTGTACTAGGGTCGGCACTCTGGACGGGCATTAGTAAAGGCTTGTGGCACGTTCAGAGAAGCCGAGCTGACCGGGATATCTCGTCATAAGTAACTCCGAAGGACTGGGCTAATTGAACTGGAGAGAAGATTTCAGCGCAAGCCCACAGGCGAAGTGGGGAACACCCGACTGAGTAGAGGTTGGGACTGGCGAAGTGTATGCCCTGGGGTGAGCGAAGGGATTTGCTGAACCGAGGGATGAACGTACATAATACAGATTCGCGATCACTATGGTTCACGTCAGCCATCCACGTTAGGGTGATTTGCCAACTTGGCCATACCGAATGTGCTTGTGAATGCAAATACGATGTTCAGGACTGTCCCAAACTGTGGAGGACGTGCAGGATCGTGTCGGAGCCGTTTCGGTATAGGAAAGATGGCAAAGTCGTGGGTAGAACGCGTGGTGGATTCAGCCGAATCGCGTTCCTTACTAACCTCACACATCGTGTATTGTGGGTCGTTCGACGGACTTGAGAATGCTAAAGAGATGACCTCTTATATGCGGGCCCGGAACATGAAGAGGCCTATCGCGAGCCAAAGTGGATGCAGCAGGATTCTATCGCCGGATTCTAGACCTGAGGAGATCACGAACACGTTCTTTCTGACCTACTGGAGCCGTAACGGAAGCCCATCTGTGAGCTCGCTTATGAGTGGCAACGCGAAGTCAAAATGAACCCACGTACAAGACTACTCGCCTCGCATGAGCCCCGAGCCGACTGATCATCGCAAGGTCAAGCAAGGGCTGACATGACTCACCCGACCCGTAAGGTGAGTGTGAATGTTATGTTACAGATTGGCAGCAAAAGGTTGTGTATACATGGTACAGTTGTATCCGGCAGAGACGTGGAAGCGATTCGTACACCAAATCATGCTGTGACTTCTGCTGCGCCTGGGCCAGTAAGACCTTTCTCTAAGAGATGCTGCATTATCGTCTCGACGTGACTGGCCGTGGCGCGAATCTGGTTATCCCAGCGTTTTGTGAGCAAGCCTCCCGTATCCTCGGTCTCTTGCACGACATCACCCAGCCCTCCTGCTTTACCCTGAGCATCATCTTCTTCTCGTCCGGTCTCGAACCAGATCAGGCGGTCAACCTGATCGATATGTCCCTTCAGACGACCTTGCGCTATCATTGTGCGGGCCATCGTCTCAGCCGCCCCGGGCGCAAGATCAAGCAGGGCACCAAGTCCGCGGAAGGAGATGTTGTTGTAGATCTTGGAAGACGCAAGCAAATTATGCTCCATCACTGCGCGGTCTAGGACTGTTGCTGGCCCACGGCGCGTACTCGTACCCGCTTCCTCTTCCTCATCTCCGAGAGCCGATGCCAGTCGGTCGTTCGTGGACAACGCGATCTGGGCAAGTTGGTGCTGCTTGAGCGTCGCCTCGAAATCCTTCACTTCGGCTGGCCGCAAAATATGTTCAAGAAACATCTTCGACAGGATATTGTAGGTTTGCAACTCGGATGAGCGCTCATCACGGTACAGTGAAGCGAGAACACGCGAGCGGCTAGGGCCTGCGGGAGCGAGCACTGCGCAAGTCACTGCTGCACCGCTGCATCCAGACGGGTCAGAGATGGTGCGGACCAACTCTAAGAGCAGATAACTCACAGCATGTGTTGACGCTCTTCCTCATCAATGTCAGATACGAAGGAAAGTTCATGGTAGCGAAGTGCAGCTTCAATGAATTTCCGGTTATAGTCGTTGATACGGGCTTGACAGAGTTTGTATTGAAGTACGATGACTTTATCGCGAGTGCTATGTATAAGCGAAGCGGCGCGGTTGTAGTACGTCTCGGCCGATACGCTGTCTTCGTCCTCGAGGTGCAGGCGCACAATGCGCACGTAGAACTGGAGCTTCTCTTCGTCCGTCGTACGCGAGTTGTCAAGGTTCACGTCTTTCAAAGTCCGAGCAGCTTCGCTCCATTCCTCTTCCGCTTCGAAGATCCCCGCAAGCTCGATCTTTAGCTGGTTGACCTGTGACAGTGTTCACACCGGCGCTACACGGATGCCGGACAAGTGCCGCATACCTGCTCTTCATACGTGGTCAAGCGTGACTGTAGAGTAGACAGCGCATCCTGTATGACAGTCTTGCGAGTTTCAGTGTCGGCGACGGTCCCGTCGGTGAGTCTGGCCACGAGCTCAGTGAAGAACTGGCGGCCGACGATGATGCCAGGGTCTGTGGTGATAACGTGTTCGACAAGTGCGTGTATCGAGGGCGCGATCGACGAAGTAGGGTTGGAGAATATATCAGAAAGTAACGAGAGATAGGTAGAACCCTTGTCCTTCTGGGCAACCGAGGATAACTGCGCGAGTTTCGCGTCCATCGTGGTGGACTGTGGCAAACACGCGTCGCGCGACGCGCACGTCAAACACGCCCACGTGTACGTATATTTAGATCTTAAGCTAATTGCTCTTCTTCCACCGCCATCACCATCTCACCCATGCTGATACCGGCATAATCGCTCGACTTGTACATATATACGCAATAGGACTTGATGTCTTCCTGCCTCTTCATGGAACCCTCCCTTCCGAGCACTCTTGGTTACTGATGATGAATCATCGGAGGGGATTGAGCCAGATGGTTGCGTCTTGATCCAACAGCGACACATACTCGTGCAAGAGCCTAGTACTGTACTCATGAGAGTGCGATGGATGGATCTATATGGTTATCGCATAGAACACCGGCGCTAAAGCTAGTGCTGTGCGCTTGTCGGGTAACCATGACTGATCTATTGATTGGATCGCGACAATAGTGCTGCCATCTCTTCTGGAACGTTGGTCAGGGATGCTGTGATAGCAGTGTGTGGTAAATAGCACTCGCATGATTGCGATGGTGAAGAACGAGGCCTGAGGACGTGGTCGAGCGTGAGCGCGTCTCGGAGTTAGCGGGTATAGCGAAGAAGTCGCGTCGTTGCGCGGGGCAACCAACCGAGGGGATAAACGGCTTGCCTCCGACCGTCGTCGACCTCGTCTCTCTTTTGGACTCCTGGGATACCTCTGGACAGATACCCGCGGCCTGTTGCAGACCCGTGTGTGCCTTCAGCGCTCAGCTCACACACATCACTGCGCTGCATCGCCCACTCCCATCAAGCCGTCAGCATAGCGCTACTACTTGTATAGGCCCGCGCTGCCCGAGCCCAACCCTTGCTTTCCGCCTTCGCCTTCCTTCGAGCCGACCCTTTAGATTCTAAACTTCGCCCCTTCTAATTTCTGTCTTTTGTGAACACCGCTAGCCGGGCTCGCTTTCGATCATTCTTCATGTCGCACCTCACTGCAAAAGCCCCTCCATTCCGTCGACCGCTCGCGTCGAACGCGCACGAAGCACATCTGCCTTCTCCGCCTGAGACAGATACGGACTTCTTTCAGCAGCACTCCGTCGCATACGGGCCTGTACCCGAAACGGAGCCTCTGCCTCAGGCGCGAAGGACGTCCATTCTTTCCTATCGCTCTACTCCGCTTCGTGACCCCGCACGCGAGCGCTCAACTGTCAGTCTCTCCAAATGGCTCGTCGTTGTCGTCCCGCCTGGGAGCCTTATTCCACACCTCGGCGGCCCCTCCGTCCGGGCTTCGCAAGGAACCTTGATGCCCTTACTTCCCACGGTACGTGCCTCTCACTCACAACTAGCGTAAGTCATGCCCTCACACCTTTCATAGCTCTATGCACAGCTTACCGCAATCGCTCGCGAGTTCGGCTTCCCGTCTGCGGTTGGGTTATGTCTCTACTTGCACATCAACGAGCACGGCATCGTCTTGACACCCCGCGTCTCGGACGACACATGGCAGATCCTGTGGGGACATCTCTTCGACGCCCGGTCTCCCACCGCCCCCACAGTGGGACAGATTCCAGTCGCCGGCCGCGTAGAGCTTGACATCGACCATAACAAGGCCCGATGGTTCAACGCTTGGGTTGCTCAGCGCCAGCGTGCGGAGCTATCGAATTCTGCTGCGCCATCTGTCGCGCCTTCCCATTGGAGGGGAGAGAGCAAGACAACCATCCTTGATGAGCGTCAGGACGATCAATCGGACCTGTTACCGCCACCGCGCCCGCGTCATGTCCCTCGCCAGCTTTCCTTACTCGACAAGTACGAAAGTACATCGGTCGCGTCTTCTAGCCACGTCCGCGAGCGGCCCGTCTTCAACGAGCCTGAGAATGCCTTGCCCACGATATACTCGGCCGCGCTCACCGCATCCCGTGTTCCGGAGCCGGAATTATTGTCACCGAAACGAGCTTCCCCAGTGCAGGAGGAGCAGGAGGTCATGATCCCAGCGTCTCGTACGGTCCCACCTCGCGATCTCTCTATCCGAGTTAAGTCATGGCGGGCAAGCGCGACGATTGCTCCCTCTCCGCTTGCGGCCACCGGCCAGATCAGCTTGGACCCTGCCCATATGCCGAACAACATCCCGCTGCCGAGCCCTACCGCGCCTCGGAGCGGAGTCGAGGCAGATGAGCTCCGCCTGGAAGACTATCAATGGTCTGTCTCATCGGAGGGCCCTGGCGATGACTGCGAACCTCTTTATACGCCCGAGTTTTGGATTCATGCACCCTCCGTGCATCTTGCGGCCCGCGCGCAAGGCTCCGTGCTCTTGAGTCCCTCAAGTATGGCAACCTCGTGGGGCCCTGACACCGAATACGAGGGCTTTGATCACTTTGCCCCTGCCTCGTCGCGCGCACCTTCCGTCAACCTGGAAGAGAGGCTTGAGGGGTCCGTCCTGCTCAGCCCTAGTGTCGGCACGAGCTGGGGTCCGGAAGACGATGAAAGTCATCCATATGACTTCGAATACGACGCGGCCCAGTTTCACGTTGATGACTACACGCCTGATATAGCCCACCGTGGGTTTGAAGAATCGCCCCCTACGCCTCTTACGGCGACAAGCTGGGGTCCACAATCGTGGCCCGCAAGTCCCGCGTACATTGCACGCCCTACGACGCCGGATATTGGTCAGCGGGGAGTAGATAACTCGCCGGCCACGCCGACGACTGCCACCAGCTGGGGTCCCTCCTCGTGGCCTGCAAGTCCCATGGGCGTCTCGTATCCCACAACTCCGGATGCTGCACAACGCGGTTTCTTAAGTGCCGCAACGAGCCCTACTCTGGCAAAGTTCTCGAGGATATCTGTCCCGCCGTCGCCTCGGGGTGTCGCGCGTCTCGTGTTCCCGTATTTCTCTGCGGAGCGCGCTGTCTCCCGCACCGTTTGGCCGTTCCACAAGACGAAGCCGGCAGCCATCGATATCTCACTTGACAAGAAGTACCCCAAGATTGATCCTTGTATGTTCTTTTTGGTAAATTCGCGTACATTACTGACGCTTTCTCCAAGATCCCGCTGCGTACCCCAACTTGGAGATATACCCCGGTCATCTACACGCCTTCGTCCCTGCTGTTGATATCCGCACTCGTCTCCCGCCTGTTTATCCCCGCCTGTCTATTTACGAGGCCGCGTACCCGCTTTTCGAGATCTACCCGGGGAACCTGATGCCGTTCCACCAGCCCACCGAGCTGAGCGTCCAGCTCCCTTCGGCGTACCCCCATATGACCATCTACGACGTCGCATACCCGCATTTCGAGATCTATCCCGGCAATCTTGTCGCATTTAGGCCCTTCGTGTCGACATCCGTGAGACTCGCATCAACATACCCTGTCTTGCGCATCTACGAAGTGGTGTACCCCACCTTCGAGATCTATCCGGGTCATCTTGTCGCGCTCGCCGATCTCACGCTTGCAACTGTTCCGGCTGTGAACATGGCTTACTACCCGCACTTCGAGATCTACTCGGGTCACGTCCATGTGTACCAAGCTCCAGCGGTCAACAAGGCGGCGTACCCTGATTTTGAGATCTACGCCGGAGCTGGTGTACCTTTCGAACGTGCGGCGCCCCGGATCGCGTCTGCTCGTTCCGTCAAGCGCATGGCGTCGGCGGCTGCTTCGGCGGCTGCCATGGTAAATGCGTTTGCAACCGTGGCACAGCGGTTCACCTCGCCGAGAATTTACAAGAGGACAATCTCAGCGGCAGAATCGAAAGCTAAGAGCGTCGTAATTACGCTCCGTGAGGAGTACCCCGCGTTGGATATTTGTATGTCTCGCTGTCCAGGGCAATCCTTTCCCACGCTGACGAACCTCACTTGCAGACCCCGCCACTTATCCCCATCTGGAGATTTACCCAGGTCATGTGAACGCCTTCGTCCGAGCACACTCCCGGCTTGTCACCCGCCTCTCCCCTGCATACCCCACCTTCGGCATTTACCCTGTCGCATACCCGCACTTTGAGATCTATCCGGGTTATGTCCTGCCGTTTGCGCCGGTCATTGAGCTCACCGTCAAACTCGCACCTGCTTACCCGGCTATCGTACTCTACGAGGCCGTCTATCCTCACTTCGAGATATATCCTGGGAACCTCGTCACCCTCGAGTCGCCCATCGAGCTCAGCGTCACGCTTGCTCCGGCATACCCTGTGATGCGCATCTACGAGGTCGTATACCCTCACTTCGAGATTTACCCGGGTCATATAGTCTCAGCATCTGCACGCCCCGAGCATGGTCGATCGGTGTCGGGCGCATTTGCTGCAGACACCATGACGGACCTCTTCGCGCGTACGACGCAAAAGTCATCGAGTCTTAAGAGGGCGCCTTCGGCAGCGGCATCGGCAGCGGCAATGGCAGAGGCGTTCGCGTGGACTGCGCAGAAGGTCGCTACCATCTCAGCTGAACCTTCGCATAAGAGGGAAATATCAGCCGCATCCTCGGCGGCAGCGATGGCCAGTGTTTACGAGGCTTCGGCGCAAAGGGCCGCTACTTCGAAACGAATTGGTCTGTCAGCTGCATTAGAACAGGCCACGGACAAGGTTGTGGATGCCCCAGTGGTTGTCGATTTACAATCGGTATATCCGATTTTCCGCATCTGTGCGTGTCATTGCCACCCGTTCTCGGAACTCCCACTAACCATCCCTTAGACCCTGCAGCTTACCCGCATTTCGAGATCTACCCTGGTGAGATCATGACTTTCAGGCCCGCCTTCCAACTTCGCGTCAAGCTCATGCCGGTGTATCCAACTCTGCGCATCTACGATACGGTTTACCCGAGCTTCGAGATCTATCCCGGCTACATCGTGAAGTACAGGCGCGGAAAGACTCTACATAGGTCTCAGCCTAGTGACGCTTGCCCTCTGCCGCGTAAGCCGAAGCGCACGCATGCACAGCTGTACGCAGATGTCTACCCGTCTCCGCCTCGACGCACCCACGCCCAGCTGTACGATGAGGTCTTCTCGGAGCCGGTCCGCCCGGCTATTGCATCAAGCTGGGCATCGCACGCCCGCCCCCGTTGTACGCATGCGCAGCTTCACAAAGAGGTGTTTGCGCTGACGGATTTCACAGTACCTACGCCGCCTACAACAGCCGACGAGCAACCACTCACCCCGACGACTCCCTCAACACCCTTGGTCAAGCGCCGCAGTCTCAGTGAACATCGACTTTCCCTAGGCTTGCACTCGCCCGCGCCCGCCCCGGTGAATACCGTTGCGCACAAAGTGAGCCCTGTTATTCGCCCACCGCCGACGCCCGTCACGACCGCGTTCGTGCAGCACCACCGGCGTACAGATAGCAGCGACAGCACGAGTAGCGTCGACAGCGTGACGGGCCTTCCCCGCAGACGCGACCCGCCACCAAACGCGATGCGTGCACCAACCGCGTCTCGTCGCCGCTCGATCACACCGACGCCGATGCCTGCTCCTGCCCTTCCACCGCCGGTGCCGACGATTCAAGAACCACCTGCGCATGCTCGTCGCTTACCCGATGTTGTCTCGAAGAACGGCTTACCGCCAAACCCCGTCAGTCTGCGCCGCTCAGTGAGCTCGTCTTCTGCTGCAATTCCACCGCCACAACGTGCCTTCGGCAAGCCGCTGAGCCCTGTCCCCGAGCGCCCCGTGACAGCTTTGGGGCGCTCTGCCTCGCTCGTATCTGCTCATGGCCGGCGACCATCCACGGAGTCTGTACCGGCCACGTCAAAGCTCACCTCGCCTGTAACCCCACCCGAGTCTCGCCCGTTGCGTCGTCAGCCGGGTGCCCGCGATAGCTTGGTGCTTGAGCGCGCGCGGCTCTTCGATAGCGAGCCAGCCACATCGGGCGAGCCGACGCGGATCACTATGCGCCACCTGAGCGAGTTCCCGGCGCCACCGGCACCGCCAGTACCACCAATCCCATCCACGCGGCCAGTGTCAAAGTTGGACCGGTCTAGATATCCTTTTGCTTGAGCAGGTCGTCACGGTGGTGCAACTTCCAGGTCAGGCTACAAACTCAACGCTACATTGTACTTTTGCTTAGTCTTGTGTTCATTACGTTTGCGCATGGTACCGTGGATTCCGGACATCGCCATTCCTGCTATCACCGCTATCCCTTCGTTGTATATGTCGTTCGTAGTTTATCTTTATGTTTATGACCGTCTGCGGTGGTCTGTCTTTCGTCGACTTGAGTGAGAAACCTCAGAAGGTGTCGCTTGACCACATCATGGGGTGTTACAGCCATAGAAGCTTAACGCGAAGGTCTATATAGTTTCTCTATCGTTGTACGTTGTGTACGTGTCATCAATATTCAATACTGGACTCTCGTATTCATGAAGTGCTTCGGTATACGTAGAATAAAATAAAGGAATAAGCAGGTTATTAGATATTGGATATCATACTAAAAGATATCCTGCATTAAGGGGGAATCGAACCCCCGGCGGGTCGATGGCAACGACCCAGGTTACCACTACCCCATTAATGCTTATTCTTTTTGTCTTCAATAAGTCTTCATGATCTATCGAAGTTGACGAGTACTGGCTGGCGGTGCATCACCTGGAATTAAGATCCGCGCGAGCAAGCTCCGTATCTTAAATTTTGCGTTCTGATCGCTCAAGGACGAGGATAATTGTACAGGATCCGTGCAGTATGGCATTGGATAAGGAAGACTAGTTGAACAGGAACGGCTACAGTTCTACAGCAGTTACAACATGCTACAGCGCTGTGCACTCCCTCGCGAGAACCCAGAGCGTAGTGAAAACAGCGACAATCGACGGGCAGAGGTGGTGAGAGGGTGAGGAGGGTAAGGGAACGGATAGTAGAGTCAGGTATTTAGAGCTTGGTCTCCTTGAGGCCATCCTTCCAGAGAGTGAAGTACGCTGTATGATGCGTGTCAGATCAGTCGAAGAACGTATAAAACATGGCAAAAACGCACGCGTCACACCATCCTCACGATAGTTGAGGAGAGCAACCATGCCCTCAGGGTTCATGGACTCGCCGGTATAAAACTCGTAGTCCTTGAAGTTGGCAACGATCTTCTTGGCGTAAGCCTGGGCACCCTTTTCAAAGGCGGTGACACGGTCCGGGTTCTTCTCCTGGAGCTTGGCCTTGACGGCCTTCATATAATCCTATTAGGCCGTAACATCATTAGCGTCGGATGGCCGGTGGGCGCAGGGGGCGATAGCACGGACCTTGAGGTGCGTCAAGTAGGACTTCTTGTCGAACTGCGTGGGCTGGAGGCGGAAAGAGTAGACGAGGTTGTTGACGGTTTCGGCGCCCTCCTCGAGATCATCGCCGCCCTCCTCGGCGGAAGGGTTGGCGCCTATCGTCACGATCGCGAGTCAGAGAGGTCGTAAATAGTATATTAGCCTGTGAGATACAGACCGATGTCGACGTCGGCTCCCTTCTTGACGGTGATCATCTGGGCATCGACCTCGTAAACGATGTCGTCGATCTCCTTGCTGTGCAGGGCGTGAGAATTGCGAGGAGCGGATAGATGACATGAGCGAACATCGGGTAGGCATCAGAGACGATCTCGTCGTCGGAGATGAGGTCCGTGAAGAGGAGCATTTTTGAATGAAGGAGTGTACACGGGGGATGGGCTGGCGGGGAGAGGCAAGCTGGGGGAGGGCGCGCGGGTTCGAAATTTCCTTGGATTGATCTATCGCGGTGATTGCCGAAGACGGGTGTGGCCCTTGAATTTGCTGCTTTCGCGCTTTCCTGCAGCTGGTGATGGAATACCAGCCGGTGGTCGTCCAGCGTGCGGCGCGGCCTGCACCCGGGAAGCACAGCGCCGAATCCCGACACTGGAGGTCGTTCAAGCACCCGGTGTTCGTCAAGCAGTATGCGCCGGTGACGAGCATCCACTTTGCGCCCTCCAAGCCGTACAACTACGCGGTGACGGCGGCCAGCAGAGTGCAGATATACGCCCCGCGCACCAACGCGCTCACAAAGACCATCTCGCGCTTCAAGGACACGGCCCGGTCCGCGAACATCCGCGGCGACGGCCGGCTGCTCGTCGCCGGTGACGACTCTGGCCTCGTCCAGATCTTCGACCTCAACTCGCGCGCCATCCTCCGCACTCTCGACGGCCACAAACAGCCCGTGCACGTCGCCCGCTTCTCCGCACTCGACCCTACCAACGTCCTCACGTGCTCCGACGACGCCACCGTCCGCATCTGGGACGTACCCAGCCAGACCGCGACCTCGCTCTTCACCGAGCACACAGACTACGTCCGCTCCGGCACTTTCCTCCCCACAGACTCGCGCCTCGTCCTGTCCGGCTCCTACGACGGCACTCTCCGTCTCTTTGACTCACGCACTGGCGCGGCTGAAATGACCATGCGTCCGCCACGCGCAATGCGGGTCACTCCTGTCGAATCAGTCCTCGCTTTCCCCGCCGGTACCGCCGCACTCTCTTCCGCCGGAAACATCCTTCGACTCTGGGACCTCACAGCCGGCGGTCGTTGCCTTCGTGCTCTCTCAAATCACCAAAAGACGGTGACCTCGCTCGCGCAGGATGCCTCCGCAACTCGCATCCTCTCCGCCGGCCTCGACCACATGGTCAAGGTCTACGACGTCGCAACATTCGACGTCGTACACACCATGCGCTATCCTGCACCCATTCTCTCTCTCGCACTCAGTCCAGACGGTACACATATTGCTGCCGGCATGAGCGACGGCACGCTTTCTGTTCGTCGTCGCTCGCCCAAAGCGCACGAGGCGGAACGTGAAGCTGCTCAGCCATTCAGTCCCGCGGCGCTTCGTGCAGGCGCGTACGAGTCTGTGCTTGGGACGGATGTTTCGCATATAGGCGAGATGCACATCAACGGCAAAGTAACGAGCAAGCCTGTCGGCGACGCGCACGAGTTTCGCGTCGAGAGCAAACGGAGGCGCAGGTTGAAGGAGTATGACCGTCACCTCAAGGGCTTCAAGTACTCAGCTGCGCTGGACTCTGTACTTCAAAAGGCACGTCCTGAAATTGCGGCTACACATGAGCATCACCTAACATCGTCTCAAATAGAAGGTCCCCCCAACGACGACCTTCGCTCTTATCCAGGAGCTCATCCACCGCGACGGTCTTCGCACCGCACTCGCATCGAGAGATGACGTTCTTCTAGAGCCCGTCCTTCGCCTGCTCCTCAAACATGTCACAGACCCTCGGTTCGGTGATATGGTGTGCGATGTCGCCGTCGTCGTACTCGATATGTATGCCCCGGTCCTGGGACAGTCTCCGCTCATCGATACCCTCTTCGTTCGCTTACGAAAGAAGGTTGATGCTGAACTTACATTCCAGAAGGAATTGGCCGCAGTCCGAGGGGCTCTGGATATGGTGTTTGCTGCTAGTGCGCTCACATCGGTCACTCCTGCGAGCGTGGCTCAAGTTACGTAATGCCCGTTCAAAAGTATCGCTAGTTGCATCTTTGTAATCTGTGTAGTATAGGCTTTCTGTAGTTGTATCGTCATGTTTCTTCAGAGTTTGATTCGTCCCTTCAGGTTAAGCCGTACAATGTGGCACCAATGCGACGCAAAATTGTACATGTCTATCAAATTCCGAGTTTATCGTCAATGTATCGTACACTATTTCACCAGCCAATCAGGTCCTCTCCGTCACGCCTTTCTTCTTCTTCGCCTATCTGAAGTATGTCTTGAAGCCACGTTACAGCGCTACGGGAGGCCTTGTCCCGAGGAGCGCTTACCCGTGCTCATATTCGTTGCGCCCGTAGGTAAGTATTCATATCCTCATCTTCACATACTTAGCATGCGCTGAATCATGCCTCCCTTGACGCAGTTGCTGTATGCTTCATGTGATTTGGCCGGAGTTCCCGTGAAAGCGTACACTGAATTGTGCCCATCGTTGGGAGCTCGCTCTTTGGCTGTAGCTTGATCCTTTTCTTCAACGCGATCCTCAACCATCTAGCCGACGCTTACCCGCTTTATGCGGCTTCAGTTCTCGCTGGCAACGATCTCATACGATCTTCTTTCGGCGGGACATTTCCACTCTTTGCGCGTGCCATGTATCGTAAGCTCGGGGTAGGATGAGCGACTACGCTGCTCGGTTTGCTCGCGTGTGCGTTCATACCGATACCGATCATATTGTATCGATACGGAGCGCGTGTTCGCCTGAGTATCAAATACGCACGACACGACTATCACTAGGATATAGGATGCCACCTGGTATGTAATCGGCTATACACTACCGTACTATGTAGCGCAATTCATACTCAGATAATAACGCATCCTATCTGTTGTAAACGAGGTTGGTCTGCGGACCAAAGCTACCCAAACACTCATTACTAGCATGATAGTGAGCATCTCGCTCCAACATAAGTCTCGCCAATATGTAGACGTGTATGTGAATCATTGTGATCATGACGTTTGAGTCCAGTAACATATGCAGGTTCATGATGGGGCGACATGTTAGCATGCACTCGATTATAATGAGTGAGACCGGACTTCCTCCTCGACAGCATGAGATCCTCATACTTCGATCCTGGCCTCTTTCCTTGACTTTTCACAGCGTGAGGGTAGAGTTTGTTTGATCTCAAGTGTGCTTTAATTGGGAGTCGACCACTAGCCGCGAGCCGTCGGTCTCGTTCGTGAGCGCGCTTGCACGTAGCTCATCTTTCAACCTGGAGGAAATTATCGAAGACCGCGCCGGAGATTCAATCGAGACCAGTATAAAGATTGAATAGTAGGGCTAGAGGAGCGGAGGACGAGCAGTCATGAACACAGGGCGCGGCGAGAATGATGGTCAAGAAGCGAGAGGGGCACCCAACGCTCGTGGGAAGGTATTACTCGCTTGGCGCGGGTTGCGCGTCGGGCGCCTGTGGTCGACGCCGGGTTTGCACCGCGACCGTCACAAGGTCGGTACGACTCGTCACCCGTATCTCGCGCTTTGAGTCTATCTCAAGCTTTATCATACAACCAATCTCTTTGTTGTATAGCATCCCTCAAGATCAAGGTCCTCATCCATCTCTCCTAAACGTCATCGCCAAACTAGGTGTTATGTCCTCTTCTGATGCTGAGAACGGCGGCAAACGTCGCTCAGCCAAGAAGCAACGTGTGCCGAAAGAAGGCATCTGTGAGCTGTGCTGCTTTGTGGAGCTGCCTAAAGGCTGAGCTAGCATGCAGCTTGTGACCGATGCAGAAAGCGCAAAATACAGTGTCAGCGAGACGCATTCATGTGGAGCTGCGTACTGATGTCAATCCACAGGTAACGGTCGCTTGGGTGGAGAGAAGTGCCGCTACTGCTTTCAGAATGGATGGCAGTGCGAGTACCTGCACGCGAAACGAAAGTATCCAGTCGGGTGCATCCTAGTCTCCTATGAATTCAATGTCACGTCCTGACAGCAGCACAGGTACGTGAAGGCACTGGAGGAGAAAATAGAGCGACTCCTTGGCATTCTGAGACAAGTGAGTCCCTTTAGTACTCGCATCTTAAGGTTCTTGCTTACCGTTATGTAGCTCCATCCAACCGAAGACTTCACTTACGCTGTTGGGAAACCCTTCACTGAAGAAAATTGGCCGCAAGAGGGCTACGTAAAATCCACTACTGCCTCCTCTCAGACGGCATTTGATGAGCCAAGTGCCTTTGTCTCTCCTGTATCGCAATTCACCCTGACCATCAATCTCGACGAACTCGACGTCAAAGCCGAGGCGGAATCGGACACGGAAGACGAGCAATCGTCGAAACTACGTAACTTGACCGACGGTGTCTGTAGGATGTCGGTTGTTGCTTTTCATGGACGTCATTCTGAGGTCAATCTTGTTCGCCGTGCACTGGATGTCACGTATAAGCTGACTGGCGCGCGGATCGCCTTGGACGATCTCGCAACCTTCGGACGCCCTCAGTTTTGGCAACATAGACCTGTTCGTTATCTTTTGAATGGTTTCTCCATGCTTATGTTGACAATCAGATACAGTGTGAAGCTCTGCCCAAGAAGTTATCACTCGACTTCCCGCCTTTCGATTTACTTCATGCACTCGCCGCTCTGTACTTCGAGCATCAGAACGTCTACCTGCCTTTGCTGCACCAAGCAACATTCATGCGGCTTATCTCCCAGGGTCGACACATCTCCTGTCAATCGTTCGGTTTCCTCGTACTGGCGGTCTGCGCGAATGGCGCTCGTTATAGCAACGATCCACGCATCCTCATACCTGGCTCCGAACCCCTATCAGCCGGCTGGTACTGGTTCAACCAGCTTTGGAACAATTTCCCAATCAACAGCGGGTCCTCACGCCTCTACGACATACAATGCATAGCCGTCAGTTCACATTCGTTTGCAAACTCTCGACGTAGGGCTCAAAGTCAAGTAGCTTTCTACTATCTATCTCATAAGCTGTGCCGCGACACAGGCTGGCTGGGTGTGGTGCGGTCATGGTATCCGTCTTGCACAGGATGTCGGTGCGCATAGGAAGCGAGTATACGACGACTCCCCGACAGTCGAGGATGAGCTATACAGGCGTGCATTCTGGTATGGTGAATCTATCAATCATGTGTGGAGTACCCGTATCTTATCGCTTCTGCATTAGGATCTTGATACTTCTGGAAAAACACCTTGGCATCTGCATGGCACGACCGACTGCAGTGAAAGATCAAGAGTAGGCGGGTCGCAATAGTGTCTGGTTATCATGACTAATGACTCCCAAGCCTTGATCTCGACTTACCCAACGCCTGCGATGACATGTACTGGGATCACCCCGACAAATCCTTGTCATTCAAGCAGCCTGAAGGCCGCCCTTCACGTGTAGATATCCTAGTTTACCATGTCAAGCTCTATCTGGCGGTTGCTCCCGCCATGTGTCTGATTGTGAGTAATGAACACACTACGTCTCCAAGACTATCGGATCTCACCGCCCGCACATCGATAGTTCGCGGGCTCCAAGACCCGAAATATGGTTGGGATCACCGAAGGATGGGAGCGAGCAACAGTGGCAAACCTAGATTCACGTCTCAATATGTGGGCTGAGAGTATGCCTACTCACTGTGCGTATCGTATATGTTCGTCTTCCTACTGGAAGAAACTGATGTTGGCTGTGAAGTGTGCTGGGACGCCAATAACGACGATGACGTGGGCCTTCTACAATCCGCGCATATTTGGACGCGGTATTACGAGTTGCAGATCAACTTACATCGCCCTTTCATCCCATCTCAAACCAATTCTACCAATCAAGCAATAGCCGCAATTGGGTTTCCCTCGCTCTCAATCTGCTTGTCTGCGTCAAGAGCCATCGTGCGAATTGTCGATTGTGTCCAGCGGCGCTTCCCTGGGCGGATCTTCCCATTCTTGCATGTAAGTCCCAAGCGGTTGGGCTGCTCCGGGTGGTCACTCATGGTCTTCTACAAGGACTCTGCCTTCCTGGCAGGGATGATGCTCTTCATAGGCATATGGGGGTCGAGTAAGTATGGCGTAGCATCTAGGGCCGATGACGATCTGCAAGGCATACGGACGTGCGATCGGTTCATTGAGACACAAGAGGCGCGTCTTCATACAGCCGGGCGTCAGAGGTATTTTCAAGACGCTATCATGCATCGACCGCAGACTGACCTCACTTCTAGGGATGTATTGACTGCTCTGCTTTCACTGGTCGAGAAACCTCCCCTCGTCGCTGCACGAGGTCAGAAGCGCACACTAGATGAGACCCAGGCACCCGGTACACCACCAATTGAGGATGCCACCGCCCATACATCATCGTTCATCTCATCGGACGAGTGGTTTGCAGGGACACAGTTTGATGCAACGCAGCCCCTCCACGCCCAAGAAGCCACGATCGGACATAATCATGAAGGTTCACCATGGGCCTTAACAAACGACAACCTGATTGGAGCAGCAGATCCTCTCTTCTCCGCACTCGATTATCATGTAACAGATGATGAATACTCTCTGCCGCTTGGGGATTGGGGTTTTAGTAATGGGCCAGCCTATGATGGGCCAGACGATTTTGAGCAATTATTCAGGTCGGTACTAGGATCTACAGGTTGATTGTTGTATATTGTACGCCCTCACGCTGGGGTTCTCCCCGTTTTCTGCGAGCAAGGTTGGAGAGGAGTTCACGAACACGCTATCATGGATGCAATGTGTGCCAAAACCGTACTACCTCATACAATAGTACCGTCGTCAATTCCGGCACGTTCACGTGAGTAACGCTCACGGGCATCTTCTCAGAGTCCTGTATTGTGTCGACACTAAGTTGACTAACGATAGATTGGCATCGTACATGTTTACATGAACGCGTTGTCAGCAGGTATGAATGGGAGGTGATGTTACTGGTAACCCTCCAGTATTGCGATAAGATTCGCCAATATCTCACGCATTGAGAGTTCCCCGTCCCCCTCCATCCCAGTGGGCTCGTCCAAGTTATCTGCGTAGGTGTTTAATGTGGTCACTATGTCGGCGAAAGTCTTGCTCCGCCGACCAAGCATTGTCTTGACATGTAGCCGGATGCCATCGTCTTCATACACGAGCCACGCGAGGATGTAGTCGACTGTTTGCAATGTATACAGTCCGTTTTCGAGCCGTCGTAGGAACCAGACTCCTTCCTCGTCTGGCCCCGATGTCTGGCCCTCCATCTCCATGACCTTCCTCTCCTGCGCAATCTCCCGATCTGCCGTGGCAAGGCGGGCAGCAGCAGTGGCTCGTAGGTCAAGTAACTTGTCCGTTTTCTCGTACATCCCCTCCACGAACTTCGCGAGAACGCGTACGCGAGAGGGAGAATCCGTGGCGAGGTTCGTAAAGAGACTGGCGGTGATGCCGAGAGCATGGGAAGTATCTTCCGCGGCCGTTGCGGTGGCGGCAGCCTTGTCCTTCGCTTTCTTTGAAACTTTGCCCAATAACGCAGATGATAGATGCTTGAGGCCGGACGCGGCTACAAAGGTTTCGCAAGCTTCTGCGCCTGTGCGCCCGGAGAGAGCATGATCGAGCGTCTTGATTGACCGGGAGCGCGCTTGCATCTTATCGCTACGTGCGCGTCAGCTCGATCGTACAGCGAGGAAGAGGTGAAAGCACGAACCCCATTATCAATACCATGAGATCGACACCCTCGCTTCGCAAGAACAATGCCTTGATTTCGGGCTCTCCAAGTGCAGAGCACAACGCGTCGAAGACATTCTCCATAAACTCTGTTTCCTCCGCGTCTGTCGGATCGCGCTTGCGGTAATTCTGTGCACGTCCTCGTCAATTCTATATCTCGCAGGGAGAACTCACGCTTAAGAAGACATACAGAGGCAACTTTCAGCAACGTCTCCACACCGTCATGCTTGCCGAACTCCAGTCGGTTTGGCCGACTCTCTTGCAATAGAATAGCGAGCAATTCTGCGGCGTAGCCGCGATTCTCATCTTGGTTCTTCGCCTGTACACGGTTGAGCAGCCAGGAAAGCAGTTTTGTGCGGAGGATGAGTCTCTCTGCCAGTTCTGGGTTTGAACCTACAATGTTCTCGCAGATACCTATGATCAATAAGCACGTGTATGCCTCGCACTGAAGTCATTCCATACCGAGAATATTGTAGATGCCTTGCCTATCGGCCTCGTCTTTCTCGTCGAACCTCGACATGTTGCTCACGAGCAACTCAAGGATAGAATGATCCAACTGCATATTCTTTAGCGGCCTCGACTGAACTCGTAACATGGACGAACGTACAAGAGCCTTGACTAACTGTCTCAATGCCTTCTCCTTCTCCTCCGCCACACCTTCCTCGTCCTCCTCTCCCTCTTCGCCGACATCCTCATCGGTGAGCTCACGAATGACCTCCACAACGTCGAGCGCGATGTCCGCATTCTCATGGCTTAGCAGTCCGACCAACATTTCGAGCAGCTCTGGAGCGTCTACGAGCACAGGGTATGCCACGGCAGGGGCCTGCGCGAGCGGGAGCAGTGCCTTGAGCGCAGCGTCGAGGTCAGCCTCTGAATCAATGAACTTGGACGGGTCGTCTGGATATTTTGAGCGCTGGTCTGCGTTCTTCTTCGCCGCGCGTTCCAGTCGCAGCAACAGCTTGCGTACTCCCGGCGCGGTTAATTGCCCGAACTATCTCAGTGGAGCTGTCAGTATAATCACCCTTGGCTTCTCACGGGATGCAGACACACACCTCTTCGTCCCCTCCGTCTCCCGCGCGGTCAAATATATTCAGAATTTCCTTCTGCTCGCCCGTGAGTCCTCCACCAAAGAACCTGCCGTCCTCGTCCTCCTCCGCGTAATAATCCGCATCTCCGCCCGGCGCAAAGTCGCCATCCATCTCGTTCCCATCCTCGTCCACTTCCGTGACCGTCACCTTCCGCGACACCGGGCCGGGCGCTGCTGTGGCCTCGCCTGAGTCGAGCTTCATGCGCTTCAACATTTCCGGTGTGGGCGCATCGGGCATTCGCCGTTTGTTCCCGCCCGTCGGCAATTTGGGCACCTGCATCCCGTCTTGAGCGAATTCCCATGACAGTGAGACGGTGTGGTACCATACCTTGAATAACTTGTCGATATCCATAGCTTCCGGCGGTCGGTAGTCGCTAGTGCGCGTAGCAGACCTGCAGTTGACGTGAGCGTCAAGAACAAGTCAAGGTTCGACTTGGCGGCCCGCAACGCCAACGCGTAGACGCCCCACATTCTCCGGATCAGCCCAATCATGCATGATAACAGACATGCTCAATAATTATACAGACAGGCGCTATATACAAAGACCACGGTAGATGAACAATCGTACAACAATCGAACTACAAGACTGGCAGAGAGATAAAATTCTGAAGCATACATATGGAGGAAGGGTCATTAGGCGGTACAGATGCCAGTTTTTGTTCATGACGAGCCACCAGGGCCATTCAGATGAGGCGTCCCATTCACCGGAGCCCCGCGAATCTCGTTCACCAGCGTCTCCCAGTATGTCCAGTCCCCACCATCCGCCGCTTGGGCCGCACCGGCACCTTCCACCGGTACAGCCTGTAATGGCGCGCCCGCACCAAACCACCCACTGACGTCGCTGCTACCGAAGCCACCCCATGGCACGCCCTGACCAAACGCAGGATCAAGCGGGGCGGAACCGACCTGGCCGGCCTGCACGGCATTGTACCACTGGTCGAGCAGATGCTGCGCGGGGTCCGCATCTTCGCCACCGGGACTGCCCGTACCCGCGCTCCCGGTCTGCTCACCCCCACTGAGGCGCTTCAGCGTGGGTGAAGGGAAGAACGACGATGCGAGCGGCGAGGTACCCTCCGCCATCGCGCCGTTGCCCAGTGCAGGGCTCTTGTACGAAGCCGTGGCAATTTTGGTGTTCACTCGCGGCGTGCTTGTGCCGCTGACGTTGTTGCCATTCTGAATAGCAAGTAGCAGCTGCGCTTCAGCATCTGGGCCTTCTGGGCTCATCGGCTGGTCCTCCTCTTCCGCCATCTGCTTGCTCTTGGCCTTGAAGAACTCAATGATACGTAGCTCGCGCCGTGTCGTCTCGTCCATTTCCCGTACACCCTCATGATCCTTCAGAAAGGCGTCAAGTATAGCATCCATACGGCCAGCCAAGCGGCCGTGCGGCTTGAGCAAGAGGTAAATGCCCGCGACCATAGCGCTCTGGAATTCGCGGTAAGCGGAGTGTAGACTTTCGCGCGTCTCTCGTGGGACATGGTCCTGATAGCTCGTGCGCAGGTTGAAGTACTGAATCGCGCTCTCGAAGCAAGCTTCGCGAGACCGCGTATAGCGGTCTGATGAGAGCTTCCGCAGGAGGTACGGCCTATGGAGCGAGATGCGCACGAAGAGAACTTCGGTGATGATGAGGAAGCGGTGAGCGGGGATGAACGGGTGTGACTGGTCGAGGGAGGTATCGGGCGTCATGGAGTAATGGGGCGGGAGAGTGTTGAGAAACTTGAGCAGCTCCTCGTCAAGCGCGATGACGTCCGAATACGTGCTTGCGTGTCGCACTTGCTGGAAATGATGCACTATTTTGCCGATGATCACAGCCAGTGCGTGCCGCAGAATGACGAAGGTTAGGCGAGTAGGTACAGATAGCGCAGGGGGGTTGCGCAGGTCTGCAACGGTCACGTCACCCTCAACGTTGAGTGGAGGATGGGTTGAGGTATAAACGTCTTGTATCGCGTTGGGACGGCCGAGTACGAGTGCGTACGATCTGTCTGCGTGGTACAGAAATGACCAGACGCGACGCCGGTACTCGACTTGTGATGGTTCCATATTCATGTTACCGCCATCCCTGTGCAAGCCCAAGGCTTGGGCGGTACGGACAGCTGCACCCAGTTGACTCCAACATTCGGTGATACGCCGATCGAACGTCAGAAAGCGTGCACTCTGCGCGACTAGTGAGCATATATTGGATGTGCATATGGCGGTATACGTACCAGCAATCGCGTGAGGACCATGTCTAATGAATCCGGTTGAATAGCTGCAGCTATGAGTAACGAACGTCTCGCTGCAAAGCGGTCGGTCAATGTTGACATGGAGAGGAGAAGCCTGACGTACAGGCCCAGTAGTACCGCAGCGAGGTTAGTCGCCGGTTGCGGGCATCCCCTCCGATGTGGTCGGGGGATAATCGGACGGAGATTGCGAGCACGACGAACAGCAGCGGCAGGAAGCGCACATCGTTCGGGTGGGCGCTTACACCGTTCGTGCACACAGAGGAGTAAGATTGTCGGAAGTCTCGCTCTGAGATGGGGTACCGCGTCCAGTTTCTGTGAGGCACGGTGTTAGAGCGGGCGGGCCACAAGTAAATAGGGGCACTGACACTGCGGTGAAGTAGAAGTCGATGAGCGCCGTCGAGAAACGCTGAGGCGGGAGCTCTTGCACTAGCTCGGTAATTTTGTGAGGTGCAACGCCACAATCCTGGATAAGCGCCTTGAGATTATCAGCTGGCGTGGGTTCAACGTCCTGCCGAACGCTGTCGATGACCGTAGCGGCGAGCTCGTTGACGTTTTTGTCGTCGTGTATGGCGGCCATGCTGGCGCCTGGAACGGCATGTTGAAGCTGTGTGACGGCTTGCGATCAGGGCCGGATCCAAGATATTAGGATGTATATTGGATGCAGACCTGTTCTAGCAGAGAGCCAGGGGCTATGCTGCCCGACGCAGTGTTGCCGTACCAGCGTCCGCTCTGGAAGTGGCCGCCGCTCAGGTCATCCTCGTCCGCCTGGGAGTGTCCCCCACTGGGCGAAGGCGACCGCCGGTCGGCCGTGCCGGACCGGGAGGCGTACTGGGGTAGGGCGATTTCGATGATGTGTTCGAGCCGTGCGAGGCGTAGATGGATATCCTGATCGGGCTTTCCAGGCGTGTAGGCCTTGCAAAGCTCCGGAACTTTGCGAGCGCGGCACTGTGACGATGCGCAGAGCGGTCAATGCGGGGTAGGCGAAGCGGTCGGCCGAAAGACTTTGGACGCACATGCGAACATGGTATTTGACGGTCGCACTGCATATATAGATGAGCGGCTATGGCGTGAATGCCCCTTCAGATCACGACCCGCACCTTTTGTTTCCTACGATGGCATTCTCCGCACGAGTAGCTGTAGGCACAGTGCACTCAGCATCGGCGCGGTGTCCAACGGGGTACCTCATGCAAATATTTACCTCACTCGCGTGCGCGGTTTCTTGTTGCCGCCTTGACCCTCTTCATCATCGGTTGGCTGCTTCTTGCGTTTGGTGGAAAGCGAAGAGGGAGTGCCGGGCGAGTCCATCGGGCTTGACATGCACAATGCGAAGCAGGCCGTTGGCTTTCGGCCTCGGGCCTGTCGGCGAGTCATCTTCGACTCAAATGGTTCCCGCGCCCCTGCACGTGCCGCACTGCTCGCTCGTAACTATCGCGCCATAGGCGAGTACCGTACTGGTGGCCTTATCTACTGCCACCGTACGTACGACCAGTACAGAGTCCTTCTTGGTAAAAGCTCAACAGCTCCCGGATGGGTAGCGTCGGGCCCTTTATACAGTACGGCGAGCAAGAGCGAACATGCTAGACACTCAGAGTCCTGAAGGCCTGACAGCTAAAGCCTATTCTCGCTACTGGATGTTTCTTGCTCTACAAGACTCCGTGTCGCCCGGTTCACATCCCCCTCACGGGCGTGGCACCAGATTCTGTAAGTCGAATGTCGTGTGAAGGGGTAAAATCGGTGTCTAAACCGGGACAGTAGGTATCCAGCCTCATCTTCGCGATGTGCATTTCCCGTTGCGAGTTGAGCGGTTGGGGGACGGCCGGCGGAGCCGGCACGGACGCGGCCCGATACGAGCCGCCCGCCCGGGCGGGCACCTATCGGGCCACGATTCACTCAGCGACGAGAATGCACAAAAAATGTTCATTCGAAGTAAGCGAGGGGATCGAGAGTCGAGTAAGGTACAATGTATCCAAACGAGGCGACCGAGAGAAAAAGGGTGGGAGGGTGGGACTGAGAGCAAGCGCGCCAGCGCGAAGTGAATACGACGAGAAGTACGAATAGGTGGTGGTGAGATGAGAAAAACCGACGCGGGAGCGAGACGCGCTGGCGAGACTCGCTCGGGAACTGCCGCGCTGCGCTCGGCTGGACCGCCCCTCTGGCCTCGCAGGCCCGACCAGCAACAGGGATGCACATCTATATGGCACGGAGTATGTATATTGATACCGAATTTGCAACCGGCATCGTTCGAATACGTTGATAAGGCGCGATGGAAGAGGATAAGTGATAGCGTATATGAAACATGATGAACTTGTATCAAGCGTCATATCGTCCACAGTGCATGCAATGGGCGACCTCTTACGCAGTATTGTGCATGGACACATCAATGTCATAAGCCAGCGCCGCCTGTCGGAACGTATCCTGCGCTACCTGAAGTCGCACATGGCCATCGAGGAATTCAAGAATCTGAGGCGATTCGCGTGTATACTTCGGCCAGCTTATGGCAGCACGGGTCTGAGACTGGGAGCTACCTCGATTCGGATCTTGATTCGTGACAAAACGCACTGGTAAGCCAGTTATTGTCAGTATGATATCGTGAGGACAATGCAGTATATATGTACCAAGATAGTCGGTCATGTCTCCAGGACCGTAGACATTGAGCAAGTCGGACGCATGGTAGGACCCGAAGTCATCCAGAGCCTTGAAGCGTTTGCTCACTGCGAACAAGCAGTCAGTCGAGCAACGAGAAGCAGCAACTCCCATGATGCCAACTCACAGAAGACCCATGTGTCTTGAGAGTCGCTAATCGTCTGCACAAAAAAGCGGCGCGGAGCTGTGAACGTCAAGTCTCCCGAAAGGGCAGCTAAGCGTTTCCACTCGGGCGTGACGGTGTTAGCACTCCCGGTGTCAAATGGCGCGCCAGCAGCAGGGTCACTTGGGTAAAGCTCGAGTAACGTTTCTATGGCCGTTTCGTTATCGGGAAAGAGCGTGCTGAGGTAGTACGCGAAGAGCTCATCCGTCGTGATGGCATCTGCGCCGAGAATAAAAAGTGTGCCCTCGTCATCGACATTGCCCGAGACAGTGGGTATCTTTGCTACGGTTCCGTGAGACACCAGCAATTCCGGAGGCGAAGTGAGGAAGATGCCGTCCTCGCGCGGAACCCAGTCGGAAGTAGCGCTAGATGCGTTGTTCATCGCGGTCTGAATATCGGCGGCGGACAATGTTCGTAAGCAATCGAACACAGCCGGGCCGTCTGTGCAGTTCGTCGAGTAGAGATACGACAGCCAAGCTTCCTGTCCTGCGTCGAGCGTCAGCAGCATACCTCTCAGTCCAAGGGGGGCCATAACGTACCATTCTCAATGGGACCTGTAGGAAGAGGTGCACCGGAGTGCATCCACGCGGCATGGAAAAGGTCTTCAGTATCGCCATCGTTTGTGAGCATCTGGAGAGAAACCGAGATGGCGCCGGCACTCTGTCCCCAACTAGATGACGGTTTTCATGAGCTTCGATACAGTCATGAACTACCGCACATACATGGTAACCTTGGTCTTGTCGCCGCCAAATGCTTCGATGTACTTCTGCACCCAGCGCAACGCCTGTCTTTGGTCACGAAGGCCGAGATTGCCGACACCGGCAGCACGAGCCTCACTGCCCTGAGGGAAGCCTACCGCGCCGGTGCTGCTGAAGTCAGTGTGAATCGATACCAAGAATTGCTTTGCGAGCGCACCGGTAATTCAATGAGACATAGATGATCGGCAAATTCAGCTCAACAGAGCGCTGAACAATGGTACTACCATTCTGCCTGCCTGCGCATCAGCCGCAAAGTGAATATGCGAACAATGTTCTCACTCACGTCGAACTGGATCCACCAGTGAAGCCGCCTATCTCTGCGTCAGTACAATGCAACGCGCACTTACAAGCATAGACTCACCACCATAGATCCACTAGAGATACGATCAGTATATGTGGTATGGAAACAGAAGTCTCGGACGTACTACAACGACTGGCAACTTGGTTCCGGGTTTAACATCCAAGGGAGTGACGACGTTCACTGTCAAGCCTGAGACTCTGTCAGTGTTCACTCGCGACGTGAGGATGGTAATGCGCACAGTCCTCGTTAGATTTAGTCATGTTGGCCGTGTTCTGTGCATAGGATCGCAAGAACAATTGCGCCTCCATAGTCAAGTTCGAGGGCAGTGATGCAGTCCCCGAGGACTGTTGAAGGCAAGACGGCCCGTATGCTGTCGCACTGTATGTGCCATTGTAAGGATCGTTCCCTTGAGGAGCCCGGTAACGCAAGGCTCCAGTACTAGTTACCGTCAGTGGAATGTATGAAAAACGGGCTAGGCGGGCACTCACGGTGGTTTGGCATATGGGATGCCTAACCAAAACTTCGTCAAACCAGCCGATCCCCCATTGAAGAAACCCTGATCCAGTACGACTTGTGTCTGAATATCTCGAGAGCGATGGTACCCAATATCGGACGCATGGCTCAATCCGAACAGTGCCGAAGAGAGTACGGCAGCGAAGAGCATGCTGAGTAAGGTTCAGTGACGAGGAAACCGAAAGGAAGGGGAACGCGAGTGCAGGTCTTTTCGGCGCATGTATTACTCCTTATATATAGACGGTCTGCCCGGCAAGTCTTCCATGGATCCCCGCGCAGGAGATAGGCTCGGATCGCAAACAAATGCGTGTAATTAGTGGTTCTGAGTCTCCGTGATGCAACCGGGGCGGGAAATCTCAACACCCCAACCGAGATCGTAGGTAAGCCACAGCTTACACTCTCGATACGATTCCCGCAACACATAGGACGGCGCATACGAGCTCGTTCTTGAGCTGTTGTGTAAGGAAGAGGATAATTGAGCCGCTGTCGAGGCTGATGGTGGTTCTCGGACAAGTTACCTAGGCGCGTCGCCGCTATTAGGCGGCGCCTTCCCTCACGACGCTCATGATATCTGCCTGGTTGATATCGGGAATTTCGCAGCCTGTGTACCTCAGCTTCCAAATTCTCGGCCACACTTTCTATCCGTCTGCTGTCCTGTTGAGCGACACGAGCGAATAATGGAGCACTTGAATAGGCGCCGTTTCCCTCGGTTCGGATTTCCACTCGGATTTCCGGCTCTCAAGTTCTTCTCTCATCCGCCTCCGCTTGAGTACAACTGTAAGTACGAAACTAACTCAGTCCCGTTACGTTTACAGGAGCTTCCCAGAGCTTTCTTCGATACGATATTGTTCATGTCTCATGTAGGCAGTAATGGCGGCTGAATGCGTGTGAAATATTCGGATTGCTCCGGATCCGCCTACTATGGCGAACCTGCTTCGTACTGGGCGGTAGTTAGATATCTTAGAGGGGTTCAAAGGTGCTATTGTAATTCACCGGTCTATGTACCCTCTCGCGATCATATGCGGATGCCCAAGTCGATGAGACCATCGCTGGATCCAATTATGCTCTCGGCTGTGAGTCTAGCAGGTCCGAATGTGGACTAGACCATGACGCCTACTGAGCAAGGGGAATGCCCTGCCCACAGCGCCTTCTCCGCACAACCGCCCGCCTTCTCCGTGCAGCGATGCCCGTGAAATACGCCATAGCTTTCCAAGACTATGTAGCGAGATTGGTGGATAATTAGCACCTCTGCTTCTCCCGGTTCCAGCTGCATCTCCGTTCAGGATGAACCATGCCATGAGACCAATGACGTCGGCGCCTACCCTTGCTTTTTTATTCGACACGTTCTGCACCTATAGACGTCTGTATAATATCCAGAAGTTTCTATCATACTCGTACTGCGTCACCGCAAGAGGCCGTGGAGGAACGATACATTTGGGGTAAGTACACTGATCAGGGGAAGCCGCTGTTGTTGGGAGCGTTCCCAGGTCCCAGCTCAGCGCGCGGAAGGCTAGCACAGAGCCATGGGTCATTGACACAAGACTTCTTAGTACTAACAAGAATCATGGCGGTGCGGAAGAAAGCCACGGTGAGCTAAGGTCGCCACACATGGGGGGATTATCTAAGCACTCGCTTGAGCGCTTCTCGAAGTTTGGTCGATTTGCCGCCCATCCTCCCTCTCCGCCCCTTTCCTATCCCTCTTCTCGGCCCTCAAGGTAAATGTCGCTTCCGTGGTGCTGCTACTGGACTGGAGATGCTGTCTGGGAGATACTGGGGCGTCGGAATGGCGGGAATGCGCTGGATGGCTGGATGTGTTGTTGGATGAGCCTGTGCTGACATTTTGTGCGCCCAGATGCCGTTCGTCAAAAAGCAGAAGACTGGCGCGTACTTTTCGCGTTTCCAGGTCAAGTACCGCCGCAGGAGAGAGGGCAAGACCGATTGTGCGCTATTCATATTATACTATGAATATAAAATATTAATGTGAACACAGATTATGCGCGCAAGCGGTTGATCTCGCAGGCGAAGAACAAGTACAACGCGCCCAAGTACCGGCTCGTCGTCCGCTTCACGAACAAGGAGATCGTGTGCCAGATCGCCTACGCCCGCCTTCAGGGCGACTTTATCCTCGCCGCCGCGCGCTCGAAGGAGCTGCCCCGGTACGGCATCAACCACGGTCTCACGAACTGGACTGCCGCATACGCCACCGGCCTCCTCGTCGCTCGCCGCGCGCTGACTAAGCTCGGCCTTGCAGACAAGTACGAGGGTGTGGATGAGCCCGACGGCACGCTCACCATCACCGAGGCTCTCGACGAGGAGGACGCGCCCCGCCCGTTCAAGGCCTACCTCGACGTCGGCCTCAAGCGCACCTCGACCGGCTCCCGTGTATTCGGTGCCTTGAAGGGCGCCAGTGACGGCGGTATCTTCATTCCCCACAACGCCAAGCGCTTCCCCGGCTACGACCCCGAGTCTAAGGAGCTTGACGACGAGACACTCAAGAAGTACATTTTCGGAGGTCATGTTGCCGAGTACATGGAGTCCCTCGAGGAGGAGGATGACGAGCGTTACGTATCTGGATCTGTATCATGTGTAATCTTTGAACTGACAACTCTCGAATAGCTTCAAGAAGCAGTTCTCTACCTACCTCGCGGACGGCATTGGCTCGGAGGACATGGAGGAGATCTACACGAATGCCTACGCCGCAATCCGCGAGGACCCCACATTCAAGCCAACGGAGAAGACGAAGGATTGGGCGGCAGAGTCAAAGAAGTACAGAACCCCCCGCCTCACCCTTGAGCAGCGCAAGGCCAAGATCCAGGAGAATATCGAAGCCTTCCAGGCCAACGGCGACGCTATCGAGGAGGACGAAGAGGACGACGAGTAATGACGTCGTTTCACTGTGTCCTCTATGTCTTTGCTCTCACTCTTCATGTACGTATGCCTCAAAATTGTATGCGTCTTCCTTCGCACATGTCATTAGTCTTTATCTACATATCA